TTGTTTTCCCCACCCCTCCCCCCCCGGGCAGCCCCACCCAAGACGTGGGGATTGTCACTTTTGAAGTGACGAAACCCCCACCCCTCGGGCAAAATTAAAGTGACAATCCCCGACCATGCCATTATGTGGGGCGCACTAGTAAATGCATTTCCATGTAGCACGCCAATGGTAACAGTGTAATTTGAGTGACCAAAATCCCCACCCTGGGGCATGAAAACGTGACCAAATCCCGACATCGGACCTGCTGCGGGGGGGGGGGGGGGAGTGGTGGGGGGCATTTGATAGGCGCATTATATTCACGAAACTACAGAACAGGGATTATGAGAAGGTTTCTAACTGTAAGATTGAGTTGGGACCAGTTACTATCGTTTACCCTCTCTGGCTGCCTAAAACAAAACAACCGTTTACTTTCATAACGCACTAAGCTCCAATCACATCGGATAATGGCCTTCACTCAATTAGCTCTTACACTTAATCCTAAAAGGTAGCAATAGATAAGAATCTCATGGGATCCTTAACGGGTTTTCGGCATCTCCTACAGATTCCAAGAGGATTTTCTATGAGATATCCGTTAGTCTATTATTATGGTCATACCTTACGGATGCATATTGTATAGGATCCCATAGGATACGACGAAAACCTGCAGGAAAAAAACCGTATAAGAACCCCGAAAGACTTCACATATCGATCGAATCGCCATGTTGAAACCAAGTGAGGTGTTATTGGCAATACAACGACACTCATGTTGGTTATGCATGTGCTTACCGTAAAAACCCAGTAGCCGAGGCATATAACAGCCTCTCTTTGGAGTGGGTAAAATTGGGTATTTACTGATAACACGGTATTGTCCAAAAGAGATAATACTCTGCATCCGTCAATGAAGAACAGTTGCCAATTTGGCAGGTATAAATGAAGATGTTTCCAGCAGTCTTCACCTTGGGCCAAATTCACCAGGTGTTACCGCCGACGAGTTCGACCCGATGACCGGGCACCCAATCCCCAAACGTCTGATATTCATCTTGAAGACTTGACCCGAGAGTCCTCCATCATTTTCAATCTCTTTGCCCCGAGGAAACACGGGTCTGTGAAAGAAAAATCTCTTCGAGAAAAAAACCCTGGTGGCCCGGGACAGGTATACGCGGTCGTCGTTTCACGGCGGTTTGGCTAGGAACAATGAGCCCTCTGTGCCCCCAAGACCACAGGTGAGATATGGTCGAGAATGGGACAGGTACTCGTTAGAAACGGGGGGGGTATGAATTTAGAATCCGAATTGAAAGTGGTGATGACACTCTGAAGACAAGGTTATCCAGATGATGCAAGTCTTGCAAGTTGAAATGTCTTGAAAGTTGAAACAAACTGATCAAGATTTGATACATAATTATACAAATGTTGCAAGGACTTCTGACTAACATTGACTAAGTAAGGCAGGTGTTAATTTCTTAACTATTCCTCTATTTTTTAGTGTTCAAGTTCTTAGTAACAAAATATGAATAATATCAAGTCATTTCTGTATCATGTAACGATTGCATTCCTTCGCTATTGTTCATCTCCTGTGACCTGAATTTCTTATTCTCTGGGATCTTTTAATTTATTTTTTAGATAAATGGTTTACATATTAAGCAATTCAAGAAAATTGAACTTGCACTCAAATTACATTAATTTTTTTCTAGCCATCAAATCTGACCTTTGACCTCGGGTACTATCTTCTTACAATACAATCATATTACTTCATCGAGCATTGTAAATGCCAGCTAAATGAACAGATCCTTTGCAAATAGCAGCCATCTTGAAGGTCATGGTTGATGGTTCTAGTTATTTTTATACAGTAACAATGAATCCTCAACTCGTGTGCGTGCCTGTGAAACAAAATACACTGTACCTCCAACATGGCCGCCATGCAAAAAGTCTGTACATGATCATGTTTTCCACAATGTTCTAGTTGTAGATTTCGTCACTCGGCACGTAAGACATATTCGTCTTGGTGACGCAAAACACAAATAAATGACTTCCATGCAATCAATCATTCCCACCTTTCCCCATAAAAAGCGTCAATAAGCATTGTACGGGCGTCGACATACCAATAATAGCGTTCGCTAGTCGTTCCCAATGCCCCGTAACGAACTCACCTCTAATTACCGTGTCGCAGCGGCGCCCCCTGGGACCCCAGCCGGGCATTCTGGCTCGTCGGCCCCGCTTTGATGTCTCCGCATTCCCGGTGACGAAGTTCCCTCCGTGTGGTAGCCTACCAAGCCACCCAGTGTTGAGCTCTCAAGGCCCCCACCTGTGGAAGGTGAATATACGATCGTTTCCAGAGCCACCCAGGAGGTCGCAGGCGACCAGGTGAGACGCAATTAAGGGCTAAGGTTTCATTCAGTATTTTTTTTTGGGGGGGGGCCTAATCTCGGGTCAGGATGACTGCGACTGCGCAGTGACATCGGGGTCAGCATGTAAAACGCGATGATGGCCCAGGTGTGTAGCGTTTCGGAAGTGCCCTACTTTGGTGTCTAGGAAATGAATTGGCTGAGTTGTGTCTGGTTCATTTCTCTAGAAGGGGCAAATCTAGGATATATAGCATCATCAATAAAATATTGTTCAAATGCACTTTTTCTGAATAATAGCAAGTAAATTTTAGGTCTACATCCTTGGAGTTACGTCTGTTCGTGCCTCGACATGTGGGGTCATTAATACACGCCCTCTGTTGCTCAAAATGTGGCTGGAAAGGCAGGATATAATACCTGCGTTTTACCATTTTAAGGTTTTAAAATTATTACGGTCGTTGATCCTTACAGTACAGATGACTATTAAAATCCGTTCGCTTAGATATATTATTCAGTCCATAACCATCGTGCCCATTTCATATCTCAGATTAAGGAGGGGTAGGCCTATTTAAAAACTGCAGCACTTAATTTTCATGAGTTTTTCTTTGATATTTCGAACCCAAGTATTCGCACCATGATTCGTCGAGTTCGCTGACCGGTTGTTTCTAAGCTCCTCCCCCCCCCCCCCCAACACGTCCCGTTCATCCTGACTTCGTACGGGTCTCGTATTTCAAAACCAGCATTTTTAATATAAAATGACAAAACAGTTTTAAAAATGACAAATCCATCCTTGGTTAAAAAAAAAGTCTGCCATCTTTAAGTCTTTTTATTAAAGTGGGTTGTCATTTATCATTGGTTGCAGTCATGCGCAGTGACGTAGTGCACATCGCCGACAGCGCATCTTTCGTCACCGGCCGCCATATTTTTAATTTGTGAACCCTGACTCTTGAAATCTCGCCTTGCTTGACGTGTGTCTGTATCATAAGTCTTAAAGATTGACTGATGATCCGAAAGCACATAACAACGAAGTAAATAATGAAATTGGAATCATAGAGTAATAATAACATATTGAACAGTGTGAAGAAATGCAAGTGGCCTTTGTAAAAGACTTCTGCAGAAATATTGAAAGGTGAAAACAATGTTTGGCCACTTACACATTTTTTGTTAGAGGGTTCGTGCAATGATTTTTCTGAGGAACACATTTTGTGCAACACTCTACTCCTATATTGAAATGTATGAAAACTATTTGACATGCCTTTTTGGTTATTTTTTTATTGAAAAGTGCACTTCTTTAAACATTTAAAATGTTCGATTCTTTTTCAGACAACTGAGGGCGCTGTTGCTAGATGTCATTTTAGGAAGAAACTGCTCAGTTTAGGGGGTTTTCTGTTCACATTGTTAACCCACAATTTGCTCATTGAAAACATTTGTGAGAAAGACTTGATCAATAGCTTACTGCCATGTACTGACACGACAACGAATCACTAAAGAAAAGAAAATTTATGACAGCAAAATATCCGAAATTCTAGCAACTTTTTTGTGCTGAAGTAGCTTAGTGTAACATTGAGGTTTCTGCCTGGAATGACATCACAGTTTTGCTCATGAATACACAAATTCCAAAAGGGACCCAAAAAGGGAACCAAATACAGTTCAAAATGGCAAAAAGAAATTGAAATCAGGTTAAATAGGACAACGACACAAAGATGCATTATCAAGGATTGCATTAAAAAAAAGTTACATTTGCATGGGCCCTTTAACACTAGTACACACTATTGGGGTAGCGATTGATGATACGACGGCAAGTTAAGGGGTAAATAATATCAATTTGATTTCTGTTAAAAATTCGTAACTTTTTTTACCAGCCTTGGCAATCAATCTTACTGTTTTTCTTTTTGACGACACTAGATCTAGCTTTTCTTTCACTGTCGGCTGTTCTCCAGCAGCGATTAAGTCTGACTGTGACTTCGCTGCAACAGCGCCCCTGGCCGCACGATGGACGCGTCGACCCTGGCCTTGGCAGGCAGGTCGAAATTTTGAAACTCGAGTTCGTCCGCTTTTCGTGACACTTTCAGGTATTTATTTTATTGAAGGAATTGTAACTGTTATAAGAAGCGGTCAAATTTCCCCTTTAAATCAGCTAGGTACAACGGTTGACTCGTCATGTCTGTCTTCGTGATAGTTAGAGACGACAGGCTTGCGTTCATTGCCACACCGGAACTGGCGTCGTTCGCGCGCCGCCCTACAGGCCAGCGAGAGTCACAGCCGAAGCAAACCCGTACGAGTCCCATCATTGATCCGATGACTTTGGCAGATCAGAGGACCATGATTTCCCGGTTTCGAGATGACGAGCATCCAGATGGGAAAAGGATTTTGTACTTATGGTTAAAAAGTTAACAATCTTACTCCGAACAATATTATGGGTGGCCGGGATTCAAGAAATAATTAATACAAATTTGGTTAAAATCAAATTGAAACTTTGCATGTGCAATTTCTTTTAACCACAACCTTCCATTTCGAAACAACTGGTATGAGAGAATGCGTTATAAACCAGTAAATTTGCTCTGCAGTGACACATGCCACCCCCCCCCCCCCCAAAAAAAACCCTCGATTTTTCAATTTCTTTGCCACCCGTTAATGATAAATAGCGCCCTCTTTTGACCGACGTTCGTTATTAATCAGTGAAACGCATGCGCACGAGGTAGTAAACGAACAAGATGGCTGCCGGTACGAACTCATTCGGAGAAGGACTGTTCAAAATCGGCAACTGGGTCTCTTGCAAGACATGTTTCGAAGAGAGAATTTCGGGGGAGGTGATGGCATACGACCCCGTCAGCAAGTTCCTTGTTCTCAGTATCCTTTTTTGGTGGCGTGGTTGCCGAGAAATCTCGTTTTATTTGCGTGCCATATCAGCGACGAACTCAATGTAAACGTGGGCATGCCATGGTGGGTTCAGGATTTCTTTCAGTTTCACGAATATCTTGATCATGTTGATGACTAGCCCGACTGCGTCTGGCCGTACAGTACTATCGCAAGCTCTGTAGTACGGCCAGACGCCCGATGCTTCCACAGAGACTGAATTTTTTTGGCCGCCGATGTAGCGATTTTGCTACATCTTTCGATTGCGATTATCTTTTCATCCAGGACACAAATTTCCAAAGTTAAGGTTCGTAGTCGTAGAGCAACTCATACCTTTTCGAAAAAACGTTCTTTGGTCTCAATATTTTCATCCATCTGGCCACAAGACGAATTTCAGTCATCAGATTCCACAAACATGACAAATATCGTCCCCCATGCGATCCCCCATGCGATTTCAAAATGGCGGCCGCGCTGTAATGTATGCATTATGCGAGCGCACTTGGGCAAGATAATGAATATGCATTATTTAGTTCATGACCTCGTGTTTGTATGGCCAGCCGCGCTGAGTGTCCGACAAACGTCATAAACTATGATGCATATTCATTATCTTGCCCAAGCGCGCTCGCATAATGCATACATTACAGCGCGGCCGCCATTTTGAAATCGCATGGGGGATCGCATGGGGGACGATATTTGTGGAATCTGATGACTGAAATTCGTCTTGTGGCCAGATGGATGAAAATATTGAGACCAAAGAACGTTTTTTCGAAAAGGTATGAGTTGCTCTACGACTACGAACCTTAACTTTGGAAATTTGTGTCCTGGATGAAAAGATCGCTACATCGGCGGCCAAAAAAATTCAGTCTCTGTGGAAGCATCGGGCGTCTGGCCGTACTACAGAGCTTGCGATAGTACTGTATGGCCAGACGCAGTCGGGCTAGTTGATGACTAGCCCAACTTGTGTGGCCTCTGTATTGCTTCGCTATACGTTAGGCCACACGTCTGGTTTCCCAATCTACTGAGGAGTTTAGTCCGAAACTTGCACATTTGAAGAAAGATAACCTTATCTACCCGGAGGGCAAAAGATACGACGTCATAGTATTAGTAGAATACAACCATATGCAGTTGTATGTAAAAAAAGGTGCGCCAGGCTTAGTTTGGACTAAACTCCTCAGTGGGTTGGAAAACCAGGTGTGTGGCCGAACGTACAGCGCAGCAATACCGAGGCCACACAAGTGGGGCTAGTTGATGACAAAGTGGACGTGATCGAAAAATCCAACGAAAATAAATGGACATTTTGTTCTGATTTTATAACTTTGTCTGAAAATTTTCATCTGCCATTTACTGCAACATTCATCATACTCATACTAGTCATAGGCCTAGTACTGTCATTTTGTCTGCCATGATTTACCATGTTTACTGCAACATTCATCATACTTTCAGAACCGCAATACAGTAATTTTCGACTGCCATTAACATGCAACATAAAGAAGCTTGAGTAACATCCAGATGACATGCTCATCAGGAATTCACATGTAGCGCTGGAGACATAACTATGGTGTAAAAGTTAGATCTTAAGAGACCCTTCAAAAATGGCCTCCCTAAAATTTTTCTTTGTTCACCTCTATAATTAATTATCCCATCCCAGATTCCATTAACATACCTCATACCATTCAGCCGTTATTCACGAAGCTATTGATCGACTTGAAACAGAACAAAAAAATCTTAAAAATGAAAAATGTTGTTGATATCGGTTGCTTGTGCATAAAAAAAACGTCCACTTCCAACGGCTGTTGTCCATATTTTGTGTGGTGAATTATGCAAATGCAATGCATCACGTGATGACAATTGAACAATTTGTGCGCGCGATGTATGTGGGCACCACACCGCTTTCAGGCGCCGCTAGTGGGTTCAATTTTTGCCTGGTGCGTTGTCGTGTAAAACGACTGCTTTCCAAGGAGTAGTAATTAACGAGCTCCCACGAGTGTAAAGGTGGCCTTGAGAAACCATGGATTTGTTTTCCCGTTAAAGACGTAAACAAATCATCGGCATACTTTTTATCATACATTGCTGTGTTGATCTAAACACAGAGGAAGTCCAGTGTTGGAGAAACATTAACCCTATTCACCTAAAGGTACAAAATACTACTGGTAGTAAACTGTTGTATGCAGTACTTCAGCGTATAAGTGGGCACAGCACTCATAGTATTTGTTGGTATTTGGTGCCTGCATACATAATTTTTGTAGTATTCTGTGGTTCTCATTTCTTTATCCCAAAGTTAAAAGGGGCACTAGGTCCTGAAACCCCCGAATATTTTATGTTTTGGATTGTTTATTTATTCTATTTCAAACATGTGGTTGAAAGGAAACCAACCTAATGTCTTACCGTTCCCGAGAAAAGAGGAAAAATCCCCGGTTGTTTACATCAGACACGACGGAGTATGAATACGTTTTTTGTGTCGTTCTCCTACAGTGTACAATATACACGTTGTGTGTCTCGGGAACAGCGATGACCAATCAGCAATGAAAAAAATGTGGTTTCTTCAACATCCGCAAAAGGCGAACACTGAATTCACAACTAGCATCCAAACAGCTCGAATTTATGGGGTCGCAAAAGTGGATCCCGAAATTCGTTCTCGCACGCATAATACAGGAATAACACAAAAATGCCCAGTTTTTAAAGGATAGTTGTGGGGATGTTTATATCGTAGTTTTAAATGTTCTTTCCGATTAACATCATCTCGTTCAAAGCGCATTTTGTAGCCCAATTGGGCTGTTCCAGGACCTAGTGTCCCTTTAATGAGGCTGTACAGACACATAAGCATTATTTCTTTTAGATGTTCAAAGAGAGAAAAGAAAAAGATCCTTCACCAGTTTCCCCAGAAATGCCGTCAACAAATAGCGAAAGGAAGGACACACACGATATACGCATCGTCAACCTGAATGCTGCCAAGGATCCTCAGGTGGAGAGAGTAGCCTCAGAAGCCCCGTCAAGGTTGCCAAAACTTAACACACCCAAGGTAGGAGGATGTCACTGTCACAGCGACAACACGGAGGCCGCCCATCGTGGCTTGCTCATTAATGCACAGCCCATTTTCATGTCTGTGCAGTTGGCACTTGCAGAGAAAACTCAATCTGTCTGTATGGTTACGTTGCAGAAGCCTATTCAGGCATTATCGCAACGGAGTATAGGTACTCAAAGCACTGGAAGTTATCTCTATTATTAGATGAATGAAGTACATGAGAAATATGAGACCCATTATGTAGCACCTTTTAATGGTTTATAAGGTGCTGCGGCCACTGCCAGGACACCGGGGCGAACCCCTTCTCTGAGCGACAAGTGTTACTGGGTTCTTTAATGTGCATTATACAACACACAGGACCTACGGCTTTACGTCCCATCTGAAGGACGAAGCAAGAATGGTTAAGTGCCTTGCTCAAGGGCACAAGTGTCCGCCGGCGGGCTCAAACCCACGTTACTGTTGCCTCTGAAACACCAGAACATGAGTCCGGTGCTCTTAACCGCTAGGCCATGACATTCCACCATGACACTCCTCTAATGTGGAGGAACTAGTTCTAAAAGAGGATGGCTCTCAGAAGAAGCCGAGGTGTTGACTTGACATATCTATGCTTTTCCGTCAGATCATGCTGTCTAAATTGTCGATTACAACCTCCAGTTCTTGTCGTCACCATTTTTGTCTTTTTGAGACCCGTTTATAATGCGCCAGCATGTATCTCTCAAGATGTGCACTCAACATTGCCAATCCTTATCCCATTAGTAACTGTACTTCATTGTGTTACATTGTGTTTATTCACTGAAGAATTCATAAAACCGTACTGTGCTTGGTCAGTTTTGGGCCAATCAAAACCAATCAAAACCTGTATTCACAAAGAGTACCCCGTGATTTTCCATTACATGTAATACGATCAAGCTTGATCAGATCTCGGAAGCTGCGGGCCAACGCTTTGTGTTCTCGCATGAGTCTTGTGATTGTGCCATGTAATTTCAGGAAGGAGTAGTGTTTTGAGTTCAAAAAAATTCAGACTTTTGACCCCAGTGACGCCATGATGACTTTTGACCCCAGTTTGGTCATGTGACATGTTGGGGCTGGTCAACTGATACTTTTGACAAAGTTTGGTTGAAATCGGTCAAAATGTTGTATGTAGGAGCAATAGACAATGTCAAAGTTTGTTACTAACTAACTAACATAGAGATAGATTTGTTGAGCTACTACAAGCAGCTCAAAATTGGGCTAAGGTCTAGAATTTAAAATAAGTGTTTTGAATTTTGTGTTCTTTTTCAGCTTAAAAAGAGAGCGGAGGAAGCCATCAAAGCCAAACAAACGGCCTTTAAATTACTACAAGAGGGCGTCAGCGCCGAAGCACAAAGTTTATTCCACACAATCAGTAAAACGTGAGTACCTAATGTGGGTGTTGGGGTTTTGCCCGTCCCTGACGCAATTTTATAACCACAGCATACTCAGTTTGGGGGAGCCAGGTTGGCGTAGCGGTGCATTCCTCGCCTTCCACTGCTGTGACCCGGGTTCGAATCCCGCTGTGGCCAACATGTGGATCGGGTTTTCAGTCCCTACCTGATTCCGTGGCTTCCCCCAGTGTACTCCGGGATTTTCCTCCCACCTCTGAAACTGTACTTTCTTTTCTCATTGTCTCCTCTCTTCAGGTTTCTTCAGGCTTGCGGGCTACAGTGCCTAGGGCGCTTTTGAGGAATACTTGGTTTCATTACCAAAAAAAGAAATAAATAATAACAATGATACTTGATAGTACTGTCGAACAACTTTTTTGAGACAAAAGTTCCCAAGCCTGCTCAGATGGGACTCGAACCCATAACCTCCGATCCTGCTTACTCTACTAGTGCAGATGACTTAATTTCTTGACCACTGAGCTTACAAGGCACATTGTTGGTACTTAAACAAAAATTGCATTTCTGTACAATTTTGATTTTGACCCCTAAAAATGATTATTATTATTTTTCAATTGCTACTTGTTTTTCTTGTTTGAATGATACATCCAATGAAAAAACTCCACCGATGTTTAGTCATTGAAGTATTTATTCACAAAATACTTAATTGCAGCCTGACAATAATTTGGCTCTCGTAAGGCACATTCATTTGTGCCAAAATGAAGCCTTCAGAAGCTTGCAGACGCCCAAACCAGAGAAAAAAATGTTGTTGTTTTTTCTTTAAAGGGAATATACATCATTTGCTTTTACTGTAATTTTCAGAAATGGATGGAATTGGGGGGTTGGAAATATATAGCAAATATAGTTACACTGACTTTTTTGAGGTTTTGGGTTCGAAAATGCTATAAAATCCAAGAAAAACAATAATTTTCCTGTAGTCTGGTTCCCTGACTCCATATAAGAAGAAACAGAGCAGTTTACATACATTGGGGAATTGTAAGGTCAGGGAACCAGTCTAGCTGGCTCGTACCCGTTCATAGGTTTGTAAGCAATTGCAAACAAGTGCAATGGACAATTGGGGCCAGTATTTGAAGAAAAACACCCAGTTTTTTCCAACGCTGGTCGGCCGATCAGCGTTGGAAATTGATACAAAAATACCACTTTTCTTGAAAATGACAGTATACCAGGTGCCATGATTTTACAGGATGCTTTACACTGTCATTCACTTACAGTCCAGCAAGGTATTTCAAAATGATTTGGTAGTTTTATTTTTTGATGTTTGCAAATGTTGTATTTTCCCTTTAAAGAGCGTGGGGCATCATCTTTAAAATCCATGCTATACAGGTTGGGTTCTATCTTTCAAAATGTATGAAAACATCCTCCAAAAATTTGGTTAGGTTTAACGTTCCGTTTGTTTTTTTGTTCTGTTGATGTTTCCCAGACTCCCGTGCAAATGGCAAGGTCCAGTCATTGTGGTCAACGAGAGCGTGGAGATCCCGCCACCATACGGCACAGAAAACTGCCAAGGGAAGGAGAGCGCACTAGGTCATGTTAAAAAAATTGTGAGTATTCAGCGTCTATTGTAGACTGGTCGCCGGTCCCTTCGAATGTAGGGACCGGTTGTGGGCAATGGATTAGGAATACATCAGGTGGATTTCCTCCTAATGTATGCAAATTATATGCAAGACTTGGAAGATATAATGCAACTAGGTCTGATTCCCGGCCCCTGACTGCAAAAACACATTGATAATGTAAGCGCGGAATGGGCCACTAATGGGCAATTTGTGGGGTGATAATTTCCATTTTCGCTGAATTCGAAAGTGTTTCTGTCAACTGTCAATAACGATAGGGGCCCTGCTCTTCAGTATTTGAAACCTATGAAGTTGAAATGCTAGAACATTGCCTTCCGTGGAGACACTGTGGCGATTTTGCCTACTGCTTATGGTAAGAGTCAGGTTTTGTATAGCCATGTGTTCAACTGTCGGCCATGTGCAAAGCTGTAAACATCATTTTCAAAAATAAACAAATCATACTGCGCACACGCTCAGGCGATCCAATAAATGGCTATAAATGGGAAATCTCATATTATGGGAGCAGGAACCAGTCTAAGTCTGTTGTACTAAGTCATGATCACAAGACGGTAGTTTAACCTGAATAAATCTTTGAGCAACAGAGGGCGCTGTTTTCACATTTCCTTGATAACAAGAGGGCAGTGTAACTCAAATATGCTAAATCTTTCAGCAACAGAGGGCGCTGTTTTCACATTTCCATGATCACAAGAGGGCAGTGTAACTTGAATATGCCATATCTTTGACAAACAGAGGGCGCTGTGTTGGACATTTCCATGATCACAAGAGGGCATTGTAACTCGAATATGTCATCTTTGAGCAATAGAGGGCGCTGTTTTTGACATCTCCATAATCGCAGGAGGGCAGTGTAACTTGAATATGCCAGATATTTTAGCAACAGAGGGCGCTATTTCGACATCATTTACAGGTGCAAACAGATAATGAATACAAGGATTTTGTGCATGTTTACATATTGGTATAATTGAATTTTTTATGTAACCTGTATAAATTATTTGTTCTTTCCTTATTCTCTGCAGGTTGATAAATTTCACAAAGACAAATCGGCGGGCAGTACTTGAGATCGACCCCCTGTACCTCTTTCCTAGTAATTCCTAAATCTTTAAACTAGAAACTCATCCCTTCCCCCTTTCCTCCCCCTCCCCCCCCCCCCCCCGATCCCATCCTAAGAAAAACTCCTTCCCCTGTCCATAACTACAAGTGTGGACTTGTACCTCATGATGTTTTTCCCACGTGTGCTTCAAAACTTGACCAAACTTTCCTTAGAACTTGATTGGCCCTATTTACTGCTAATGCTCTAGAGAGTTTATTTGAAAGCAATGACCAAACCTCCAAACTGTTAATCACTCATGAACATAGCTCTTGTGATTGCATCACAAGCTGAAATATCATGAATGGCATTTAACAATTAAGGTATCTCCATTGTACCATCAACTGTAAGTTATTGAGTGATTTCTGCCCATTTTTTAATCAAATTTTTAGGGCAACTGAACTTTTGGTGTTGCCAAGTTCGGGAATAGGCTCGATACCACTCCGAAAAGTCGAAACATTTTGCCCATGTGATTTTCGTACCTTATTATCTCAAATGTTAAGAGTGAAAATGAAATATTCAGAACTCAGACCTGGTCATCCCCGTTTGGGAAAATCTCAGTATTCTAAGATGGAATCACTACAGGAACAACAATGAATACCAGTATTAGGAAACATAGGAGCAGTGTAGAATCACTCTTTCTTGAAATCTTTAATTCCTTTTACTTTTTAGGACCTTTTACGTGTTTGTACGTGTGTTCATGTATTTTTTTCTAAAAACCGTTTTTGTCTTCGGATTTTTGTGTCGTGTCCTTAACATTTTCTCACTGAAGCTTTGACGGTTAATGAGTAAAGTCTGAATTACCATGGGAATTTAAGTTTAGCTACGACTTCTCATGGACATCGTGAGACTTTTGATGCAAATTGTGGTTCGGTCTAGTCCATGGGAAGACATCAAGGAAATATTTTTATTCAAAAAAAGTCTTTTTAAGTCATCCAGTAAGTAATTTGAAAGAACCGTGACAGTGACTTTCTGTCATTGTTCACCGCCTGTATATTTGTGATCCGACATTGCGGTTGAACTAATACGATTGACTGGATAGAACATAATGTATAATTAATTACCAGCTCTGCAATAAGCCATTTGCGAGTTAAATTTGAATAAAATCAGGAGCACTGACTTAATCCAATGCTTTGCACATTTTAACTTTGCATTCTCCCGACCAAAGAGACTGTTACTACATCACGTGATTCGGGGCAAGCCTTATGCTAGCAACACCCAGCTCTGGCATGGTCTGGTGTCTTTGTGCCATTCTCACCCATTGTGAGCGATGTATTGATGCTGAGCGTCTCTTACGTAACTATGCAAGAGCTTGCCCCGAATCATGGGATTAGCAACGGTGTCTTTGGTCTGGAGAATTCAAAGTTAAAATGTGCCAAGCATTCTGAGCAAGTCAGTGTACAAGATGTTATTGAAATGTAAATCCCAAAGGGTATAGATTTCTCGCAAATGGCTTATTTAATTCCCCAAAATGTACCTTCCATTTACATGTACTTTATTTGGATGTGTTTAACAACGAACAGAAAACAAGGCAGGGTTTAAAAAGTATTACCAACAAAAACAAGATTTTTTTTTACTTGTCCTTTTCTTGTCTCAACCCAAGTAATGTTTTTTTTTTAAATCACGTTTGTACATGCCTCGCGTTTGCAACGCATCGTTGAGTGGACAACAATACCCGCATAATTATAAAGAAATGCATATAACATAATGCATTGCATAATTATATTAGGTCAACATAACTTATTCAAACTTCACCGCAATGCATTGTATAGACGTATCGAGGCGCGTGCACACTGTACCCTCACAAGCCCCCCCCCCCCCTTCAATGGCGACACCATTGTGCACGCTATTGTACAAAGCAGCTGCCCTGTGACGGATCATCTGAACAATAGCTAACACAATGCTTTCACCATTGAAGGGGGCCTTCGTGATAGAATTGACAGCGTGCCGGGATTGGTCCATACACTGAGCACTTGTATGCGTGTTTTCCAACCACCAAGTTTTATCAAGGAAAAGTCAAAAGTTATTTGGGTTTTTTTTTCTTTTATGGTGACCTTTTAAGATATAAATAACCAAAATCAAAAGATTTGCAGAAATAGTTTTTCCTCGGGGGGAAAAAAGGAACATGGATTTGTTATATTAAGTGGGATGTTGCTAATAGGGTTTCTCGCCTAGTAGGGTATTCACTGAACGTCTTTAAGAAATAGTTTTCATTTTGGGTTAAAAGAAAACATAATTTAAATAAAGAGAAACATTTATGATAATTCTTGACTTGTCTGTTTTGTGGAGTGAATTTATGTTGCGTATATTGTTTCTGATTTCAGCGTAATTGCTGGTGCGTGTTTTCATGCTTACAAAAGATTCAAAGTCAATTTGAACAACCAAACGCGGCTTAAAAAAAATGAAAACAATTCAAAGATATACTTCACAGCTCAACACCGACACCAATTATTATTACCAAAAATATGAAACGAAAATTTAAAATTTCACAAACTCACAAAATTCACAAACTGAGCTAGAACACCATTTGAAGAAGACAAAGGTGTGCCGAGTTCGAAAAAAAAGGAAATTCTTTCTCAACTTTAGCTTGAAAAACCATTAGCCTATCTGGAATACCATATTTGTACAAATTATAAATTGTAAAACTTCCATTACTAATGTGAGTTTAAATTACTAGACACCACAACTACTATTCAGTTTCAAATGTTAATTACCAATATGAATTAAAATCTGACCCTCTCCACCATATTGTAATTTATTAAATATTTGTTTAGTTGTTAAATAATCTAAACTTTCGCTCTCACACAAAATGTTTTCTCAAATTCTAGTCAAACGTAATTGTGATTTAAAAGAATAATGTAGCAATGATCCTGCTGTTAAATACTATTTGAACAAAGGTCCTTTAATAATGGATTAAAATTGTAATCAATAAACGTTAGAGACTCCCTTCCCAAACAAATTGGCGCCAATTTGTATTGATGCACCCTTAGTACTAAGGGTTTTCTTTGATATCAAAGAGGGTTTTTTTTCCTACAAGCCCGTTTCGGAGATGGTGTTTTCTGCTTCGATGTTTGGGCTGGACTCCTTCTCGAAGCATCCACAGAACATCTGGTGCCAACCCTCTCTGAAACCGTCAAGCCGCAACCAGTAGATGAACGGGTTGATCAAGGGCGCCAGGCAGTAGATCGCACCGGACATCCAATAGGCTGCCTCTAGGTTTTCCAGATCTCCGTGGAAGAATTGGACCATCTGGATCACGCTGAACTATGGGCGGCCATTAGGGCAAAAAAGACAAAAACAAAAATAAAACAAAACCACAAAATTAAACGAAAACACACAAAAATAAACGAACAACTCAGAAATAAACAAATATAACTCAGAAATAAACGAACAACTCAGAAATAAACGAACAATTCAGAAATAAACAAACCATTCAGGAATAAACAAATATAACTCAGAAACAAACGAACAACTCAGAAATAAACGAACAACTGAAAAATAAACGAACAACTCAAAAATAAACGTAAAACTCAGAAATAAACGAACAGCTCAAAAATAAACGAACTACTCAGAAATAAACGAACAACTCAAAAATAAACCATCAACGCAGAAATAAACAATCAACTCGGCGTTAAACGATCAACTCAGAAATAAACGATCAACTCAGAAATAAACGATCAACTCAGAAATATACACGAACTCAGAAATAAACGAACAACTCAGAAATGAACGAAGAACTCAGAAATAAACGAACAACATCCCCAGGGTGTCGAGCAGCAGTACGCGCCCACCATGTACCATACATTACAGAAGTACAAGTGCAGACGACATAATGTTTACCGCGGCATCCAAGATGGCGGACACCTTGCATCGCTTCACACACGCGATAAACACGGACACATGACACATGACGGGTGAAGTGGGTTTTCGTGGACGACCTCCGACGCCTAATAAAAGGAGTCTAAGCGAAAGGTAAGCCTGATTACAGTTTGATTTTTATGATGGAAAACGTCGACTTTATTCGTAAACTTTTACAATGTCAATGGCATATATCCCGCCATCATGTCTGTACGTCATGCGTGTGGGCCGGGTTTGGCCACTGTACTAGCGCGCGGTGCGGTGGGCAGACCACGGACCATTACATGGTCCGTGGTAATGGACCATAAATGGTCCGTGGTACATGCATGGTCAGACCGACCATCGAGCTATATCCGAGGTGGAATGATTCCCACATCTGGCCATCACTATTTTTCCCCTTCAGTGACCTATCATGCATCAGAAAGTGATAATTTGTCCAAACAAGTAAAATTTAGCTTGGGAAAATATTGAAATATTTAGGAAACACTTGGAATAGAAATGTCCAGACCAGCTTCATACGGTTTGTGCACAGGGATGGCCAGATATGGGAATCTTCCCATCATGTTCCCTGCAGTGTTAACAGCCATCAGCTGGAGAACATATTGAAGTATTTACCGAGAAAAAACGAGGGAGGGGAGGCAAGGGGGGGTGCCCCCCCCCCCCCCCCAGAAGAGCCACACAAAAAAGGAAGGAAAAAAACAAGAAAAAGGAAATTTAAGAAATAGATGTGCAAAGTCATATTTTTGTAAATTTAATGAGTTGGGGGGGGCAAAATGTCCCTGCCCCCCTCTAAAACTGATAAATTGAGAATATGTTGAGAAATACAGGATTTTTTTGGGAAAAATATGTTTTACCCCCCATTAGAAAAAATCTCGGCGACGCCTATGTTTGTGCATAGGGTCACCATGGTCACTGTCATGGTGATTTCCAGGTATAAATCTTTTTCTGGATAGCTTTATGATAGGTGATTGCACTCTATTTTACTCTACACTGCCACCATCAGTCCCCTGATTACAACTTGATTAACATCTCTGTAGGCCTGGTCTTAAAGAGTTTGTGATGAGATTTTTGCAACTTTTCATGCTAAACCGTTTCATATATTTTGTCATTTGTCCCAACAGAGAGCAGGATATTATGAACGGTGTTCAAGCCAGCTACATCAATGATCCAGATGGAAAGCAACAGAAACTCAACTGAAAGAAAGCAACTTTAGTCTTGTCTGATAAGTGCTGCATGTGTTCCACAGCCCATGCCAAGTATGGACTGAAATTCTGGCTTAACTACCAGATCTTAGCTCCATGATACAAGTATGTAGACAGCAGCTGGCTACTAGCTGCGGCTCCCCGAGTACCTTGTAAAATGGCGAATGCACTGTTAAAGTTATAGAGATTTTTTATTATAAGACCCCCGAAAATCCACAAATACATGTATGAGAGAAAGTTCACTGCAACCACTGATGCATTTATGCAGAGGATTCAATTAGTTTGGAACTTGCTGCAACCCCTGTCCAGGTTGTCATTGAGGATTCTGTCCGAGGACTTATTGAGGTGAACAGTCTGTCAAGGTTCAGAGAGGTGACACTAAAGGAAGTGATTCTAGCCAAAAAGGACTGCACAATTTTCCTCTGCAACTGAGGGAATCAAAACCCATGACGAAGGAGAAATCGAGTTTTACCAAGTGCAGATGCAGATGGCAGTTGTAGGTGTGCCTTGTTGTGACCTTTGAATTTTCACCAATGCCACAGCGATGTGCTCATAGTCTTTGTACATGTTTCATTCATTGAGGCATTTTTGAAACCATTGAGGATTCTCCAATTTCATAAAGGTCAATGTTTTACCATATAGCCCAGGGTTTGCAATTTTTTATCAAGACACCTTGCACAAATTTTATTTGGCAAAACTAGTTAATTGGTCTTGTCATAAATGTGATTGCTCTAGTTCAAAGAGTAAAAGTGCATGTACATGTACATGTTATTATTAAAATTATATTTTAGACATTAAAATTTTTGTCAACAAATTGCAGACTTTTTAGTCATCTTTAAAAATCTATACTTTACTTTTCTATGAATAGTTAGTGCAATTTTAGGTGAAACATATATGCACCTAGGACAGTTTAAATACATGTTTCTACTAAGCAATTTGTGTTTCTACTGAGCTAAATGTGTCATTAAGAATAGGAGCAACTTAACATGTATCTGTACAAGGATTGGATGTATTTCGTCGATTGGTTTTGGAAACCAACTTTAGAGACTGCAAGTTAACTGTTGATTTATATACGGCAGTTCACATTTTGGACAGAATTCCACATACGGACGTCACTTGAGACCCTGTATACAACTTTGAGAGTGGTCTGAACATTTCTGTTTTCTCACTAAATTCTTCAATGTTTTCCCTGCTATACATTTGTATTTGACTTTGTACGACATGTTATCGCTTTCTGATGGCTGGTAGGTCATTGCAAGGAAAAATTATTGACATCCGTATATGGAATTCTTTCCTACATGTTCTTGTTATGTTTAGTAAAAGGATTTTTTAAACAACATTTTAAGGTTTCCTTCCACTCTTGAGCTTTAATTTATTGCATTGTACTAGACTGGGGCAAGCATTATTTGTGTGTAACTTAAAGAAACTGCCTGAAAAAAAGTACAATTCACATTTTGCAAGTTAATTATTAAACCACTGCTTTAATATCTCATCCAAAAAAACCCACATTGTAATGTTAAATTAGCAGTTATATTAATATCACTTGTGTTGTAAACATTTTTTTTGAGAAGTATACAATGTATACAATTGTGCTTTTCAAAATATCATGTATGTACAGTTAACCATGCTCAACCTGTAACACTATAACATCATTTCATGAGATTACACAAACATTTGAACAAAATGAACTAAAGGTGCACCATTCTAAGTTTTGTGCAATATGAATATCCTGATATCTGTTTGACAAAGGTGGGGGACAGGGGTGGGGTGGGGGTTAGGGGTGGAATGGGGGTTGGGGTGGAGGCACTGGAGGATGGGACATTTGGTGAATTGGGTGGGGGATGGGGGGCGGAGTGTGAAGTTTAAACTTGTGATTGGCCCCTAGTAACACAACTCTCTGTAAAATTTACATGAATCTGCCAAAGATTAAAGACGACAATGCTGTGCTGCAGATCCAGAAACTTTACTGTGTAGTACAACTTCTGCTAATACAGTTTTGTAGTGGTACATGTCAGGCACAGATTGACTACAATAAAATAGAAAATAAAATGTATGTATTTGTTACAAGAAATTACCCAGTACATGTGTATTTGTGTAACCTTATTGTAACAGAATTAGCTCATTACATATCACTTACATGTTCCAAACACATGCACACACATGTCCAAAGCAATGTTTATGTAAATACACATGTAGGCCCCTACAATGTACATGTACATGGAGTGAGTGTATCAACTATGACCTAAATCCAGTGTCAGTCCAACAATTTGCATTTATACTAGCTACTCCACATTAAAAGAATACTGATGTCTAAATGCAAGAAGGGTTTAGGTACACCCTGTATAAATCTCGACCTGCAGTACATGTGCTTTTAACAGGTTCCACAATACCGTGACTATGCAACCAACAAATGCGTTGAAAATGCAACTTATAGGCTATAAAACGGTACTAAATATCACACTTATCACTACATAATTTATAGAAATTGTTTAACAGTAAACTGCTGTACCAACCGTTTAATAAACCTCAGCGATTATTGCTTTGGGCGAAGAATTTAACACACAAGTTGCAAACTCTACAACGCTAAATCTATGTTGCTAAGGAGAGCTTGGTTACCATCTTTCTGGTACAGTGCCCTCACTAGGCAAAAAGAAGAAATCTGAGTTTGGCCGCTACTTTACATGTATCTAGCACTGCATGTATCTATTTAAATTTAATAATTTTTACAAATATCTGCAGAAAAAAATGTAGCACCTCTTTTAGTTTCTGTGTGCAGAAGTTGTACAGTTACAATTTACATGTACATGTAGAACTGCAAATGTGACATGGATTAGACTTAGAGTGACAACAAAGACTTAAGTAGGGCCTACATGTACATGTACATGTAGGCTACACAGAAAAAAAACTAGGCCTACATGTACTTCATTTAGTGAGGGCCAAATATTGTAGCATAGCAGCGCACTTTTTGAACGCTTCCTGTAGGTTAGGGGTATCTTCTCTCCAAGAAAATGTCACTGTTTTCCCATTTACCGTTGAACGGTCGCGCATGCTACTGCAACAGACTCAACCAGCTGATGAGGCTGCAATGGTCTGCTCCAATGAGAAAATGAGGCATATTAAAGTTGTACTTTCCGCTTCATGATTACTTCTCGGAAGGATCTTGTTTCATCACAGGCTTCCCTTCCATGTTACTAGAATCGTCCTGCAACCAAAATTTGAGAGTTACAAATTAATCATCATGTTGACATCCTGTTCGGATTACTACCATTACTCTTGTACCCTGTGCAACCAGTGGAACCAAAGAGAACTGAAATAAACTGCTGATTTTGTTTAAGTAAATCCAATTCATTTTTTTCTTCATTTTCTCTGCTTCCAAACACACAATGCATGATATTTTTTGTGGGTCACCAAAATAATGCAATATGCACACAGCAGTTCACAGTTTATTTGGGGTTCACTGAGTATTTCAGGCTAAACAGTTAAACCATGTCAATGGCGTATTTGAGAAGCGGTTCGACTGGTGGCAGCGCAATCGACAGATAGCATCACGATCACCCGATCGCGCTCAACATTAATACTAGTACTAGGGGGCTAGGGGCCTTTTGCGTTTGTAAAAATTGTTGCGTAAAGATACTAAAAAAATTCAACTCGAACTGAAAAATAACGGGTAAAAAGTCTCTTTTATTAGAATTATGAATAAAATTTTAGAGTCGCGGAAGTCGTTTGATCTTTAAAGCGGCAAAATGCTCAAAAAATAAACAAGACACATAGACCATACCCGTCCGGGGAAAGAATCCCATAGTCTACCTCCTAGATGGAGGTTACTTCACACCCTGTTACCATGGTGTTACAAACCAGTATAATGAGACTGGTCTGAAAAATTATGTTTTCTCACTAAATATTTCAATATTTTCCCAGTAAATATCACTTTTTAGGACATGTTACCGCTTCTGGTGGCTACTACTAGTATAGTCATTGCAGGGAAAAACTAGTGGCGTACGTGTATGGAATTCCCATTCTTTCCTGTCTGACCAACCATGGAGGAATTCCTCCATGGACCAACGTAGTCATGCATGGCGCAGTGCCACGCCGCGCCATCCCAGCCCAGTACATGTGGCCAAACCCGGCCGGCATTGGCATACCGTTCACATGACGTACAGACTAGACATGACGGAATGCCATGGTAAACGTTTACAAAGTCAACGTTTTTCATCATAAAAATTAAACTGCATCCCAGGCTTACCTTTCGCATAGACTTCTTTCTGGCTTCGGAGGTCGTCGACGAAAAAACACTACGTTTTTACCCTCCGTTTTTTCTACGTGTTCATCGCGTGAAGCGCGCGGTTCAAGGTGTCCGCCATTTTGAATGCCGCGGTAAACATTATGTCGTCTGCACTTCTGTAATGTATGGTACATGGTGGGCGCGTACTGCTGCTCGACACCCTGGGGATGTTGTTCGTTTATTTCTGAGTTCTTCGTTTATTTCTGAGTTGTTCGTTTATTTCTGAGTTCGTGTATATTTCTGAGTTGATCGTTTATTTCTGAGTTGATCGTTTATTCCTGAGTTGATCGTTTAACTCTGAGTTGATTGTTTATTTCTGCGTTGATGGTTTATTTTTGAGTTGTTCGTTTATTTCTGAGTTGTTCGTTTATTTTTGAGTTGTTCGTTTATTTCTGAGTTGTACGTTTATTTTTGAGTTGTTCGTTTATTTGTGAGTTGTTCGTTTATTTGTGAGTTGTTCGTTTGTTTCTGAGTTATATTTGTTTATTCCTGAATTGTTTGTTTATTTCTTAATTGTTCGTTTATTTCTGAGTTGCTCATTTATTTATGAGTTATATTCGTTTATTTCTGAGTTGTTCGTTTATTTCTGAATTATATTCGTTTATTTCTGAGTTGTTCGTTTATTTCTGAGTTGTTCGTTTATTTTTGTGTTGTTTGTTTAATTTTGTGGTTTTGTTTTATTTTTGTTTTTTGTCTTTTTTGCCCTAATGGCCGCCCATACTGAACGGCATCCAGCAGACGAACGAGGTGACTAGAATTAACATAAAGGTGACCAGCAAGCGACGGATCTGACTCAACCGAGTACGGACCTGATGGTCCTCGGTTGGCTTCTGCAGCGGTGGGCTGGAGGTCGCGAGATGGATGGTGTAACGTCGAATCTTACGGAACACGACGAAGTAAAGCCCAGCAGTGATCAGCCAGAATGCGAAGACGACCAAAGGCTTAACAACTCCTTCAATGATGTGGTAAACGTCTTCGTGAGCCAGGTATGCCGGTAGGATCTCGACCGCAAATGAGACGACCCAGATCAGCGCGCAGATCCCCACCAAACGGTTCCTGGTGACCAGCTCGTCGTAGCGCGCCGTGTCCACGAAGGTCAGGGCCAGGTACCGGTTGACGGCCTCGGCAAGGATCGTCCACACGCCCACGAAGTAGCCGGAGATGAAGATCAGGAAGAGCAGATCAGACTCGCCCCAGGTGAAGGCGATGGCCATGACGGCGTAGAACAAGTCAGCCAATGTCAGGTTGATGAGAAGGCCGTAGTACTTCATCCTGAGACGGCTGGTCCGAGCGAAGACCACTAACACCAGGAGGTTGGCCACGGCTGCCACCACGGCACACACCGTCAAGGCGTATCGCACGCCAGTGATAAACTCCTCACTCATGTTATGGGATCGATGCAGAAAGACGTATCAAGCGCGTGAAAACTAGATTTTTTTTCTGGAAGAAAAACACATACAACTAGATTTATATTCGTTGATAAACACATTCGGCGTATCATTTTATAGACTAATATAATGAAATATATATGTGCAGAAGAAAGTTGCAGAGTGATCGGGACGGGCCTTAGAAAGATGCACCTCTAATGTAACGTCACGTCACATACCAACTTTCAACCCAATTGGACATGTAGTTCTGTAGATATAGGCCTACAAAATATGCACCTTTAATATGGCGTCATATGTCATGTGATTACGTCATCATAACAACACATTTAAACGAAGAAGATGTAATGTAGACAGTGTCATGAATTGTGCTTCTTGCGGATCAAGTCAGCCTGATATAAATAATAATAATAATAATATTGGATGGCTTGTTTTCGGTGGATACAAGAATATATTGCACTCGCTGTGACAATATTACACTCGTCTTCGACTCGTGCAATATTGTCAAAGCTCATGCAATATATTCTTGTATCCACCTCAAAGCCATCCAATATTATATAAATATATATGTGCAGAAGAAAGTTGCAGAGTGATCGGGACGGGCCTTATGGAAAGATGCACCTCTAATGTAACGTCACGTCACATACCAACTTTCAACCCAATTGGACATGTAGTTCTGTAGATATAGGCCTTCAAAATATGCACCTTTAATATGGCGTCATATTGTGATTACATCATCATGACATCACTTCAATTTTCATCTTTAACACATCCCAGCCTAGGTACGTACTAAATTTCAATCCAATCGGACTCTTAGTTCTGTAAATAAAGGCCTTAAAAATGCACCTTTAATGTGACGTCACGGGACTCATGATGACGTCATGATGACATCAATGTTCGGCGCACATTATGCAGATGCTGGTCTAAGTGTGTACCAAGTACAAGAAGGAATCATATAGTGCCCAAAGTGCCGTGCAAAATAAAGTAAAAGAAAAAAAACCGAAAAAAATCGTGACGAAAACAGCCTTCTAATGGCTGATCTACAGGGGAGGGGAGGGGATCTGCAACCCTTTTGGGGGGCTGCAAAATAGGACAATCATGGAGAAAATCTCATAGAATGCCTGCTGATGAATTGTAAAACTCTTTGTCTTCAATTGACAACAATGCGCTGGCCAATTGACGGAGAAAGAACTCCGTAAGTTTTCAGCATTTGGGGAAATCAACAAGATTTTTCAAGATTCAATACCATGCATAACGTAGAAAATGTGCAAAGCGGAAAACTCGGTTATACCATGGAGCTGCTCCATGGCTATACCTACATTGCGCTCTGTTACAAAAGATTGAATGAGGTTCGATGTACATTTATTCTATGTGCAAACCTCACCTATGCGATATTAAGTAACAAGACACGGACCACCCCCAAAAAGGTCCAATTCTGGAACAAATATACTAACCAAAGCAGTCAGATGTGTGACCCGGGATGGGTCATAATCGTCATCTACATTCGAAGAGCGTGTAAAGTTTGCAAGAAAAACAACAATACGTACCAGTTCAAGTAGACTGGGCGTTCTGGTGAGTTGAAGTTGTTGACTTGCCGCACATCCAATGGACACGCATGATTGATTGAGTAAAACACCTTCAGTGTAAACCACAATGGCTCTTCACTGCATAAGTCCAATCGCCACACCATGCGTAATAACTATTCAATACTATGCACGTATGAGTGCGTTGAATTAGCTTCTCAGCTCCGTGTATACACCAAACGCTATTCGCCTGGCATTCTTGAAAAACCAAGGTCAAATGTTTGTTGTGCAGCGGAACTTTAAAATGAAATGTAAAGACACTGTCGTCTGCTCCGCTGATATCATTGCAACCATTGTGTCATTAATTAATCATTTTTAATAAATACCTCAGACAGATTACCCATTCCTATTGGTCGAGAGCCCGTTAAGTGGCCGGTCTTAAACGGTTGATTAAAACACCGGCTGGCTGGTCTTAAACACTTTTCCGTGTCACATACAATTTGGACTCCTATGAATTCTGGTCCCTTTTACCCTTTTTATTGGTTGAACGTCCCAATTCTCGGTTAGACATGCGCAATATTACCAATGAGACTGTATTTCATAGTCCTAAATTCACACTACACCAGCAAAGCTGCATTCTGCGCCACATCGTGCAGTACGCACAACGCGCGCGCCAATCTCCATACAAGGAGTTGTTTACGACTATACTTGCGAGAGGCACATACCATAACATAGATAGAGGGGTGTTTTTAAAAAACGAAGTAAACTTGTTGAACAAAGTTGTTGGAAAATTATAATTTTGACTTGTTTTGACTGTAAATTTATTCCCTTATTAGGCCTAATTCCTGGAATCGAAAGATATTGCTCCGAATTATCATTATGTCTGCCCAATTATCACGCAATAACGGCACTGCGGAGGATGACACCGGGGCAGACACTAGCATCATGTGATGGCTAATCGAACGCTCTCGTATAATATTCAAACGCACCCAATGATTGCGGACGATCCCGTGATCCGTTCGTTCGAAACGCCTACGAAACGATCACGCTTGGACCTCTCATTGCTGCGCGCTCGCATCAGTATGCCGTGGTCCAATGATTACGGTGTCCGATCGTGGTACTGTTTTTTATGATTGTTTTATAAATGAGAAAGATAAAATGTTGATGACCTTCCTTCGCTTTGCTCGGCATCAAAGTCTTTGTTTGTCATGCATCGTCTTACATATTTTTTTAAAGCTGATTGCGCCACCAATCGTGAAAAAGTGTCTAGTCCCCGAGCAAAGAGTCTCAGTGGCGTAGCCAGGTGGGGTTTCTCCCGGGGGGGGGGGGGGAGGTATTCCTTCCCCCCCCCCCCCCACAATAAAAGTGCCCTTTTTAACCAGCGTTTACCCCCAAATATTTGTAAAGAGCGCCCGCCTTTTTTTTTTTTTTTAAACAAGTGCCTTTTATTTACCAGCGTACTTTTACGAGTGCCCTTTTTAGAATTTTGCCCGACCGTCGGCATTTGTGCCGCCCTGAAAAGCGCCACCTATTATCCGATGTGTCCATGATCGTCCAATTTGAAGAGCGCTCCTATAGAAAGATGCTACCAGCCCCCGCCCCCGACAGTTTGATTTTACGGAAGAAGTGACCAAAGAAAACAACCTGTCTACATTTCAGCACGGATGTGCGAGTACCCTTCTCACGACCCCCCCCCCCCCCCTAAAAATGACCTTGCTACGCCACTGAGTCTGGCATCCATTTAGTCATTCAACCATTAGCCAATCATCAACCACGGTACATTAAAATCTAATAAAGGCAACCGCAATTGTGAGCCAACCCATCAATGACTTATATGTCGCCACGGCTACCATTGAAAAAAAAATGGTCTTTTAGGCCAAAAAAAAAAGGTCTCCGGTTTCTGATATGCGCGTGCGTGGCCGTAGCCATGCACGTCGGCAAAATGAAACAGGTTTTTTTTTCAATGTAAGATGATGTCTCAAAACTGCCAAACTCACTGGTTTGACTGGAATCCTGCTGCTGCACAATTTTAACGTGTTTTGAGATAGGGTTACGATCGAGTGTAAGCTTTATGTGGCCTCTCTGGACTCCCATATATTTTGCACTAAATTTAGTCGGGCACCATTTGCAGTCATCAGCCGATATTTGAAGAAGAACAAAGTCGCCGCACCACTTTTGGGGCAAGCTCCATACCAGAAACCGGAGATTTGGCCTTAACGGAATCTTACACAATACAAATCGATAGGTAAAGTCAGCCTTTGCGCCCACATAACTTAAGATGCCAAACTGAGTGACATACCAAAACGGAGAGTAAATTATGCACTCTTTGTTGCATGTGAAAAACTATTGAAAAGTTGTCCTTCAGACTCATTTCGTGGGATCCGACTTCAAGTTGTTCTGATGCAGCAACATTGAAGTACAATCCATGCTGTGCAGTCTCGTGCATGCACCGATGCCTGCTCCATGCCACACACGGACTGGAACGTTCTCATGCGAGTTCAACAGGTTGTTTGCGCAGTGCATCTGAACTTGAACGCACGAGCCACGCCTGAGCAAATATGTTTTGATACAGAAATTGAAACAAAACTGTGATTGGCCTCGACTAATGTTTGACGGCAAATCACGCGCCACGAACCTTAATGATATAAGCCAAGGACTGATTGCTGCGTGACAAGTCGAGCTACCGAGGCGGGAACGGGCGCGCAATTGGGATGCTTTCAGATATAATCTATTGATGTAACGACCAAAATGATATCGCAAACAGTTGATTCCTTTGGTTTGAAAAATCAAGGAGGATTTGATTAGTGTCAAAATTGATGTCAAAATCAAGACTGTTGACGTTTTAGACAGACCTTCGATCGATTATGCGTGTCCGAGCATAATCGGTTCACCAAAATTTCGATTTTTCAGGAATTTGAGCCTCATTTGATTCGATATTTCTACGCCAACATGCCGAGGATTAAAGTCAAGCCGGCTCAGCATGAAGATACTTTGCCCTTTACCGTCGCACTGGATTCTGCAACTGACAGTTTCTCGCACTTTCAAACAGAAGAGTCCGGAGAGAAGGAGAAGCAACCGGTGAAGGGCAAGAAGCGAGCCCGGGTCAGCCCTTGTCAGACGGTCAGCGACTTCGCGCTGAACGTGTCGTCTGCGCACGGCCTGCCCAACATCTTTCGCGCCAAAACCAAGCTGGGACGCCTGACATGGTCCCTGATCTTCTTCGTCGGGATTGTCGTGTCCATCTGGCAGGGGACCCTGATAGTCGTCAATTACTTGAACTTTCAAGTTACGACTGAGGTAAGGTTGATTCATTTTCATTAGGCCAGCTTAAACCTGTTTGCAAAGAAAGACGCATTGGACCACTATCATGAATAATGTCAATCATAAATGACATAACACTGTCATCATGAACGTCATTCGTTATTTTGTCATCCTTTTTGCTGCGGTAACTTTGTCATTGTTGTCACCACCCTATTGTTGTCATCACGTTCAAAATGTTGTAATTGTCACCATAAACTAAATCACCATCACCCTACACTATCACCATATTTACAAATTGTCTGAATGGTCTTCAAAAATTCATCACATTTCACCTGCAGTCCCAATTAGTCAAGTCGCAAGCTCGAAACGAACTATGACAGAGAAATGCCTTCGTGACTGTCCATTCACTTACTTGTGATCAGACATGTGAAGTGACTTGTGATTTATCTGGGACCGTACTTGTGATGGACTCGACTTCGACTCTGTGCTATAGTGCACGGACACTTTTAAGGACCCCTCGGTGACCTTATTATATAGGATAATAATCACATTAACATCACTTCCTAGTGGTTATGAAATTCTTCTACAGTTTATTAACCCAGCCCTTCCCAAATCCTCCAAAATCCTCTTTCTATAATGGAGGATTTTGCAGGATTGAAGCTATATGGCAAAAAATGTGTGGCTGATTTTGGAGGATGCACTGTGTCAAGGTCTTGGCCGGACCTTGTGTTGTCTATGCTCAGCCGTGCATACATTTCATTTAGGCCAGGATTGTACTTGAAATCCTCCGCACTGGTCCAGGATATCACTGGCTCTGCCTCAACATGTTGACAGTGATTCCTGGAGGATTTTGCAGGATTGAGGCAGTGTTCAACACTCCAAGGACCACATTCAAGTAATAACGGAGGGTTTTGCAGGATTGATGCTGTATGCAATTTTTTTCATGGAGGCAGTTGAAGGGTTTTGCAGAATTGAGGTTGCATTCTAGCAAATATGCGAGGGTGTTCGGGTTAAGAGTAATTCTCATCCCCGTACATTTTCAGGTGAAGATCGTGACGCACAGTTCGCTGGAGTTCCCTTCCGTCACCGTGTGTAACACCAACAAGCTGCGGCTCTCAGCCATCAGCAGGTCCAGACATCGACAAATGTTGGTGGTCGACCACGACGTTTCACTGCCGTACTATGGTGAGATTAAATCAAGAAATGTCAAAAACTGCAAAGTCTAACAGACCCAAATGCAACATCTGATCAGATTCCGGCTAAAATGAATCTGTAGTAAACAATTATAATCTGGTTTTCGTGTCCCTATCTGTACCATTTCACAGGTTGGAAAATTATTTTGGCTAGTGCGCATGCGTTCAACGAGTAATTAAAGATGTTATTTTTTCTTGGTTACCCCATAATTTCTTTGCTAATGTAAGCACATCATGTTGATAGTAAGCACAAACTTCTGTCTAAGCAGTTCCATAAAATCTGGCCAAGATCGATATTCATATTCAATTTCATGATTTGGCTGGATTTCTTTTGGCTATCATAAGAAGACCTTTGTTTTTGTTCTGATCATTTTTTTCTTCTTTCCTTTTTTTGTTGTTGTTCTTCTTTCCCAACCCAATGAACTTTGCCTTGCCTTTTCCACTTTCCAGCCCCTTGTGTTGGTGACGATTTCCTATGCAGGGACCGCCCTGTGTGTATCAAGCCATACCTGCTGTGTGATGGCATCAGGCAATGCGGTGTGACGGACACCAGCGACGAAGACGACTGCGATTACGGTAAGAAAACATGGATTACCCTAGTCTGGTTCCCAACAGTGTTGTAGGTCTCGAAACCGGTCTCGGTCTCGGTCTCGAGACCACTTTTTGCTGGTCCCGGTCTCGGTTTCGGGAGCTGTGGTCTCGGTCCCCTTTGGTCTCGATATTTTGGCTGGTCTCGACCAGCCAAAAAGTGAGGGGGGGGGCGGATTCCGCCCCCGGCCCTTTTAGAGTTAAGTAAAGAATTAGTTGAGGGCAAATGTGACTGCAGTGTGATGCTAATAGACATGCCTCTCGTCACTTTCTAGTGAGTGAGGCATAGTCCAACAACCATTATTCCTCTTCTTATTTCTCGTTTTTATTGTGGGATGGTCTGTTGAAACAAGCACTTTATAGTAATCCTCACTGATTCCAAATACAACTGAGATTTAAATCTAATGAATCAAGACTGAAACATTATTTTTACCGTCAGATTCTGTGTTTTGAATATGGGGAACAATTCAACTCTTTTCCCCCAGAAATATTGGTGATTTTTTTCTATTTTCCTTTTCAATTTTTCCTTTATTCGTGGAGGCAGGTAAACTTTTTTTTTCCATTTTATTTATTAATGGATATTCGTCAATTCCTAGAATGGTTAAATTGTTATTAGTGGTGGACAGCTGAATTTTGTGATCTTCTTTATAATAATAGACACCACTTGGGAATAGAGTATGCAAGTTACGCGAAATTTTCACGGTTACTACTCAATAACATGTTCTTTTTAGAGATTCCATTTTTTGCAAAATGGAGCGTGCCGGTTCTTATTTTTTTCATACGATCACTTTCTTTGTGACTTGCCATGTATTCATCTTTTCATCTGTGATAAACACAAATTGAGCTACTGCCATAGTCACACAAAAATAGAGTCTAATTGCCTGCCTCGTCTCCTTCCTAAATGTCAATTGCGTTTGCATGAGTCGAGAAGACTTTTGTTCCATTAAACGCTATATGCTGTTTTACGGCCATCACAACAAGCGATTGAAATATTGGCAATATGTCGTACTTGTAAATAACTAAAATATTCAAGTAAATCGCCCGGAAGATTAGCCGATGCGGGCGATACGCTGGCACGGTACAAAACGCAGAGAGGCGTGCGCACTGAGCCATGAATGCTAAAAGTACATCTCGCCCACCACATTCAGTTTGTGACAGCGCCCTTCTATTGTGTCGGCCATATTCTCAAATAGGCTAATGACGATGATGAAGGCGGGCAGATTAACAGAAGATAGATCAGGCAAATATGGTTCATCAATCTTCTATAGTATATGTAACGTTGTGGCAGCGCCCTTCTATTGTGTCGGCCATATTCTCAAATAGGCTAATGACGATGATGAAGGCGGGCAGATTAACAGAAGATAGATCAGGCAAATATGGTTCATCAATCTTCTATAGTATATGTAACGTTGTGACAGCGCCCTTCTATTGTGTCGGCCATATTCTCAAATAGGCTAATGTCGACGATGACGTCGGGCAGATTAACAGAAGATAGATCAGGCAAATATGGTTCATCAATCTTCTATAGTATATGTAATGTTATTGACATTAAACAAAAATAAAGTGGCACTACATTTTAGCCTTAGCCAGGCCTTCTTCAGAGGTAAATGACAGAGGATATATATATAAATGGCATCGACATTAAACAAAAATAAAGTGGCATTACATTTCAGCCTTAGCCAGAGATTAGTAACAGAGGAACAAGAAACAAACATGTAGGGGACACGCAAACGTGCAGGGTTGGAAGGAGACTCACAAAGACGGATGGGGGGGGGGGCAGACCGGTAACAGCCCGATTGGCCAAAGGTTCTTAGTCCGAAGGGTCATTAGTCCAAAGGTTCGTTGGTCCGAAGGTTCGATAGTCCGAAGGGCCCATTAGTCCAAAAATGGAATAAGGTCAATTAATCCGAAGGTTCGATAGTCCGAATAAACGATAGGGTTCGCTAGTTCGAATCGACAATAACGTTCGATAGTCTGAATGGATGATAAGGTTCGATAGTCCGAATATACGGAAGGGTTCGATAGTCTGAATTGGCAATAAGGTTCGATAGTCCGAATTGAGAATATCTTTATATTTTTTTGCTCCAATTTTGTTTTTGGGGAATCAGGTTTACAAGGAGGTCCAATATAAAATTAAAGTTGCATTTAGATATCCGTTTGTAGTCATAGCTGAAACCAAGGGGTGGCTTTGGAGTTTAGGGTCCGAGTTCCTGTAACAGATGAAACATCCACCTTTAGCTTTTTACTTTTGTCAATAGTAGAGTCATTTTCCTGGAATCCGTGACCATGTTGCGGATACCTTTTTTTCGATGGATTAGACAAAAAGGACCAATTTGAAGAAAAATAGCTCCTATACACCTCCCAAAAGTGACGGTTAACTTTTTTATAGCACGTTTTTCAAAATGGCCGCCGACGCCATATTGAAATACATAAAAAGTGATATCTCGGGAGCCAGATGAGCCATATTGATGAATAAGGTGTCGATTCCTACTATTTCTGGCATGACAAATCTGTTAAAATGGTATTCATCACGTTTCGGGACCACTGTGACCTCGAAATTCAAAATTGCGGCTGGTAACCATCTTGAAAACACCAAAGTATAATATCTCTGGAACCAGAGGAGCAAAACAAACATTTTAAGATGTTATTTTCAATTAATTCTGGTATGACAATCCATTAGAATGGTTCTTTTGACTTTTCAGTGACTACCATGACCTTCTATTTGACCTGCTATTTTTTCAAAATGGCCGCCGACGCCATATTGAAATACATAAAAAGTGATATCTCGGGAAACAGATGAGCCGTATTGATAAATTAGGTGTCAATTCCCACTACATTGTATTTCTGGCAATCTAATTGATTGTAATGCCAGGGTTAATTGAAAATAACATCTTATATGTCTGTTTTGCTCCTCTGATGCCAGAGATATAATACTTTGGTGTTTTCAAGATGGCTACCAGCCGCCATTTTGAATTTTGAGGTCGCAATGGTCCCGAAACGTAATGAATACCAGATAAGTAGATTTGTCATGCCAGAAATAGTGGGAATTGACACCTGAAAAATAAAAATATGAAAGCCCAGTTTGTTTTGTTCGTTGATTTGTTTGTTTGTTTTTTCAAAGTGGAATATTTGTTGAGTACCCGTCTCTTTTGAATTTAATTATATTTGCTTACGGATTAATACGTAAGTAGCGCTTTACATGAAACCATTATTCCTGATCGATTTGCTATTCATAATATTAGGTCTTAATAGGTAAAGATACACCGTTGACAAACTATTTTCAACCGGCTGAATTCGTAACGTGCGCTCAAATGTTATGGGAAAATCAAGACTTCAAACCAGTTTTAGACCATAATGGGACTGTCTCGAATCATATCATTATACGGTATGAATAATTGGTGGATTATATTATAATAAACTATTTACTACCTGCTTTCAAGCCAAAGCAAATTAATAATGGAACTCAAGGTAAACTATATAGGCCTTAAAGGCAAAGCTAACCTTGGAAGTGAGTACTACCGTCAATTAGTCCACACAGTGGAACGAGCCATCAGATATGATACTCCGAAAGCTTCTAACAATCCAAGCACTGGACTGAATCAAGTGCATGGGCATCAGGTGTATGCCTAATATAATTAAGTGGAACAGAAATTTCATACACGTATTGCAATTTTGAGACCTGCGCGATAATTACATAATTCCAACATACGCCATGTTGCGAAACACTCATCGTCCATCCATCATGCGCGACACCATGATGGATACAGCGCCTACAATACCTGTCCCTAAATGTAGCGTTTGTTGTAGTACTTAATGGACCAAATTTTGATAAGTGTATTATGGGCGTCACCAGTTTTTTTTTTGGGGGGGGGGAATAAATGAAAAAGTGGACAAAAACACTGGCTGCGAAAAAAACTTATATGAGGTGGGGGAGGGGGAACAATATTTGACGCCTGGAGAAGCTGATAATAAGCGTTTATACAGGTTGAGTAAAAAAAAACGAAACCCAAATGTCGGGACCATTTTTTAGTGAAGTTCTGCATGTAGAACTATCAAAATCTAGGATGTGATTCCAATTCAAAAGCTTTCAAAAGCTTTTTTTTTAGTACAAGAATCATTCAAATCACTCATGTACTTTTCAAGATACCTGTGTCCACGGATCCCCCAAAAGGGTTATTTCAGCAAAACGAAAACAATTCACATGGGGATGTACAATAGGATTTGTACGAGCGATTTGGGCGAACATGTTCCACTTCAAATTTCTTAGACATTAAGAATAAATAAGACTGGGAAAATGGGACACTGCTTCGTAGCTGACTGTAGTTATGACAATTACATCATTTTTCTTTGCCACTGGATAATAAATGACGAAAAGTGGGCACCGTGCGTATCGATACGTACGTGCAGGTCTGTGGGGTAACATCACCCCGGACAACGCGTGACCGCTGCGGCGCAATTCCACAGTGTGTTCCCACTTAACAACAAATTAACATAAATATCAGACGGTAAACAACATAGACACAATGTACGTGCATGACAACGTACAATATTTTAGTCAATATAACGAAAAAGTAGACACCAAGTACACATACACACACTTAGTAAAGACCTTGACCATATCATTACTATAGATCACCAACCCTAACCCTAACCCTAACCCTAACCCTTACCCTTACCCTATAAATCCTATGGAGCGTCGGGCCAATGGGACTTCGGACCAATGGTACTATAGAGACGTCCCCCTGGTTCCTAGGTGCAGTCGGCGGGAGTGAATTTTCACTAGAATAGAGTGCATTTGAACTCTTTGGAAACCAGAAATTACAAGCTAATGTCGACCTTGAACGTCTGCGCAATATCGACTGGGCCTGTAGAAACGCTGGAAGGCGGATTCTCAAGGAATATAACAAATACAAGTTGGAATTAATGGACCAGAAGCCTGTCGTTAATTAAGCGAGAAAACAAACCAGCGTCAGTGGTCCATGAAATTGTGGCGAATAGAATATATAATAGCGTATGGTCGGTGTGTTATCGTTACAATGTCAAATACAAAAGAGGCACTTTGTGATAATTTGTTTGGCATTAGGGAGACATTAGCATGAGGGAGACATCTGAGTGTCTCCCCGATGCTTTTACTATACAGGGTGTTTAAAAAAAAAGGAAACCGAGCATATTTTGTTGATTTCTCGGGTATGACTAATTATTTAGGAAAATGGTAACCACCATCTGTTACATAACCATGTCTTCTTTTTCTTGACACCACGAACACCATTTTACCGTCACGGATGTAACTGATGTAACCGTCACGGAGTACCTAGTGATGTAACTGACATGCCAGAAATGGCCTTGTACCACATGCACCATAAGACAAATTGACAGTTTTCAGCATGTTGAAAATAACAAAATCCAGGATGTACATTATTGTATCATTATTGCTAAAACATATCAAGATGTATCACTGTCCCCGTTAACCCCACTGTCCTTCAACGTGCCCCCCCCCATTCCTTTCAACGCAAATGTCTGCCCTGGTTCTCATTGCTGTGAACGCATTCCTTTGTTGGTGTTTGTGGTGTCGAGAAAAAGAAGACAAGTTATGTAACCGATGAAGGTTGCCATTTTCCTAAATAATTAGTCATACCCGAGAAATCAACAAAATAAGCACGGTTTCCTTTTTTATGAAACACCCTGTATAATTTTAGTGCCGGTTATTCGGGAGAGATTTTGTTGGTTTTTAGTTGTGCACAAGTCTACGGGAATTTCTCCTTAAGGTACAATTTTCAGTTATTGTTATTATGGAGTGCTTTATTGTCATTCAAATAACATATTACCATGAGTTTGAAGATAATTAAAAACTGTTACTTTTCAACTAACGGATTGTTGATCTTAAGCTATGAACACTTCGGAATTAACTGTTTTGTCATCCCGACCATCGGATTTTTAGTCCGAGTTACAATGATATTTTAGATGAGACAAAGATATTTGAAATATATTCCAACACATGACAATAAGTGTTGCATTACCTTGGAGCATGAATTTGTGAAAGATGACTCGCACTGGTTAGTGCATTCCTTTAAATAAATATGGAAATGAACTAAAAGTAAAACAAAAATTGAACACAGAATACGCTGGCCGTTATATATTAAAAAAAAAGTAGTCCGTGAACATGCAGGTACAAAGTCTTAAATCTCATACGTAAAATGTTATTAAGTATACGAAGAGAAGACATTCTTTTTGGTCGTAGACTTCGGCTCGTGCGCTGATGACGAGTTCCGCTGTGTCGACTCGGGCAGTCAATCGGGTCTGTGCATACACAAAGACAAGGAATGCGACCGGAACAAAGACTGTTACGGAGGAGAGGACGAAGATGACTGCGGTAAGATGAAGTCGGAAACTAGGAAATATAACCGGCGTGTTCATAGGCGTAGCAAGTGGGGAGGGGGGGTGGTAAGGGGGTATTTAACCCCCACCCCCCCCCCTAGTATTTTGTAAAGACTGCCTTTTTCCATTTAAATGCCCTTTTTCAATAATCCTCCCAATAACCTGCCAATAATTTGTAGAGAGTGCCCTGTTTTACGACATGTCCCTTTTGGTTGCCTCTTTGAGAATTTCGCAAGTGTATTGTCCTGAAAAGCACCATATTATTAGCCCTTTGTGTTCATAATTGTCGGTTTTAAACAGCGCCCTCATCGACAGATGGTACCAGCGGCCCCCCCCTCCCCCAACCCCCCGTTTTTTAGATTTTACGGATGCCAAGTGTCCGGAGAAAAGAACCTGTCTACATTTCACATTTCACGGATGTGCAAGTGCACTTTTCAAAAAATTGTAAGGCCCCCCCCCCATAAAAATGACCGTGCTACGCCCCTGGTGTTACGGTTGGTAACAAACAACTACATGTACATCTCGAATCCAAAACTTCTGTACAACTTCGTTAGAATACTGATTCTTATATGTTATGAAACTTGTGTCATTTGGACAACGGACAAAATGGATGCCGGTCAGATCTTAGAAGAATCCTGCTGAGAACCTGTTTAATTGGAAACATTTATTCACCTTTTGATGTGTGTAGAATGTAAGAGTTCCGAGTTCAAATGCGAGAAGCGTGGAGGCTGCATCCCTAAGGCATTAGTCTGCGATGGTTATTCTAACTGTATTGACGGCAGTGACGAAAAGACCTGCAGTAAGTATGGCCGTGACACCGGCGACACTGAAGAAGACGCTGACGAGAAAACATAACGACGACAATGAAAGCGACAAAATTGACAAAACACTGATCGATGACCAAAAAAATGATGGCGATGACGAAGCAATGGCGGTGACTAAACAATGACGGGTGACAATGGGATGATTTTGCTTATGATATCGATAGTAACAATGCAACGACATATAAAATGACGATGACAGTGTTGTCGGCCATTACAAAGACCACTGTGATCACGTCGGTGGTTACTCTGAAGACGGTGATAATGTTGACACTTCATAATGACGACGACGTTAAAAGGATAATGACAAGATTGACAATGATGGTAAACAAGGGGATGATGGGATGAAGGCGATGACAGTGGTGACATGGACGATGACCATTATGACGATGACTGATGGTGATGGCGGTGGCAAAATTTGTCGTTGAAGCATGATTTTAAAGTTGCGTAGTGACATTTGCAATTGCCCAGAAACGCAACGAGAAGAAAAGACTGGTACCACATACCCTATGATTGTTTTTCCGCCTGAAATTGTATCATAGGTAGGAAGCAATCATTAAAGGTGATTTGAGAAAGTGTGTCCAATTGTATATTTTCTAACGAGCATTAGCAATGGCATCCGTTGAGGAGACATCAAAATATTATGTATACGTTTTGTTTCCGTCTCCTCAAACGTATAGAAACTTTCAAACGTAGTAGTTGTTGCATACATCCTTCTAAAGATTTTGAGCAATTTCGTTTCTTCAAACGAAAAAAAGAGCCCCTAAAAGAAAATGTCCCAATGTGCCTTTATTAAACGACATGATTCTTGACGTTCAGCCATGTTGGTTCACCGATCGTGTTCTTCTTTACTCCTCCAGTGCCAGACGGGTACTTCCAGTGTGACGATTCGTCCTTCCGATGCGTCTCAACGAACACATGCATCCCTAAGACATATGTCTGCGACAATGATAACGACTGTGCTGATGGGTCAGATGAGAGCATAACCGCTTGCGCACTACTTACGACAAGTAAGATCATCAAAAATCGCATAATATAAGAGTGATTGAACGCAATGGGTCCAGGACTAAGGTGTTAAGCACAGAGCTTCTCACCAAAAAAGAGGAATGTTGCCAAACAAAAACAAGTTACGGCTTAATGATGTTTAATTGACATACATATTTGCTGAGAAATGATCTTTGATAAGCTTGTCACTGGCCTTGGCAAATTGAGCTGCTGACTGATACGAATGAAAAGTCTTAGCAAGGCAAAAAGAAAAAGCACCTAAATGGCTTGATATAACAGCTAATTTAAATTACGGCTTTCTCAAATTTAGGCATGTCATTAAAATGGCTTTCCAAACACCATGAAATTACCCGTTGAGGGAGTCCGTTTCGTCTCCATCATTGCCAAAACTATTTCTTGTCTGCTGAGAGGAAATGACATGTGATTCATACCACGACTTTTCTCTTCTTTCACGCTTTGAAGCTTCTGCTCCATTTCTGTGCGACTACGATCGGTTCAGTTGTGGCAATGGCGTATGCATACCGAACAGCTGGCTGTGCGATTCCGAAGCCGACTGCGCCAATGGATTGGACGAGAGGGAGTCACACTGTGGTACCAGACAAAGAAAGAGTTTACCAAGTTTGGCCTTTCTACTCGTCGTAGAGGGCCATCCACGTGTCCTGACATGTCCTCTCAATACCTATCTCACTGACTGACTAACTGACTGACTGACTCCCCAACCGACTCCCCGACTGACTAGTGGCTCTCAGTTACTTGTGAATTAGACTTGCTTAAGCCAAAAAAAAGGACCATGGAGAGAGGCAAATCGGATAAACTGGCTTGCCAAAGGACACAATGGCCTACAGCTTGATTGGCTCGTGTTTGGCTTGTGTTTGATTTGTGATTGGCTTGTGTTTGACTTGTGATCGGCTCGTGATTGACCTGTGATTGACTTGTGACTGACTTGTTATAGACTTGTGTTTGACTTGTGTTTGACTGGTGATTAACTTGTGATTGGCTTGCGATTGATTTGTGATTGGCTTGTGTTTGAGTTGTGCATGATTGATTTGTGTTTTGCTTGTGATTGACCTATGATGACTTGTGTTTGGCTCGTGATTGACTTGTAAACATTACGCGAACCATTCATGAAAACGAAATTTTAATAATTTTTAACCGTATTTTACTATTTTTGGGGTCCAGGTCTGACCATCTGTGACGCCCACAAGGTGCGCTGTAGTACGGGCAGTGGGTGCGGCATCCAGTGTGATCTGATAGCAGACTGCCCAGACGGTAGCGACGAGAAAAACTGCCGTAAGATAACTCTCAGCAAAACCGTTCTCAACACTCTTTTCGTTCAGATTCAAAGACACACTGATATCTAAAAGTGTTTGTGTAAAATTCATCTTGTTGCTCCCGTGTAAAACAATCCCAGTGAGGGTTTACGAGCATAACCAGCGACAGAGGGCGCCCTTTAGGGTACAGTTTTCTCGAAGCTTTCTTTTTTAAAGTTTCAGGATGACGTCATAATTTGTGTCTTGTGTTTTTGGATACAGAATGCGCGACGAGCGCCGACGGATCGTCCAACTACATTGAGTCTGTGTCGTGCTCGGGAATCTATGGGACCAATTTTAGCAACCCTTTCTACTGTGCGTATTATCTTTGAGCCTTTTTAGGGATTTTTTTTTACCCTACTTTTAGTTAATTTAACAAGTTTATTCGTATATTTCCTTCCTTTGAAGTTTGTTTGTTTTGTTTTGTATGTGTTTATTTTAAATTGTTTGACTTTACTTTGTCATTTTTAATAGAAATTATGTCTGTCTTCACTTTCTATGAGTATATTATTGGAGTTGGCTTTTATTGTACATATTTCATTGATTCCTTCCCCCCTTAACAATTTTATATTATTTTTCTTCAGATGACCAGCACCTGATTTGCAATAACACCGGTACCAGATTGCATCTGAGTTCCTTTTTCAATTGCATTGGTGGGCACATCACTTGTTATGAGCCAGTCACAAACATCGAGAAACCCTGCAAAACAGGTGCGTGGAGCTACCTGTTACTTCTGTCAAAACGAAACTTTGAGCCACTGTTTCCGAGTGAAAATAAACTTTTCGCACAGAAAGTGTCATTTTTGACCCAGACAAGGGTTAGGCCAAAAAAAGAACCAGGATTCCTGGTCAAATTGAACAAGATGTTTTTTCAGAGTGAACTGAAAAAAAAGATCGAATCTTAGCGGAAAATGAAGTTATCCCCACTTTCCAATCACCTATTTGCTTTGTCTTCGCACACAGTGTACTCGGAATGCTACACCAGCCCCAACGGGCAGGATTACCGTGGCTCAACAACAGACAACACCTGCCTTCCCTGGACTAACCCCGGTATAGCCGAGGTGGGTTACACCGGGGCAGCCTACCCGGAGTTGGAGGGTGTTGAACCGGGCACTACGGTAGGCCACGCTTGCTGCAGGAACCCGGGCGGGCTGAGGTCGGGGCCGTGGTGCTTCGCCAAGGAAGAGGCATCCGGCTCGGTCCATCTCGTCCAACACAATTGCACGGTGGGGCCGCCGAGCGCTACGTGCTCAAGAGATCCTTGTGAGTTATTCCGATATACGGGGGAAGGGAGGATGGGCTAGGGGTTCTAATCTTGAAGAAAGTAAAACACATGACGGCTAACCCCCTCCTTTCCCCTTGAAAACCAACTCATGAAGTCAGGTGGTTTGGCCGGTAGAAAGATATGTTTTAGTGCTGTATGGATAGTTAATGATTGATTTTCCCTTCTTACTTGAAGGTGTGATTGCTGGTCTTATTTTTTGGTAAAGTAAATTTATCAAATAATTTGTTATAGTTTATTAAGTCACTTTTCTGCGCAATATTCAGACTCAATTTTCCTGTCTTGAAGGTTTTTTTTTTTTTAACCCCATCGGAGGTGTAGGCAGTGCCAAAACTATTAAAACTTAAACACACGGGCGGTTACTGACATTTTGTAACCCCGTAAGTTTTCGATATCATCTTCAGTATGTAATTGAAATAAAAGGTTTTTTTTACTTCAATATTTCAACATGGACCATTGACCTCGATATAAAGCACCGTCCTCCAGACGTCGACGATCGACGGGGGATCAACCGACAGATTCACCGAGCGATCTAGTCCGTCAGGCACACCCTGGTAAGGCAAACCTTTCAACTTTGATGCTTAATTAAATGAACGGCATTAACTCAAACAAAAAAAAGCGAAAAGGAGTAGAAACATAAGGCGACATTGCGCTGGTTCACAAACACCGCAGTGTCATATACATGCAAGACACGATGATTACCAAGGAAGGTGCAGTCTCAGTCCGATGTGGCTTGAGGGGCATCAGTTTATCAACCCCAATTCTGATTAATGCTTCATTTAGTGTGGAACATACAATTTGTATTAAAGTAACTGGCGTTGGTGGGGCTGTTGCATACTTTCAGGTAACCATAGCAACGCCACTTATTCGTTCTTTTGTCTGAGTGGGGAACGGGTTCCTCTCTGGCAGACATGTAACGGGTTTCCTGATTGCGATGACGGGAGCGATGAGTGGGCCGCAAACTGCAGTGATATTGTGTCAGGTAAGGACAAATGGTTTCAAACACCCTGCAGCGAGTACGTAGAGGTCGCAGGCTGAAGTCACTACGGTGCCATCAAATATTGAACTTATGTCGTCTGCTGCGGTCTCAGTTGACTCAGTATCCTAAATAAGATAGACATATGGTTCATGAACTTTGACCTTCACTTGAACACTGAGACCTCTACCCATAAAACTGAGGTCTTTAGGGTCCATTACAACACCATACTACCATAGTTAACTTATGGTCGTTTACTAGAAATTGATATTTTCACACAAAACATTTGTTTTTAAAGATGTTCATTTCAATTTGGTTTTACCTTGAGAATGTGGGATCAATGAATTCCAATGTCGAGAGAGGACCCAAGAGGGTACAGTCACGTGTATACCGAAGTCCTACGTGTGTGACGATTACCCTGATTGCCTGACAGGGCAAGAGGCCGGGGAGCCTAGCCATACACCGTCTGACGAATCGGCATGCGCAACAGCAGGTGAGAAAATAAGCCAAACGATGCAATCTAAGGTGACTTCGCATGTCGCTCGAGTTGAGATATATCATTTCATGGAAGGGGGTGTAGAATTCTAGGGAGAGAGTCCAATGGAAGCATGTTCCTTTGGAAAACTCCACTAATGAAAAAAAAGTGCGAGATATCATATATATTAATTCAGAAATTAATGTTTAAGAATTGTTTATGATGGAAGCTATAAAAGGCAAACAGCTGATGTATCTGGTGATCTAAATGTTCTTCAACCCTCGACAAAGTTAACGTCGGTAAACCTCCTGGCCAAAGACAAAACTTAGGTGTTTGACACCATGTGTTAGGGTTGCAATCCAGTCAAAGACGAGTACACCACAAAGCAAATCATAGGTCTAAGTCGGGTAGGAGGTATAAACAGGAGCTGTATTAAGCTATGACTTGACATGAGAGGTGATGACTTGCGATTTCCTTGTGATGACTGGCGATTGCCTTGTAATGCCTTGCGAATGGCTTGGAATGGCTTAATAGCAGCCTCCGAGCCCGCGGTGTCATTATCTCATACAAATACTAATGAAGAGTATATATTACACTGTGTTTTAAACACTCCATCTTTTGTGGTGTTAAATTCTACGATTTGGATTGAACAACTCTTTTGGTTTCATATCAGACGAGACACTACCGGCTGACTACTTCCGCTGTGCTAACGGTCATAAGATGATCCATAAGTACGACGTCTGCAACACGGTGCCTGATTGCTTCCCTGAGAAAGATGATGAGTACGCTTGCACTTGGGAAAACAGAACAAGTAAATATTTGTGACAACTCCTGAAAAATAAATGTTAATTTTTTATAGCTGTGTTCGCATTACACCGCTCACCAATTTGTACAACCAAAGAACGAATAATATTGATGCCATTATGACAATGATGCTATCTATTTAATTTTTACGATTCTCTTGTTTAAACTTTTGAAGTAGATTTCTTTGCCAAAACATCGAGTTGTAATCACTCCAATGGAATGAAGGAAAATCGGGTGTGTTTGTTCTTATCTTGATGAGAAAATCAACTTCAAAAGTAAATCATCAAACGCTTTAGTTTACTGTCTGGATTGAAATGGCTCAAGTCGCAAAGGTTACACATATACAGTGCGAGATGTAAGAGAAATCATGCTGTCGCCCTCGACTCAGTACATTTTATATAAACTTATTTGCTTCGGTGTTAGGACAAAAGGAAACATTGCAACCGTATGCAGAGTTTTCACACAGACATTTTCCTTGGAAGGTGAATACGTGTATAACGTACATTGTTATGCCACATTATCAACACTGAAAGCAACACTAGTTTGAGTAATTCTGGTAATTATTATGTCCCTTTTGTTTGCTCAAGGTGGGGAGGTACCAGATCCTTTCGAGTCTCCGCTGTGGTATCAGAAATACGCCCCACTGGTTCGAAAAAAGTACCACTACCTCTTCGACGACTTCAGCTATCGGTGGCGCCCTTTCGACCGTGTCAAAGGTGAAGACCCCCCGGACTGGAACAGCTTCGTTACGTACAGCGCCACACCTGACTACAGCGATCTCGTGGAAGTTCCCAAACTCAGCAAGGATGAAGTGCACCAGTTCGGACACCAGAAGGAGGACTTCATCTTGCAGTGCTCGTATGAAGAGACGAAATGCAATCTGAGGTAAAAAGGAACCCGACTATTTTCAGGACGATCATGAATGTAAGACCTTCCTGACGCTTGAGGGCAGCAGATTGCAGATTCTATTGAGATACGACGAACCTTTATTACGACGGACCTTTATTACCTTTTATTACCAATTACCGTGCCGGCTATCTGATGAACTGGCGAACTGGTAAAATTTGAAAGGTATGTACGGTGGGTATGTCACCTCATGAAATTACCATTGCACTCACAAACATTCATTATTTGTATATTGTTGGGTGCGCAGCAACGGCGCACTCTGACCTACTGATTAGGACTCCAATTATACTTTCGTCATTCATGTGTGTCTGTGTGTGTGTGTGTCTTTTTTCAGCGATATTCAGGAGTTCCAGGACGACACATATGGAAACTGTTTCACCTTTAACCCAGAGGGGTTCTTTGCTACCTCCACAACAAGCTCTAGATATGGTAAGCTTCTGCCATCTTCCAAGCCAAAACAATTGAAATAGGCTAAATTTCAAATGTTGGAAGTTTCTTAATATGAGCGTTTATCAAAGCAAATCTTGTACTCTACTGTGAGAGCGATTACCCTTTCTATACTGAATGAAATTAAGCAATGCTGTCAGATTACTAAAGCTACAAGTTGTTTGGTTCCAGTCCTACTTAATTCTGTTCATGATCGTAGGTCTCCGGATGACCCTGTTCTTGGAGCAATCCGAGTACATCAGTATCTTTGGGCAGGAGGCTGGTGTCCGTGTCGCCATCTCCCCTCCCGGTATCCGACCAAACCCGACCCACCATGGGTTCACTGTCAAACCAGGAACAGTGACTTCCATCGGGCTCAGATATGTAAGTTACTTTAACGGAAAAAACAACAGCTATTGCTAGTGGTGTAGTCTGCTGCATCTGTTGTCTGTCTACTTCTTAAGTTAGCTGCTGCTGCTGCTGCTGCTGCTGCTCAGGCTGCTACTGCTCTGTTTCTTCTGCTCTGCTGCTGCTGCTCTGCTGCTCTGCTGCTCTGCTGCTGCTCTGCTGCTGCTCTGCTGCTGCTGCTCTGCTGCTGCTGCTCTGCTGCTGCTCTGCAGCTGCTCTGCTGCTGCTGCTCTGCTGCTCTGCTATTGCTGCTCTGCTGCTGCTCTGCTATTGCTGCTCTGCTTTTGCTGCTCTGCTGCTGCTCTGCTGTTGCTGCTCTGCTCAGCTGCTGATCTGCTGCTGCTGCTCTGCTGCTGCTCACGGCTGCTCTTCTGCTTCGACCAACTACTGCACTACTAGCAGTTACTTCTGTGGCTGCAGTCGTGAGTTGATACTACTGCTGCTACTGTTTATATGTTAATGATGTATGATGTTACTGCTGTTGCTGTTGTTGCTGCTGTTTGTGCTGCTTCTTAGATTCTGATGCTCCTTGAAGTTATCTTGAAGCAGTCTTAAAGTTATCTTGTTTCTAACAGTGGGCCTATTTTTGTTTTTACTGCGAGACAGAACTTTGTGAACCGGAAGCCACATCCCTACGGAAAATGCCAAACGTCTGTTGAGAATTCACCCATCATCGAAGATGGAGTAGTGCGAGAGATCAGGGAAACCGAGCAGTATGACAGAGGGGTACATTTTTATTTCAATCATTATAGTGCTTTGGTGTAGACTCAACAAAACTATTTAAATGCTCTTGACGAGCGGGTATGTTTTTTTTTTTTATAGAATTCAAGATTTTCAAGTGATGAAGGTAGTGACATCAGATTCAGCAAATCCAAATATGTTTTTTAAACGATCAACACGATTTCCCGTAACGGATTTTCTTTCCTCGTTTTGCAACCGTTCAGCTCTGTAGGAAAAGCTGCCTTCATCGCCACATACTGGAACAGTGCGGTTGTTCGGATACTCTAGAGCTCGACGGACCACGGTGTGAAATACTGAACACGGAGCAAGGTGAGAAACACGATCTGAAAAAGATATCGGTAAAAATATTTGTGTATACACTATTTCATTTATCAACAGGTATGATTAGGCCAAAACAATAATATACGGTCTCTGGTCAGACCAAAGTTCCGGAATTGACGCGAGGACGCGGCTCTTTTTTTTCTTCAAGCTTGGATTTGTACAGACAAGGTGGGGTAATATTTTGCTTTTTTTGGTGCCCTCATGTACATTGGTGTCCTCCATAATTTGCCTTGGTGCTCTCGATCATTTGCCTTGGTGCAATTTCCCATTCCTTGGTGCTCTTTGGTAAAACACATTGAGGAGGTGCGGCAAAAGAGGGCGCTGTTGGAGCTACCGCGGAACATTTTGGAGAAAAAAAGATTGACGCGCATGATTAAAATCGACGCGCGCGCTGACCAGAGACCGACTTATTTTTTGGAGGGGGCCTTAGGTATGATTGTGGACTAGATAAGAAAATACAATCAACACATTTTGTGTTGTAAACTGTTGGTGAAAGACGGCAATGCATGCATCGGTATCATTGAAATTTATTGGCGTTCAATTTTTTTTAGAATAGAAATGCGGTGTTCATTCAATTGTGTCACATTTTATCTTGTAGATGTCTGCAAGCAGTTGATGTACTTCCTGCACCAGAGTGATAATCTTACCTGCCATTGTCCTCAACAATGCAGGCAAGAAGCTAGTTTGTGTTTTTTTATCAATATCCCTGTCATCAATGTCACCTTTATCCTCGTCGTGGAGTCTTCTTCCTTTTTGTCATTGCCATTGTGGAAAACAAACAGCATCGTCATAAACGATTCTACTACTTTCATTTTTGTCATTCCTTTTAGTAGCTTTTGTTGCCATTGTTATCATTGTCACCAATGTCGTTAATGTCACCGCCTCGCCATTGGTTCATTTGTCATGTCCATGTCATGGAAGTTATTTTCGTATCTTCTCCATAATATTGTGATTGTTATACGAAAGAGTCCATGTTGCATTGTTGATTCAACACGTGCTTTCGTCCCCAGTGAGGTTTACTACACAAAGACAAGCTCAACCTCCGCTTGGCCCTCGGCCAACTTCATGGTAAGTTCATTGAACACACCAAGTTTCACGTACTTTGAAGTCAGGTATAAAGAATTAATCCTTAACTCATGATTCTAAACAAATATGACGAGCCATTGCGAAGCGCCTTCTAATTCTAGGCGTCCTGGTTTATATACCATTTTATTTTGAATCTATATTTTCTTTAACAGAAACATCTTTTGAAAAATTTACACTCCATCAACCAGAAAACTAAACACCTAAACGGGAACAACATCGAGTAAGTATTTTTTTTCTACGCAAACATGGTTTCAAAATTACAGACAAAATACCTCAGACATTTCAAGAAATATAAATATCACTCTATCATTCTCTGCATGATTGCTTGATCTTTTCCAGCAAAAATATCGTACGAATTGAAGTTTATTATGAGGAGTTGAACTATGAAAGTACAAAAGAGGAACCAGCATACCAGGTAGATATACCTCTGAAGTGAGGACTTTTTGTAAAATACTTAGTAGTTTAAAAAGTTGTTGTTTTAAAACCGAGTTGGGAGAAGATGTTTGAAAACAATTACTCCATGTGATATTTGTTTAATTTCGGATCAGCGTTGTAATTAGGTCCTCGTCAGTCGGTTGGAAGTCCTATGCAATCTCAGTCCCTGAACTGTGAACATTCCTTTGTCAATGTCAATCCCCTGTAAAACCTCGGACATTACTAGTGATGGAATTGACCTATCAATGTTTGCGAGTTAACCACGCCCCTTAGAAAACTCTATAGAATTTTGTGCGTTTATAAGTTTTGTTTGTCTCCGATTTTGTGCGTTCCGCATCCATTTGTCTTTTTAAACTCAATTTTTTAAAATCAATTACGACTGTGTTTTGGAATGTGTGGATAGTTTCTCCGAACATGATCAAGATTTTTTTCTAAGTTTACAATCAACTTAATAAACCTGCATTTTAGCATTGATTGAAACCGGAAATTGTATACTCAGAGTATTTTCTCTCATTTTCCCTGACAGCCATCATCCTTATTCGGTGACATCGGCGGCATTATGGGCCTGTACATCGGCTTCTCGTTCATCACAGTGTTTGAATTCTTCGGCGTCATATACACGCTCATCAAGAACGCATACTTTTAAATAGCCAGCGAAGAAAAGCCCGGTGTCATATGAAAATCCGACTCCTATGAAAATCAGACTCCTTTTCCCTATTATTGGTTAATCCCTCGCACGTGACAGGTCACTCTCCATGTATGATCCTAAAAATAGCATACTATCGTACTTACGCATGCGCAATACTACCAATGGGTCCATGTACATGGAGTCGGATATTCAAGCTACACCTGCATTCGTTTGCAAAATTTTGATGTCATTACTCCTGTGCTATCTTTTAGGGGCGTAGTGAAAACAGGAGGGGGGGATGGTTTTGAAGAATATTAATTGAGTAGTTGCTTAGTTGATTGTGGTTGCTTTGAATGAGCTTGCATCATTCTGTTGCAATAGTGTTACTGTATTTTAGGGTTCCATGCACCCCCGGATATGTTTTTTAACCTACTTTTTGTAATCCTTAGGGTGTCTAGTGAACGATTTTTGATGTTCCCAAGATCAAATATTGTCTAATGGGGTTCATTTGGCGGCCATCTTGGCGGCCATCTTGGATTTCGACAAAAATCAGTTATTGACATAACGTTTGAGCAAGGCATCATAGGAAGACAAATGAACATGTTTTTCGGAGTAATTTCGGTGTGAGGAATCGATTGAAAGCGTTATTCTTATAATTTGGCGGCCATCTTGGCGGCCATTTTGGATTTTGACAAAAGTCGGTTATTTGACGTAACTTTTCAACTAGGCATCATGAGAAGGAAAAAGAAGACGTTTTTCTGGGTAATTTAGGTGTGAGGAATCGATTGAAAGCATAATTTTCATCATTTGGCGGCCATCTTGGATTTCGACGAAAATCCGTTACTTAACAACTTTTGAACTAGGCATCATAGGAAGACAAATTAAGGTGTAGGCTTATTCTTGTAGTATTAGCTGAAAATGGTGATAGTGAACCAACAATCCGTAGCATAGTTATACATGTAGTGCGGCGGTTGATAATCATGCAGTATGGTGATGTGGCACATCCCTGAGTCACTCATTGACTTACTGCAGAAAACTGTTGAGGAAGCGGAGAATCAATAGTGGAAGAGCATCAAGAGATTGATTATGATGAGGTTCTTGAAGATGTGTATTATTGTCTTGTTTCCAGACGTAACTATCTGGCGTTGGTTACGCATGAACATGTACACTTTCGAACTTAAATAATATTCCATCCACAGAGGGCGCAATTTTCCGTGTCTGTACTATACTAAAAAAAATCTAATTCGAAGTCCGAGGGAATCGACACCCATCACTGGAGAAACATAATTCATAACAGAATCAAATAAATTATGGAATCGATTATGGAATCGAATCGGCATGTAAGCAATTTTCGCGAACAAAAAAATACATGAACGTCTTGGATCCAAGACTACTATATCACACTTTTTGTACCATGCATATATGAAAATGTTTCCCTTTCAGACTATGAGTCGCAATTTATCCGAAAGTTTATGATGTAGTTGTGGTGTTGATATTTTACTATAAAGAGGCTATTTTAGTGTTCAACGAATGTTGAGATATTGGCCTTAGTTTAGTTAGTTTATAAAGATAATTAGTGTTTCTTCATTTTCTTATTTTCCAATGAAAACAAGAGTTATATGTTAATTCAGAAGTCATATCAACAGATTAACTTTCTAGTTTCTAAACGTGCTTCAAGTCATATAAACCTTTTTGTTTCGTTCGTTACAGCTCTTGTGTTTGTTTGGGGTGGGTTTTTTTTTGGGGGGGGGGGGGGGCGGTGGTTTACATGCATTCGTTATAGACCGATTCATTTAGTCCCGCCCAGTGCATCCACCCACAATAACATGTGCCCTCTATCTAATCCCCCATCACTGCGCGTGGATATTGACACTATATCGCGGGTCAATCGGTCACCGACACGCTATCCATTCTCAGACTCTAAGGCCAAATAAATAAAATGTGTAGCGTCCCCGCCTGCTTACTTTTTGGAGGCCGCCTCCTTTTTTTAACCGAAAAAAAATGATAAATTTTAAATAGTGAAGTAATTTTGGCCTGTTGCATCTAGCCCATATAAAGCTGGTATGTCATTTCCTGAGTCCAATGGCGGCCATTTAAAAAAAAATGGCGGCCTCTCTTGAAAAATAGCCCGGTCGGGCGGCCATTTTGGAGGACAAAAAAAAAGAGCCTCCCGCTTCCTTTTTTTTTCAAAAAGGCAGGACGCTAAACATTTTTTTTTTATTTGGCCTAAAACCGGCGTGGGGGATTTTGACACTGCGGTTCAGACTAGCAGACTGGCCTATTGAAATGGTAGACGTCACGTCATCACTAATTATTTTCTTTCACAAATCTTTTTCACGGGAAGTTAGTGATCCGTACAGTCGATCTATTGTGCTAAGTTGTGAAAAAGTAGAGCAGCCAGTATACGCGTGTGCTGGTATATCAATATTGGTTAACGGCTCTTCTCCAGATTTTCTGGGCGGTTGACGCGAGGTTATAAACGTGGAAAGTCGGCAGAGAGTGACTCGACTCTTTAGCTCTGTGCACATACTAATCATGATGTCGACGCTTACTGCAGTTGTGGCCGTGTTCGTTCTCTGTCTCATGGTGGTTGCTGGTAAGTAAACTCTATGGTGTAAATTGATTTGGTCGTTCTCGTGAACCCTTGCTGGTGGGTTGTGCTTTAAAGGGAAAATACAACATTTGCAAACATCGAAAAATAAAACTTCCAAGTTGTTACGAAATACCTTACTAGGATGGCCTCGGACACGGACCACCCCCAAAAAGGTCCAATTCTGGAACAAATATACTAACCAATGCAGTCAGATGTGTGAACGCGGGATGGGTCATAATTTCGTCATCTACATTCGAAGAGTGTGTAAAGTTTGCAAGAAAAACAACAATACGTACCACAATGGCTCTCCACTGCATAAGTCCAATCGCCACACCATGCGTAATAACTATTCAATACTATGCACGTATGAGTGCGTTGAATTAGCTTCTCCGTGTATACACCAAAAGCTGCGTATCAGTATTCGTCTGGCATTCTTGAAAAACCAAGGTCAAATTTTGTTGTGTAGCGGAACTTTAAAATGAAATGTAAAGACACTCACGTCAGCTCCGCTGATATCATTGCAACCATTGTCTCATTAATTAATCATTTTTAATAAATAAAATTTGGACTCCTATGAATTCTGGTCCCTTTTACCCTTTTATTGGATGAACGTCCACAATCCTCGGTTAGACACGCGCAATATTACCAATGAGTCTGTATCTATAGTCCTAAATTCACACTGCACCAGCAAAGCTGCATTCTGCGCCACATTGTGCAGTACGCACAAGTCTTTGTATGTCATGCATCGTCTTACACATTTTTTTCAAAGCTGATTGCGCCACCAATCGTGAAAAAGTGTCTAGTCCCCGAGCAAAGAGTCTCAGTGGCGTAGCCAGGTGGGGTTTCTCCCGGTGGGGGGGGGGGGGGGGAGGGGGTATTCCTAAGTGCCTTTTTTTAACCAGCGTTTACCCCCAAATATTTGTAAAGAGCGCCCGCCTTTTTTTTTAAACAAGTGCCCTTTATTTACCAGCGTCTTTTTACGAGTGCCTTTTTGGAATTTTGCCCGACCGTCGGCATTTGTGCCGCCCTGAAAAGCGCCACCTATTGTCCGATAGTGTCCATGATCGTCCAATTTGAAGAGCGCCCCTATAGAGTGCTACCAGCCCCCGCCCCCGACATTTTGATTTTACGGAGGAAGTGACCAAAGAAAACAACCTGTCTACATTTCAGCACGGATGTGCGAGTGCCCTTCTCACGAACTTCCCCCCCCCCCTCCCAAAAAAATGACCTTGCTACGCCACTGAGTCTGGCATCCATTTAGTCATTCAACCATTAGCCAATCATCAACCACGGTGCATTAAAATATAATAAAGGCAACCGCAATAGTGAGCCAACCCATCAATGACTTATATGTCGCCACGGCTACCATTGAAAAAAAATGGTCTTTTAGGCCAAAAAAAAAAGTCTCCGGTTTCTGGTATGCGCGTTCGTGGCCGTAGCCATGCACGTCAGCAAAATGAAACAGTTGGTTTTTTTTTCAATGTAAAATGATTTTTCAAAACTGCCAAAGTCACTGGTTTGACTGGAATCCTGCTGCTGCACAATTTTAACGTGTTTTGAGATGGGGTTACGATCGAGTATAAGCTTTATGTGGCCTCTCTGGACTCCCTTATGTTTTGCACTAAGTTTAGTCGGGCACCATTTGCAGTCATCTGCCGATATTTGAAGAAAAAAAAAGTAAAACAAAAAAACAAAAAACAAAAAAAAACGCGTCGCCGCACCACTTTTGGGGCAAGCAGAACCAGAAACCGGAGATTTGGCCTTAACGGAATCTTACACAATAAAAATCGATAGATACAGTCAGCCTTTGCGCCCACATAACTTAAGATGCCAAACTGACTGACATACCAAAACGGATAGTAAATTATACACTATTTGCTGCATGTGAACAACTATTGAAAAGTTGTCCTTTAGACTCATTTCGTGGGATCCGACCTCAAGTTGTTCTGATGCAGCAACATTGAAGTACAATCCATGCAGTCTCGTGCATGCACCGATGCCTGCTCCATGACACACGGACAGGAACGTTTTCATACGAGTTCAACAGGTTATTTGCACAGTTCATCTGAACTTGAACGAACGAGCCACGCCTGAGCAAATATTGCTTTGATACAGAAATTGAAACAAAACTGGTAATTGACATCGACTAATGTTTGACGGCAAATCACACGCCACGAGCCTTAGGCCAAAAAAAAAAGTCTCCGGTTTCTGGTATGGAGCTTGCCCAAAAAGTGGTGCGGCGAAGCGGCTTTTTTTTTTTTTTTACCTGATTTTTTTGTCGGCTGATGACTGCAAATGGTGCCCGACTAAACTTAGTGCAAATATATGGGAGTCCAGAGAGGCCACATAAAGCTTATGATCGACCATAACCCAATCTAAAACACGTTTAAATTGTGCAGCAGCAGGATTCCGGTCAAACCAGTGAATTTGGCGGTTTTTAGACATCATCTTTCATTGAAAAAAAAACCTTTTTCATTTTGCCGACACGCATGGCTACGGTGATGCGCGCGCATACCAGAAACCGGAGACTTTTTTTCGGCCTTAATGATATAAGCCAAGGAATAATCGCTGCGTGACAAGTCGAGCTACCGAGGCGAGAACGGGCGCGCAATTGGGGTGCTTTCAGATATAATCTATTGTTGTAACGACCAAAATGATATCGCAAACAGTTGATTCCTTTGGTTTGAACGATCAAGGAGGATTTGATTAGTGTCAAAATTGATGTCAAAATCAAGACTGTTGGCGTTTTAGACAGACTTTCGATCGATTATGCGTGTCCGAGCATAATCGGTTCACCAAAGTTTCGATTTTTCAGGAATTCGAGCCTCATTTGATTGGATATTTCTACGCCAACATGCCGAGGATTAAAGTCAAGCCGGCTCAGCATGAAGATACTTTGCCCTTTACCGTCGCACTGGATTCTGCAACTGACAGTTTCTCGCACTTTCAAACAGAAGAGTCCGGAGAGAAGGAGAAGCAACCGGTGAAGAGCAAGAAGCGAGCCCGGGTCAGCCCTTGTCAGACGGTCAGCGACTTCGCGCTGAACGTGTCGACTGCGCACGGCCTGCCCAACATCTTTCGCGCCAAAACCAAGCTGGGACGCCTGACATGGTCCCTGATCTTCTTCGTCGGGATTGTCGTGTCCATCTGGCAGGGGACCCTGATAGTCGTCAATTACTTGAACTTTCAAGTTACGACTGAGGTAAGGTTGATTCATTTTCATTAGGCCAGCTTAAACTTGTTTGCAAAGAAAGACTCATTGGACCAATATCATGAATAATATCAATAATAAATGCCATAACACTGTCATCATGAACGTCATTCGTTATTTTGTCATCCTTTTTGCTGCGGTAACTTTGTCATTGTTGTCACCACCCTATCGTTGTCATCACGTTTAAAATGTAGTAATTGTCACCATAAACTAAATCACCATCACCCCACACTATCACCATATTTTATACAAATTGTCTAAATGGTCTTCACAAATTCATCGCATTTCACCTGCAGTACCAATTTTAGTCAAGTCGCAAGCTACTCGAAACGAACTATGACAGAGAAATGCCTTTGTGACTGTCCATTCACTTACTTGTGATCAGACTTGTTAAGTGACTTGTGATTTATCTGGGACCGTACTTGTGATGGACGTGTGATGGACTCGACTTCGACACTGTGCTACAGTGCACGGACACTTTTAAGGAACCCTCGGTGACCTTATTAAGGGAATAAATGTGTGCTCTGGAGGTTTTTATCACTCTGTTTAAGACCACTTAGAGTCTGGGTGCTGATAATTACCTGAGCCGGAGGCGAGGGTAATTATTCCCATTCATAAATACCTTTTTGGTAAAAAATATCAAATAATTCGTTCAAAAATACCGATTTGTTCAACAAGTTCATTTCATGCTTTTTGAAACATCCCTCTAGCAAAATAATGAAGTGTTCAGCTGGCGAGTAAGATGTAAACAGCCCTGTTATGGAGGTTTACGTGCGCGTGGCATGTTCTGAGCGATGTCGCGCAGAACGCACCTGGCGCGTTGTGTTTTGAATTGAGAACTATTAAATTCTGACTCGCTGGTAGTGTTGCGCATGCCTACGTGAGGATTGTGAACGTTCAACCAATGAAACGGTAAGAGGCACTGGATTTTTAGGGGTCTACATTTTATTGCGACACTGGAAAAGTGTTTAAGACCAGCTAGCCATGTCTTTATCATCCGTTTAAGACCGGCCACGTGACGGGCTCTCGACCAATAGGAATGGCTAAACTATCTGAGGTATTTATGAATAAGGGAATAAATGTGTGCTCGAGAGGTTTTTATCCCTCCGTTTAAGACCGCTTAGAGTCTGGGTGCTGATAATTACCCGAGCCTAAGCACCCAGACTCTAAGCGGTCTTAAACGGAGTGATAAATACCGACAGAGCACATATTTATTCCCATTCAAAAATACCTTTTCGGTTAAAAAATATCATATAATTCGTTAAAAAATCCCGATTTTTTTCAACAAGTTCACTTCATGCTTTTTGAAACATCCCTCTGGCAAAATAATGGAGTGTTCAGCTGGCGAGTAAGATGTAAACAACCCTTTTATGGCGATTGACGCGCGCGTGGCATGTTCTGCGCGATGTCGCGCAGAACGCAACTGGGGCGTTGCGTTTTGAATTTTGAACTATAAAATTATGACTCGCTGGTAGTGTTGCGCATGCCTACGTGAGGATTGTGAACGTTCAATCAATGAAACGGTAAGAGGCACTGGAAAAGTATTTAAGACCAGGGCCCAATTTCATAGCACTGCTTAACAGTAAGCAGAAAAGTTGTGCTTACTATAGCAGAAAATCATGCTGCTGCTTAAGCACTATTTCATGCCGTGATTGTGCTTACATTTGCGCGCACATGGAGATTTCTATTGTTACGTCACTGATTTAAGCAAAGTTTTCGGCTGAGGTTAAGCCTGCTTTTGCTGTGCTTACTGCTTAACGGTCCCTATGAAATAGATGGAGGCTCGGTAAGCACAAAGTCGGCTGTTAAGCAGCGCTATGAAATTGGGCCCAGGGGCCAATTTCATAGAGCTGCTTAAGCACAAAATTTGCTTAAGCACAAAAACGTCTTGCTTAATAAAATCAGGTTACCGGCCAAAACTCCATGCGATTGTTATGCTAAGTAAACAACAGCTAAATACCAGTCACAAGCAATGTACATCACATGGAGTTTTGGCCGGTAACCTAGTTTTACTAAGCAATGTCTTTTCGTGCTTAAGCAAATTTTCTGCTTAATCAGCTCTATGAAAATACGTTTGTGGTTCCATTTTGAAACGTGTAAATTATTTTCACAAACGGGCTTGATATTTCTTAATGATTAAATAGCATTCCTAGAAACTAATACCCGACGACACCGAGACTAAAAATTTGATAAAAATGCGGCGTGCAGAGGCAACTAATGGTTGTGTCTCTTTTGTTGATGTTCATAAAATATGCAAAACGTCTGCTCGTCTATTTCCTTTCCACACATAAAGCGGCACAAAGACGGATGATTAATGATGTCATTAGAGTTGTTTTCATTGAATAGGTATTGTTGCTTTGATGCAAAGCGTTTGGGTATTTATCATCTATGGAGAAGCTATTAAGCTTGACGAACATGCAACGCATGATTGTATAGTTTTGGGAATTTGAAAGGTTATTGTTGGTATAATTATATACGTGCGTTTTCAAAATTTCGATTTTTCTTTTCCGAGCGAAATGTAAAAGAATATAATGTCCTGCAACAAATGCCCCCATCCGGCGCTCCCCATTTAAAATCTTGAAATTAACACAAATTTTTCTTTGTCTTCAGTGCCCCAGATTTAATGTTGGCAATAAGAGCTTTTATAGTGACTTTTTATTAAATATATCAGACAAGAGTTTTGCTAAATTTCCGATATTCCAATTTAAGCTGTGAGAGTCGTTTTATCTTAAATATGATCTCAATATGATTTAAAGCAAATCTTGGATGTGTAAGTGTCATTTTTAGGCAACCTGTCAATAAAGACATTTTTGTGAATTTATGATAGTTAATGTTTAACGTGAAGTGAATTACTTTTCAACGGGATAAATAGGAGCAAACAAGGCAGAGGTGTGATTTCCTACGAAGCTTGGGGGAGTTATTTAAAACAAGTTGAAAATAAAAACAACACAAATCAACTTCGACCCAGATCAAAACAATACCCTATACAGTTTATCTCTTGTTCCTCTGCCAGTTTATTGTTCATATAAGAACGGGTGGGGAAAACTTCAAATGCAACGACGAACACGAAAGAATCCACGTCAATGCTTCAAAAAACGGGATATCCATGCAGAACGAGATTTTTGCATGTCATCATCTTCACATCGTAAGTCGTGAAGATAATTTATCTCGACAAGTTGTCATCTCGACTTCAGGAAGTCGACTTAGCGAGATATTTCATCTGGACAAGTCGTCATCTCGACTTCGAGAAGTCGACTTGGCGAGATAATACATCTGGACAAGTCGTCATCTCGACTTCGGAAAGTCGACTTGGAGAGATAATGCATCTGGACAAGTCACCAAGTCGACTTCGGCAGTTGAAGGGTTTTGCAGGATTGAGGTTGCATTCTAGCAAAAGTGCGAGGGTGTTCGGGTTAAGAGTAACTCCCATCCCCGTACATTTTCAGGTGAAGATCGTGACGCACAGTTCGCTGGAGTTCCCTTCCGTCACCGTGTGTAACACCAACAAGCTACGGCTCTCAGCCATCAGCAGGTCCAGACATCGACAAATGTTGGTGGTCGACCACGACGTTTCACTGCCGTACTATGGTGAGTCTAAATCAAGAAATGTCAAAAACTGCAAAGTCTAACAGACCCAAATGCAACATCTGATCAGATTCCAGCTAAAATGAATCTATAGTAAACAATTATAATCTGGGTTTCGTGTCCCTATCTGTACCATTTCACGGGTTAGAAAATTATTTTGGCTAGTGCGCATGCGTTCAACGAGTAATTAAAGATGTTATGTTTTCTTGGTTACCCCATAATTTCTTTGCTAATGTAAGCACATCATGTTGATAGTAAGCACAAACTTCTGTCTTAAGGATAAGATATAAAATCTGGCCCAGATCGATATTCATTTCAATTTCATGATTTGGCTGGATTTGTTTTGGCTATCATACGAAGACCTTTGTTTTTGTTCTGATTATTTTTCTCTTCTTCCGTTTTTTGTTGTTGTTGTTCTTTCCCAACCAAATGAACTTTGCCTTGCCTTTTCCACTTTCCAGCCCCTTGTGTTGGTGACGACTTCCTATGCAGGGACCGCCCTGTGTGTATCAAGCGATACCTGCTGTGTGATGGCATCAGGCAATGCGGTGTGAATGACACCAGCGACGAAGACGACTGCGATTACGGTAAGAAAACATGGATTAGCCTAGTTTGGTTCCATACAGTGTTGTAGGTCTCGAGACCGGTCTCAGTCTCGAGACCACTGTTTGCTGGTCTCAGTCTCGGGAGCTGCGGTCTCGGTCCCCTTTGGTCTCGATATTTTGGCTGGTCTCGACCAGCCAAAAAGTGCGAGGGGCGGATTCCGCCCCGGCCCTTTTGAGGGCAAATGTGACTGCAGTGTGATGCTAATAGACATGTCTGTCTTCACTTTCTAGTGAGTGAGGCATAGTCCAACAACCATTATTCCTCTTCTTATTTCTCGTTTTTATTGTGGGTGGTCTGTTGAAACAAGCACTTTTTGAGCCCTGTCCGCACTGGACTTTTTTTGGTCAAACTAACCGAGACTATGGGTACTTTTCCCATTTTAAGTCCAGTGCGGACAGCCTAGGACGTTTTTCTCTCGGTTACTTTTCCTGAGTCCAGCGGTTACTTTTTTTACTGGCCAACTGCTGCCCAGGAAAACTTCCCACGCGCCCAGGAAAACTGACCAGGTCACTTTTCCCGAGACGATAAGTCCAGTGCGGACAGTGCGAGTCGGTAAAAGCGGCTCAGGAAAGCGTACATCCGGCCCGAGCGCCCTGTTATGCATACAGAGACCGCACGAACCTGCACGTGAGTGGCCGAACATTTTGTAGAAACACGCTACGGTGTATCATCAAGTCCGAGCGGTAAAATCTCGTTAAAATATATATTTCAACGGACAAATACATACACAGAGAAGAGAGATCACGTTCTGAGAATTAATTTGCGGAAATTCTCTTTCTCCACCGATGTATGTTATTTTCTACGATCCAAATTCGTCCTGATACGCTACTGTAGTCATGCACGGAACATCATGGTCCGGTACCGTACGTAGGCCGTAGTCACTGGTTCCTGGCCAACATCATAGCTTCGATTCTGTAAGCTTGCGATGGGAACCAACGAATACTGATGGCACTGCTGCCGCACGGAACATCATACAGCGGCATGGCTTCGACGACGTGCATCACAAATGCGTCAGAATTATAGGCCTTTTCGTCAAGATTTAGCGTGTCAAGATGAAATAATATCGTGTAAACGATTATGTTGTGCATGCAAATGGCGTGTGTAATATTACTGTGCGTATCGGCGGCTGAAAATGTGATCGCCAATTTGTTTTCTGTGTACGGTGAGTCATTATACTGACACTGTGACAGCTCGGTTACTTCTCCCACGCGGTCTGGATAAATTGTCCCGTTTCGAAAGTCCAAGTGCGGACAGTGGTCACATTTGACCATTTTCATTTTACTATCGTCTCGGTAAAACCTTCCAAAAAAAAGTCCAGTGCGGACACGGCTAGGCCTCACTGATTCCAAATACAACTGAGATTTAAATCTAATGAATCAAGACTGAAACATTATTTTTACCGTCAGATTCTGTGTTTTGAATATGGGGAACAATTCCACTCTTTTTCCCCAGAAATATTGGTGATTTTTTTTCTATTTTCCTTTTCAATTTTTCCTTTATTCGTGGAGCCAGGTAAACTTTTTTTTCTCCATTTTATTTATTAATGGATATTCGTCAATTCCTAGAATGGTTAAATTGTTATTAGTGGTGGACAGCTGAATTTTGTGATCTTCTTTATAATAATAGACACCACTTGGGAATAGAGTATGCAAGTTACGTGAAATTTTCACGGTTACTACTCAATAACATGTTCTTTTTAGAGATTCCATTTTTTGCAAAATGGAGCGTGCCGGTTCTTATTTTTTTCATACGATCACTTTCTTTTTGACTTGCCATGTATTCATCTTTTCATCTGTGATAAACACAAATTGAGCTACTGCCATATAGTCACACAAAAATAGAGTCTAATTGCCTGCCTCGTCTCCTTCCTAAATGTCAATTGCGTTTGTATGAGTCGAGAAGACTTTTGTTCCATTAAACGCTATATGCTGTTTTACGGCCATCACAACAAGCGATTAAAATATTGGCAATATGTCGTACTTGTAAATAACTAAAATATTCATGTAAATCGCCCGGAAGATTAGCCGATGCGGGCGATACGCTGGCACGGTACAAAACGCAGAGAGGCGTGCGCACTGAGCCATGAATGCTTAAAGTACATCTCGCCCACCACATTCAGTTTGTGACAGCGCCCTTCTATTGTGTCGGCCATATTCTCAAATAGGCTAATGACGATGATGACGCCGGGCAGATTAACAGAAGATAGATCAGGCAAATATGGTTCATCAATCTTCTATAGTATATGTAACGTTGTGACAGCGCCCTTCTATTGTGTCGGCCATATTCTCAAATAGGCTAATGACGATGATGAAGGCGGGCAGATTAACAGAAGATATATCAGGCAAATATGGTTCATCAATCTTCTATAGTATATGTAACGTTGTGACAGCGCCCTTCTATTGTGTCGGCCATATTCTCAAATAGGCTAATGACGATGATGACGCCGGGCAGATTAACAGAAGATAGATCAGGCAAATATGGTTCATCAATCTTCTATAGTATATGTAACGTTGTGACAGCGCCCTTCTATTGTGTCGGCCATATTCTCAAATAGGCTAATGACGATGATGAAGGCGGGCAGATTAACAGAAGATATATCAGGCAAATATGGTTCATCAATCTTCTATAGTATATGTAACGTTGTGACAGCGCCCTTCTATTGTGTCGGCCATATTCTCAAATAGGCTAATGACGATGATGAAGGCGGGCAGATTAACAGAAGATAGATCAGGCAAATATGGTTCATCAATCTTCTATAGTATATGTAACGTTGTGACAGCGCCCTTCTATTGTGTCGGCCATATTCTCAAATAGGCTAATGACGACGATGACGTCGGGCAGATTAACAGAAGATAGATCAGGCAAATATGGTTCATCAATCTTCTATAGTATAAGTAATGTTATTGATATTAAACAAAAATAAAGTGGCATTACATTTTAGCCTTAGCCAGGCCTTCTTCAGAGGTAAATGACAGAGGATATATATATAAATGGCATCGACATTAAACAAAAATAAAGTGGCATTACATTTCAGCCTTAGCCAGAGATTAGTAACAGAGGAACAAGAAACAAACATGTAGGGGACACGCAAACGTGCAGGGTTGGAAGGAGACTCACAAAGACGGATGGGGGGGGGCAGACCGGTAACAGCCCGATTGGCCAAAGGTTCTTAGTCCGAAGGGTCATTAGTCCAAAGGTTCGTTGGTCCGAAGGTTCGATAGTCCGAAGGGCCCATTAGTCCGAATGGAAAAATGGAATAAGGTCAATTAATCCGAAGGTTCGATAGTCCGAATAGACGATAGGGTTCGCTAGTTCGAATCGACAATAAGGTTCGATAGTCTGAATGGATGATAAGGTTCGATAGTCCGAATATACGGAAGGGTTCGATAGTCTGAATTGGCAATAAGATTCGATAGTCCGAATTGAGAATATCTTTATATTTTTTGCTCCAATTTTGTTTTTGGGGAATCAGGTTTACAAGGAGGTCCAATGTAAAATTAAAGTTGCATTTAGATATCCGTTTGTAGTCATAGCTGAAACCAAGGGGTGGCTGTGGAGTTTAGGGTCCGAGTTCCTATAACAGATGAAACATCCACCTTCATCTTTTTACTTTTGTCAATAGTAGAGTCATTTTCTTGAAATCCGCGACCATGTTGCGGATACCTTTTTTTTATGGATTTGACAAAAAGGACCAATTTGAAGACAAATAGCTCCTATACACCTCCCAAAAGTGACGGTTAACTTTTTTATAGCACGTTTTTCAAAATGGCCGCCGACGCCATATTGAAATACATAAAAAAGTGATATCTCGGGAGCCAGATGAGCCATATTGATGAATAAGGTGTCGATTCCTACTATTTCTGGCAGGACAAATATGTTAAAATGGTATTCATCACATTTCGGGACCATTGTGACTTCAAAATGCAAAATGTCGGCTGGTAACCATCTTGAAAACACCAAAGTATAATATCTCTGGAACCAGAGGAGCAAAACAAACATTTTAAGATGTTATTTTTAATTAATTCTGGTATGACAATCCAATAGAATGGTTCTTTTGACTTTTCAGTGACTACCATGACCTTCTGTTTGACCTGCTATTTTTTCAAAATGGCCGCCGACGCCATATTGAAATACATCAAAAGTAATATCTCGGGAACCAGATGAGCCATATTGATAAATAAGGTGTCAATTCCCACTACATTGTATTTCTGGCAATTGAAAATAACATCTTATATGTCTGTTAGGCTCCTCTGGTGCCAGATATATAAAACTTTGGTGTTTTCAAGATGGCTACCAGCCGCCATTTTGAATTTTGACGTCACAATGGTCCCAAAACGTAATGAATACCATTTAAGTAGATTTGTCATGCCAGATATAGTGGGAATTGACACCTGAAAATTAAAAATATGAAAGCCCAGTTTGTGTTGTTCGTTTATTTGTTTGTTTGTTTTTTAAAAGTGGAATATTTGTTGAGTACCCGTCTCTTTTGAATTTAATTATATTTGCTTACGGATTAATACGTAAGGAGCGCTTTATATGAAACCGTTATTCCTGATCGATTTGCTATTAATAATATTAGGTCTTAATAGGTGAAGATACTCCGTTGACAAACTATTTTCAACCGGCTGAATTCTATAACGTGCGCTCAAATGTCATGGGAAAATCAAGACTTCAAACCAGTTTTAGACCATAATGGGACTGTCTCGATTCGTATCATTATACGGTATGAATAATTAGTTGATTATATTATAATTAACTTATTACGACCTGCTTTCAAGCCAAGGCAAATTAATAATTGAACTCCAGTAAACTATAGGCCTGAAAGGCAAAGCCAACCTTGGAAGTGTACACGGCCGTCAATTAGGCCACACAGTTGAAAGATACTCTGAAAGCTTCTAACAATCCAAGCACTGGACTGAATCAAGTACATGGGCATCAGGTGAATGCCTAACATAATAAGTGGAACAGACATTTCATACACGTATTGCAATTTCATACACGTATTGTATCCTTTGGCAATTTGGCGCTCTATAAATCCAGTTATTATTAAAAATTTTAATTTTGAGACCAGCGCGATAATTACATAATTCCAACATACGCCATGTTGCGAAACACTCATCGTCCATCCATCATGCGCGACACCATGATGGATACAGCGCCTACAATACCTGTCCCTTAATTTAGCGTTTGTTGTAGTACTTAATGGACCAAATTTTGATAAAGTGTATTATGGGCGTCACCAGGATATTTTTTTTGGGGGGGGGGATAAATGAAAAAGTGGACAAAAACACTGGCTGCGAAAAAAATGTATATGAGGTGGGGGAGGGGGAACAATATTTGACGCTTGGAGAAACTGATAATAAGCGTTTATGCAGGTTGAGCAAAAAAAACCCGAACCCAAATGCCGGAACCATTTTTTAGTGAAGTTCTGCATGTAGAACTTTCAAAATCTACTATGTGAAAGCCAAATTCATAAGCTTTCTTAGTACAAGAATCATTCAAATCACTCATGTACTTTTCAAGATACCTGTGTCCACGGATCCCCAAAAGGGTTATTTCAGCAAAACGAAAACAATTCCCATGAGGATGTACAATAGGATTTGTACGAGCGACTTGGGTGAACATTTTTTACACTTCAAATTTCTTAGACATTAAGAAAAAATAAGACTGGGCGCATGACGTTCACGTCAGCATGCAATGAACCACAAAATGCATGCGAACATTTACAAGACCAACGTTGTCGTGTGCCGTCAAATGAAAAAAGATGAAAATTCAGGGTGAGTGAAAACTGCAATTGTGACGGGCTCTCGACCAATAGGAATGGGTTACCAGTCTGAAGTATTCATGAGCAAATAAATAAAACAATTAGTAATGGAAAATGCCTTTCATTATAAGTCTCACTGTGTGTGTAGGCTTATCATGGTATTGATGTGTTGTTAGTAGCAAGAAATATCACCACACTTTTAGATTGAAAATAATACAAAGTTCAGAGGAAACTTCAGTAAAATGTATCTTTTGATTGAATGAATTTCAATCTGAACGTCTGGTTCCTGATTACGTCTGGATCGTCCGAAGTCCCATCGGTCCGAAGTCCCATTTGTCCAAAACATGTTACTGTGTAGTTCTTCTTGTTCAGGTTGACTGACCCTTACCCTAACCCTAACCCTAACCCTAATCCTTTGGAGCGTCGGGCCAATGGGGCTTCGGACCAATGGGACTTCGGACCGATGGTACTTCGGACTATAGAGACGTCCCCCCTGTTTCCCAGGTGCAGTCAGCGGGAGTGAATTTTCACTAGAATAGAGTGAATTTGAACTCTTTGGAAACCAGAAATTACAAGCTAATGTCGACTTTGAACGTCTGCGCAATATCGACTGGGCCTGTAGAAACGCTGAAAGGCGGATTCTCAAGGAATATAACAAATGAAAGTTGGAATTAATGGACTAGAAGCCTGTCGTTAATTAAGCGAGAAAACAAACCGGCGTCAGTGGTCCATGAAATTGTGGCGAATAGAATATATAATAGCGTATGGTCAGTGTGTTATCGTTAATTTACAATAAGGGAATAACAGGTTGAGGAGCCGGTCTTCACTGCGTGATAATGACCGGGTGTGGGGGTTACCGCTGTTAATGGACCGAGACGAAGTCGAGGTCCATTAACAGCGGTCACCTCCACACCCGGTCATTATCACGCAGTGAAGACCGGATCCTCACACTGTTATTCCCATTAATAAATACCTTTTTAACGAAATAATCAGTGAAAATGCTCCAATTTTGTGACTTTCTTTCGGCGATATTTCCAGACTTTTTTGTGTTCATGTTCATGGGCCATATTTTAGCTTAACAACTATAACGACGTAAACTCAACAGAAACTGCTGCCGTAGCGAAACAAATTACAACAATGTTTTCGTATCTTTACCTGATATAGAGGAAGTTGAAATCTCGTTTACACATTCCTTGTGTCCGGCATTACAAAGATGCTTGGTTTAGGAAAGGTAAATATGTCGGTGGGTGAAGTGTTCAAAGAAAATAAATCGTAGATCTACGCTTTCGTCGTAAACATCCTCAGTATATACTGCACTGCTGTACGATGTCGTTTCAAAACTTCCTTACGCGCGCGCGCACGCACGCATCCCTAGCCCTAGCAACTGTGTTGCGTACGCGTACGCGCGCGTCAGTCTCACGCGATGGGGGTTGAGCGCATGTGCAGTGCTCTATTGTTACAAGCTACCGCAGGACTGTTACTATATTTTGACCAATCATTGGCTTGCATGGGGCTGAACGGGGCTGGATCAATGCTGGTTCAGGGGCCATTTATTCGCTTGATCTTTGAAGCCGGTCCATTATCACCGTTAATGACCGGCCACGTGATCGAGTCTCGACCAATCAGAAACCATCAACTCTCCAAGGTATTTATTAATGCCAAATACAAAAGAGGCACTTTGTGATAATTTGTTTGGCATTAGGGAGACATTAGCATGAGGGAGACATCTGAATCTGAGTGTCTCCCCAATGCTTTTACTATACAGGGTGTTTAAAAAAAAAAAAGGAAACCGAGCATATTTTGTTGATTTCTCGGGTATGACTAATTATTTAGGAAAATGGTAACCACCATCTGTTACATAACCATGTCTTCTTTTTCTTGACCCCACGAACACCATTTTACTGTCACGGATGACTGAGTACCTAGTGATGTAACTGACATGCCAGATATGGCCTTGTACCACATGCACCATAAGACAAATTGACAGTTTTCAGCATGTTGAAAATAACAAAATCCAGGATGTACATTATCGTATCATTATTGCTAAAACATATCAAGGTGTATCACTGTCCCCGTTAACCCCACTGTCCTTCAACGTGCCCCCAATTCCTTTCAACGCAAATGTCTGCCCTGGTTCTCATTGCTGTGAACGCATTCTTGATAACGTCTCTCTCTGATAACTGTCAATTGGTCTTATGGTGCATGTGGTACAAGGCCATTTTTGGCATGTCGGTTACATCACTTGGTGCTCAGTCATCCATGACGGTAAAATGGAGTTTGTGGTGTCGAGAAAAAGAAGACAAAGTTATGTAACAGATGAAGGTTGCCATTTTCCTAAATGATTAGTCATACCCGAGAAATCAACAAAATATTGGGAATTTCTCCTTAAGGTACAATTTTCAGTTATTGTTATTATGGAGTGCTTTATTGTCATTCAAGTAACATATTACCATGAGTTTGAAGATAATTAAAAACTGTTACTTTTCAATTAACGGATTGTTGATCATAAGCTATGAACACTTCGGAATTAACTGTTTTGTCATCCCGACCATCGGATTTTTAGTCCGAGTAACAATGATATTTTAGATGAGACAAAGATATTTGAAATATATTCCAACACATGACAGTAAGTGTTGCATTACATTGGAGCATGAATTTGTGAAAGATGACTCGCACTGGTTGGTGCATTCCTTTAAATAAATATGGATATGAACTAAAAGTAAAAGAAAATTGAACACAGAATACGCTGGCCGTTATATATATTTAAAAAAAAGTAGTCCGTGAACATGCAGGTACAAAGTCTTAAATCTCATACGTAAAATGTTATTAAGTATACGAAGAGAAGACATTCTTTTTGGTTGTAGACTTCGGCTCGTGCGCTGATGACGAGTTCCGCTGTGTCTACTCGGGCAGTCAATCGGGTCTGTGCATACACAAAAAAAGGGAATGCGACCGGAACAAAGACTGTTACGGAGGAGAGGACGAAGATGACTGCGGTAAGATGAAGTCGGAAACTAGGAAATATAACCGGCGTGTTCATAGGCGTAGCAAGTGGGGAGGGGGGTGGTAAGGGGATATTTACCCCCCCCCCCCCCTAGTATTTTGTAAAGACTGCCTTTTTCCATTTAAATGCCCTTTTTCAATAATCCTTCCAATAACCTTCCAATAATTTGTAGTGAGTGCCCTGTTTTACGACATGTCCCTTTTGGTTGCCTTTTGAGAATTTCGCACGTGTATTGTCCTGAAAAGCACCATATTATTAGCCCTTTGTGTTCATAATTGTCGGTTTTAAACAGCGCCCTCATCGACAGATGGTACCAGCGCCCCCCCCCCCTCCCCAACCCCCCGTTTTTTTAGATTTTACGGATGCCAAGTGTCCGGAGAAAAGAACCTGTCTACATTTCACATTTCACGGATGTGCAAGTGCACTTTTCAAAAAATTGTTAGCCCCCCCCCCCATAAAAATGACCGTGCTACGCCCCTGGTGTTACGGTTGGTAACAAACAACTACATGTACATCTCGAATCCAAACTTTCTGTACAAGTTCGTTAGAATACTGATTCTTATATGTTATGAAACTTGTGTCATTTGGACAACGGACAAAATGGATGCCGGTCAGATCTTAGAAGAATCCTGCTGAGAACCTGTTTAATTGGAAACATTTATTCACCTTTTGATGTGTGTAGAGTGTAAGAGTTCAGAGTTCAAATGCGAGAAGCATGGTGGCTGCATCCGTAAGACATCAGTCTGCGATGGTAAATCTGACTGTATTGACGGCAGTGACGAAAAGACCTGCAGTAAGTATGGCCGTGACACCGGCGACACTGAAGAAGACGCTGACAATGAAAGCAACAAAATTGACAAAACACTGATCGTTGACCAAAAAAATGATGGCGAAGACAACGCAGTGGCGGGGCCTAAACAATGACAGGTGACAATAGGATGATTTTGCTTATGATATCGATAGTAACAATGCAACGACATATAAGATGACGATGACAGTGTTGCCGGCCATGACAAAGACAACTATGATTAAGTCGTTGATTACTTTGAAGACGATGATAATGTTGACACTGTTTATAATGACGACGACGTTAAAAGGATAATGACAAGATTGACAATGAAGTTGAATAAGGGGATGATGGGGATGAATATGATGGCGACGACATTGGTGACATGGACGATGACCATTATGACGACGAGTGATGGTGATGGCGGTGGCAAAAGTTGTCGTTGAAGCATGATTTTAAAGTTGCGTAGTGACATTTGCAATTGCCCAGAAACGCAACGAGAAGAAAAGACTGGTACCACCTACCCTGTGTATTTTTTTTTCCGCCTGAAGTTGTATCATAGGAAGAAAGAAATCATTGGAGGTGATTTGAGAAAGTGTGTCCGAGGGTATATTTTTTAACGAGCATTAGCAATGGCATCCATTAAGGAGACACCGAAAATTATGTATACGTTTTGTTTACGCATCTCCTCAAATTGTATATAAACTTTCAAACGTAGTAGTTGTTGCATACTTACTTCTGAAGATTTTGAGCAATTTTGTTTCTTCAAACGAAAAAAGAGCCCCCAAAAGAAAATGTCCCAATGTACTTTTTTTAAACGACATGATTCTTGACGTTCAGCCATGTTGGTTCACCGATCGTGTTCTTCTTTACTCCTCCAGTGCCAGACGGGAACTTCCAGTGTGACGATTCGTCCTTCCGATGCGTCTCAACGGACACATGCATCCCGAAGACATATGTCTGCGACAATGATAACGACTGTGCTGATGGGTCAGACGAGAGCATAACCGCTTGCGCACAGCTTACGACAAGTAAGATCACCAAAAATTGCATAATATAAGAGTGATTGAACGCAACGGGACCAGGATGTAAGCGTTAAGCACAGAGCTTCGCACCAAAAAAAGAGGAATGTTGCCAAACAAAAACAAGTTACGGCTTAATGGTGTTTAATTGACATATATATTTGCTGAGAAATGATTTTTGATAAGCTGGTCACTGGCCTTGATAAATTGAGCTGCTGACTGATACGAATAAAAAAAGTCTAAGTAAAATTACGGCTTTCTCAAATATAGGCATGTCATTAAAATGGCTTTCAAAGCACGTTTCGTCTCCATCATTGCCGAAACTATTTCTAGTCCGCTGAGAGGAAATGACATGTGATTCATACCACGACTTTTCTCTTCTTTCACCTTTTGAAGCGTCTGCTCCATTTCTGTGCGACAACGATCGGTTCAGTTGTGGCGATGGCGAATGCATACCGAGCAGCTGGCGGTGCGATTCCGAAGCCGACTGCGCCAATGGATTGGACGAGAGCGAGTCACACTGCGGTACCAGACCAAGAAAGAGTTTACCAAGTTTGGCCTTTCTACTCGTCGTAGAGGGCCAGCCATGTGTCCTGTCCTCTCAATACCTATCTCACTGACTGACTGACTCCCTCGCCGACCAACCGACTCCCCGACTGACTGACTCCCCGACTGACAGACGGACTCTCTCTGGGGAAGGGAGGATGGGCTAGGGGTTCTAAATACCCCTTCGGCGGCAACAAAAGTGGTAAAAATCTTGAAGAAAGTAAAACACATGACGGCTAACCCCTTCCTTTCCCCTTGAAAACCAACTCATGAAGTCAGGTGGTTTGGCCGGTAGAAAGATATGTTTTAGTGCTGTATGGATAGTTAATGATTGATTTTCCTTCCTTACTTGACGATGTGATTGCTGGTCTTATTTTGGTTAAGTAAATTTATCAAATTATTTGTTATAGTTTAATAAGTCAATTTTCTGCGCAATATGCAGACTCAATTTTCCCGTCTTGAAGTTTTTTTTTTTTTTTTTTTTTTTTAACCCTATCGGAGGTTTAGGCAGTGCCAAAACTATTAAAACCTAAACACAAAGGCGGTTACTGACATTTTGTAACCTCCTTTTCAGCGTAAGTTTTCAATATCATCCTCAGTATATGTAATTAAAATAAAAGGTTTTTTTTCTTCAATATTTCAACATGGACCATTGACCTCGATATAAAGCACCGTCCTCCAGACGTCGACGATCGACGGGGGATCAACCGACAGATTCACCGAGCGATCTAGTCCGTCAGGCACACCCTGGTAAGGGAAACCTTTCAACTTTGATGCTTAATTAAATGAACGGCATTAACTCAAACAAAAAAAGCGAAAAGGAGTACAAACATAAGGCGACATTGCGCTGGTTCACAAACACCACAGTGTCATATACATGCAAGACACGATGATTACCAAGGAAGGTGCAGTCTCAGTCCGATGCGGCTTGAGGGGCATCAGTTTATCAACCCCAATTCTGATTAATGCTTCATTTAGTGTGGAACATACATTTTGTTTTAAAGTAACTGGCGTTGGTGGGGCTGTTGCATACTTCCAGGTAACCATAGCAACCCCACTTATTCGTTCTTCTGTCTGAGTGGGGAACGGGTTCCTCTCTGGCAGACGTGTAACGGGTTTCCTGATTGCTATGACGGGAGCGATGAGTGGGCCGCAAACTGCAGTGATATTGTGTCAGGTAAGGACAAATGGTTTCAAACACCCTGCAGCGAGTACGTAGAGGTCGCAGGCTGAAGTCACTACGGTGCCATCAAATATTGAACTTATGTCGTCTGCTGCGGTCTCAGTTGACTCAGTATCCTAAGTAAGATAGACGTATAGGTTCATGAACTTTGACCTTCACTTGAACAGACCTCTACCCATAAAACTGAGGTCTTTAGGGTCCATTACAACACCATACTACCATAGTTAACTTATGGTCGTTTACTAGAAATTGATATTTTCACACAAAACATTTGTTTTTAAAGATGTTCATTTCAATTTGGTTTTACCTTGAGAATGTGGGATCAATGAATTCCAATGTCGAGAGAGGACCCAAGAGGGTACAGTCACGTGTATACCGAAGTCCTACGTGTGTGACGATTACCCTGATTGCCTGACAGGGCAAGAGGCCGGGGAGCCTAGCCATACACCGTCTGACGAATCGGCATGCGCAACAGCAGGTGAGAAAATAAGCCAAACGATGCAATCTAAGGTGACTTCGCATGTCGCTCGAGTTGAGATATATCATTTCATGAAAGGGGGTGTAGAATTCTAGGGAGAGAGTCCAATGGAAGCATGTTCCTTTGGAAAAATCCACTAATGAAAAAAAAAGTGCGAGATATCATATATATTAATTCAGAAATTAATGTTTAAGAATTGTTTATGATGGAAGCTATAAAAGGCAAACAGCTGATGTATCTGGTGATCTAAATGTTCTTCAACCCTCGACAAAGTTAACGTCGGTAAACCTCCTGGCCAAAGACAAAACTTAGGTGTTTGACACCATGTGTTAGGGTTGCAATCCAGTCAAAGACGAGTAGACCACAAAGCAAATCATAGGTCTAAGTCGGGTAGCAGGTATAAACAGGAGCTGTATTAAGCTATGACTTGACATGAGAGGTGATGACTTGCGATTTCCTTGTGATGACTGGCGATTGCCTTGTAATGCCTTGCGAATGGCTTGGAATGGCTTAATAGCAGCCTCCGAGCCCGCGGTGTCATTATCTCATACAAATACTAATGAAGAGTATATATTACACTGTGTTTTAAACACTCCATCTTTTGTGGTGTTAAATTCTACGATTTGGATTGAACAACTCTTTTGGTTTCATATCAGACGAGACACTACCGGCTGACTACTTCCGCTGTGCTAACGGTCATAAGATGATCCATAAGTACGACGTCTGCAACACGGTGCCTGATTGCTTCCCTGAGAAAGATGATGAGTACGCTTGCACTTGGGAAAACAGAACAAGTAAATATTTGTGACAACTCCTGAAAAATAAATGTTAATTTTTTATAGCTGTGTTCGCATTACACCGCTCACCAATTTGTACAACCAAAGAACGAATAATATTGATGCCATTATGACAATGATGCTATCTATTTAATTTTTACGATTCTCTTGTTTAAACTTTTGAAGTAGATTTCTTTGCCAAAACATCGAGTTGTAATCACTCCAATGGAATGAAGGAAAATCGGGTGTGTTTGTTCTTATCTTGATGAGAAAATCAACTTCAAAACTAAATCATCAAACGCTTTAGTTTACTGTCTGGATTGAAATGGCTCAAGTCGCAAAGGTTACACATATACAGTGCGAGATGTAAGAGAAATCATGCTGTCGCCCTCGACTCAGTACATTTTATATAAACTTATTTGCTTCGGTGTTAGGACAAAAGGAAACATTGCAACCGTATGCAGAGTTTTCACACAGACATTTTCCTTGGAAGGTGAATACGTGTATAACGTACATTGTTATGCCACATTATCAACACTGAAAGCAACACTAGTTTGAGTAATTCTGGTAATTATTATGTCCCTTTTGTTTGCTCAAGGTGGGGAGGTACCAGATCCTTTCGAGTCTCCGCTGTGGTATCAGAAATACGCCCCACTGGTTCGAAAAAAGTACCACTACCTCTTCGACGACTTCAGCTATCGGTTGATAATTCTGGTAATTATTATGTCCCTTTTGTTTTCTCAAGGTGGGGAGGTACCAGATCCTTTCGAGTCTCCGCTGTGGTATCAGAAATACGCCCCACTGGTTCGAAAAAAGTACCACTACCTCTTCGACGACTTCAGCTATCGGTGGCGCCCTTTCGACCGTGTCAAAGGTGAAGACCCCCCGGACTGGAACAGCTTCGTTACGTACAGCGCCACACCTGACTACAGCGATCTCGTGGAAGTTCCCAAACTCAGCCAGGATGAAGTGCACCAGTTCGGACACCAGAAGGAGGACTTCATCTTGCAGTGCTCGTATGAAGAGACGAAATGCAATCTGAGGTAAAAAGGAACCCGACTATTTTCAGGACGATCATGAATGTAAGACCTTCCTGACGCTTGAGGGCAGCAGATTGCAGATTCTGTTGAGATACGACGAACCTTTATTACGACGGACCTTTATTACCTTTTATTACCAATTACCGTGCCGGCTATCTGATGAACTGGCGAACTGGTAAAATTTGAAAGGTATGTACGGTGGGTATGTCACCTCATGAAATTACCATTGCACTCACAAACATTCATTATTTGTATATTGTTGGGTGCGCAGCAACGGCGCACTCTGACCTACTGATTAGGACTCCAATTATACTTTCGTCATTCATGTGTGTCTGTGTGTGTGTGTGTCTTTTTTTCAGCGATATTCTGGAGTTCCAGGACGACACATATGGAAACTGTTTCACCTTTAACCCAGAGGGGTTCTTTGCTACCTCCACAACAAGCTCTAGATATGGTAAGCTTCTGCCATCTTCCAAGCCAAAACAATTGAAATAGGCTAAATTTCAAATGTTGGAAGTTTCTAACCGCTAATTCTTAATATGAGCGTTTATCAAAGCAAATCTTGTACGCTACTGTGAGAGCGATTACCCTTTCTATACTGAATGAAATTAAGTAATGCTGTCAGATTACTAAAGCTACAAGTTGTTTGGTTCCAGTCCTACTTAATTCTGTTCATGATCGTAGGTCTCCGGATGACCCTGTTCTTGGAGCAATCCGAGTACATCAGTATCTTTGGGCAGGAGGCTGGTGTCCGTGTCGCCATCTCCCCTCCCGGTATCCGACCAAACCCGACCCACCATGGGTTCACTGTCAAACCAGGAACAGTGACTTCCATCGGGCTCAGATATGTAAGTTACTTTAACGGAAAAAACAACAGCTATTGCTAGTGGTGTAGTCTGCTGCATCTGTTGTCTGTCTACTTCTTAAGTTAGCTGCTGCTGCTGCTGCTGCTGCTCAGGCTGCTACTGCTCTGTTTCTTCTGCTCTGCTGCTGCTGCTCTGCTGCTCTGCTGCTGCTGCTCTGCTGCTGCTCTGCTGCTCTGCTGCTGCTGCTCTGCTGCTGCTCTGCAGCTGCTCTGCTGCTGCTGCTCTGCTGCTCTGCTATTGCTGCTCTGCTGCTGCTCTGCTGTTGCTGCTCTGCTTTTGCTGCTCTGCTGCTGCTCTGCTGTTGCTGCTCTGCTCAGCTGCTGATCTGCTGCTGCTGCTCTGCTGCTGCTCACGGCTGCTCTTCTGCTTCGACCAACTACTGCACTACTAGCAGTTACTTCTGTGGCTGCAGTCGTGAGTTGATACTACTGCTGCTACTGTTTATATGTTAATGATGTATGATGTTACTGCTGTTGCTGTTGTTGCTGCTGTTTGTGCTGCTTCTTAGATTCTGATGCTCCTTGAAGTTATCTTGAAGCAGTCTTAAAGTTATCTTGTTTCTAACAGTGGGCCTATTTTCGTTTTTACTGCGAGACAGAACTTTGTGAACCGGAAGCCACATCCCTACGGAAAATGCCAAACGTCTGTTGAGAATTCACCCATCATCGAAGATGGAGTAGTGCGAGAGATCAGGGAAACCGAGCAGTATGACAGAGGGGTACATTTTTTATTTCAATCATTATAGTGCTTTGGTGTAGACTCAACAAAACTATTTAAATCCTCTTGACGAGCGGCTTTTTTTAATAGAATTCTAGATTTTCAAGTGATGAAGGTAGTGACATCATATTCAGCAAATCCAAATATGTTCTTTAAACGATCAACACGATTTCCCATAACGGATTTTCTTTCCTCGTTTTGCAACCGTTCAGCTCTGTAAGAAAAGCTGCCTTCATCGCCACATACTGGAACAGTGCGGTTGTTCAGATACTCTAGAGCTCGCCGGACCACGGTGTGAAATACTGAACACGGAGCAAGGTGAGAAACACGATCTGAAAAAGATATCGGTAAAATATTTGTGTATACACTATTTCATTTATCAACAGGTATGATTAGGTATGATCGTGGGCTAAATAAGGAAATACAATCAACACATTCTGTGTTGTAAACTGTTGGTGAAAGGCGGCAGTACATGCATCGGTATCATTGAAATTTATTGGCGTTCAAATTTTTTTTTTAGAATAGAAACGCAGTGTTCATTCAATTGTGCCACATTTTATTTTGTAGATGTCTGCAAGCAGTTGATGTACTTCCTGCACCAGAGTGATAATCTTACCTGCCATTGTCCTCAACAATGCAGGCAAGAAGCTAGTTTGTGTATTTTCATCAATATCCCTGTCATCATTGTCACCTTTATCCTCGTCGTGGTGTCGTCTTCTTTTTGTCATTGCCACTGTGGAAAATAAACAGCATCGTCATCAACGATTCTACTTCTTTCATTTTTGTCGTTCCTTTTAGGAGCTTTTGTTGCCATTGTAATCATTGTCACCAATGTCATTAATGTCACCGCCTCGCCTTCGGTTCATTTGTCATGTCCATGTCATGGAAGTTATTTTCGTATCTTCTCAATAATATTGTGATTATTATACGAAAGATTCCATGTTGTATTTTTGACTCAACACGTGCTTTCGTCCCCAGTGAGGTTTACTACACAAAGACAAGCTCAACCTCCGCTTGGCCCTCGGCCAACTTCATGGTAAGTTCATTGCACACACCAAGTTTCACTTACTTTGATGTCAGGTATAAAGAATTTGCTTAACTCATGATTTTAAACAAATATGACGAGCCATTGCGAAGCGCCTTCTAATTCTAGGCGTGCTGGTTTATATACCACTTTATTTTGAATCTATATTTTCTTTAACAGAAACATCTTTTGAAAAATTTACACTCCATCAACCGGAAAACTAAACACCTAAACGGGAACAACATCGAGTAAGTATTTTTTTTTTATTAATTTCTACGTAAACATGGTTTCAAAATTATAGACAAAATACCTCAGAACTTTCAAGAAATGTAAATACCAATCTGTCATTCTCTGATTGCTTGATCTTTTCCAGCAAAAATATCGTACGAATTGAAGTTTATTATGAGGAGTTGAACTATGAAAGTACAAAAGAGGAACCAGCTTACCAGGTAGATATACCTCTGAAGTGAGGACTTACTTCTTTTTTTGTTTTTAATACTTAGTAGTTTTAAAAAGTTGTTGTTTTGAAACCGAGTTGGGAGAAGATAACGGATGTTTGAAACAATTACTCCATCTGATTTTGTTTAATTTCGGATCAGCGTTGTAATCAGGTCCTCATCATTCGCTTGGAAGTCCTATGCAATCTCTGTCCCTGAACTGTGAACATTCCTTTGTCAATGTCAATCCCCTGTAAAACCTCGGACATTACTTGTGATGGAATTGACCTACCAACGTTTGCGAGTTAGCCACGCCCCTTAGAAGACTCTATGGAATTTTGTACGTTTATAAGTTTTGTTTGACTCAGATTTTGTGCGTTCCGCGTCCATTTGTATATCATTTATTTCACAAGCTGCGTTGACGCGATTCTACCGATGTTGGGTAATTGTCACTTGATTTGATTTGATTTGATTTAAAGGTATAGTCCAATAGTCCATCATTTGTATTTTGTGCATTTTGTTCGTTTGAAGCAACAAAAGTGCTCAAAATCTAAAGAAAGGTGCTGAACAACTAACCTGATGAAAGTTCAGCTCAGCTTCAGCTGTATATTTCGAGAAAAAAACAACATTCTAAGATCTCGATTTCAAATCAAATGTTGCTGCATCATGTTTTGAATTGGGCTTGAATTCAGCGTCCGAGACACGTTCTTACTGAGCCGATTGCACTTTTTGCAGCTACGCGATGTGGCGCACCGATCCGACGAATTATAGCAACCACGCGCGCGTGTGCGTCGTGTCAACGCTTGCGCGCACTTCGCCGAATGAAAAAAAAAAACACGAACTTCTAACGGAAATGTCCAACGGTACTTCTTAAGACGCACCGTTGGAAAGGCCTTCTTTCGTTGATTTCTTCAAAATGACAGCTTGCCAGAAAGAATAATTGCACAGGGAGTTTAGTCCTCTTACTATCTTTCAACCAAGTATGTTTTTCAACAATAATTACGCCAGTTACTTTTCGGTAGCTGCAAATGATGGACTGTAGCTTTAAACTCAATTGCGACTGTGTTTTGGAATGTGTGGATATTTTTTTCGAACGCGATCAAGATGTTATTCCTAAGGTAACAATCACCTTAATAAACCTGCATTTTAGGATTGATTAAATCCGGAAATTGTTTACTCAGAGTATTTTTCTCTCGTTTTCCCCCACAGCCATCATCCTTATTCGGTGACATCGGCGGCATTATGGGCCTGTACATCGGCTTCTCGTTCATCACAGTGTTTGAATTCTTCGGCGTCATATACACGCTCATCAAGAACGCATACTTTTAAATAGCCAGCGAAGAAAAGCCCGGTGTCATATGAAAATCCGACTCCTATGAAAATCAGACTCCTTTTCCCTATTATTGGTTAATCCCTCGCACGAGACAGGTCACTATCCATGTATGATCCTAAAAATAGCATACTATCGTACTTACGCATGCGCAATACTACCAATGGGTCCATATTTCATGGAGTCGGATATTCACGCTACACCTGCATTCGTTTGCAAAATTTTGATGTCATTACATCCTGTGCTATCTTTTAGGGGCGTAGTGAAAACAGGAGGGGGGGGGGTGGTTTTGAAGAATATTAATTGAGTAGTTGCTTAGTTGATTGTGGTTGCTTTGAATGAGCTTGCATCATTCTGTTGCAATTATATCACTATATTAGTCTAGTTGGAAGATAGGGTTCCCATGCACCCCTGGATATATTTTTCAATCTACTTTTTGTAATCCTTAGGGTGTCTTGTGAACGAATGTTGATGTTCCCAAGATCAAATATTGTCACATGGGGTTCATTTGGCGGCCATCTTGGCGGCCATCTTGGATTTCGACAAAAATCAGTTATTGACATAAATTTTGAGCCAGGCATCACAGGAAGACAAATGAACATGTTTCGGGGTAATTTCGGTGCGAGGAATCGATTGAAAGCGTTATTCTTATAATTTGGCGGCCATCTTGTCGGCCATCTTGGATTTTGACAAAAATCGGTTATTTGACGTAACTTTTGAACTAGGCATCATGAGAAGGAAAACGAACACGTTTTTCTGGGTAATGTAGGTGTGAGGAATCGATTAAAAGCGTTTTTTTCCTAATTTGGCGGCCATCTTGGATTTCGACGAAAATCCATTACTTAATAACTTTTGAACTAGGCATCATAGGAGGACAAATTAAGGTGTAGGCTTAATCTTGTAGTATTAGCTGGAAATGGTGATAGTGAACCAACAATCCGTAGCATAGTTATACATGTAGTGCGGCGGTTGATAATCATGCCAGTATGGTGATGCGGCCCATCCTTGAGACACTCATTGACTTACTGCAGAAAACTGTTGAGGAAGCGGAGAATCAATAGTGGAAGAGCATCAAGAGATTGATTATGATGAGGTTCTTGAAGATGTGTATTATTGTCTTGTTTCCAGACGTAACTATCTGGCGTTGGTTACGCATGAACATGTACACTTTCGAACTTAAATAATATTCCATCCACAGAGGGCGCAATTTTCTGTGTCTGTACTATACTAAAAAAAAAATCCGAGGGAATCGACACCCATCACTGGAGAAACATAATCCATAACAGAATCGAATAAATTATGGAATCGATTATGGAATCGAATCGGCGTGTAAATAATTTTCGCGACCAAAAAAATACATGAACGTCTTGGATCCAAGACTACTATATCACACTTTTTGTACCATGCATATATGAAACTGTTTCCCTTTCAGACTATGAGTCGCAATTTTATCCGAAAGTTTATGATGTAGTTGTGGTGTTGATATTTTACTATAAAGAGGCTATTTTAGTGTTCAACGAATGTTGAGATATTGGCCTTAGTTTAGTCAGTTTATAAAGATAATTAGTGTTTCTTCATTTTCTTATTTTCCAATGAAAACAAGAGTTATATGTTAATTCAGAAGTCATATCAACAGATTAACTTTCTAGTTTCGAAACGTGCTTCAAGTCATATAAACCTTTTTGTTTCGTTCGTTACAGCTCTTGTGTTTGTTTGGGGTGTTTTTTTTTTTTGGGGGGGGGGGCGGTGATTTACGTTCATTCGTTATAGACCGATTCATTTAGTCCCGCCCAGTGCATCCACCCACAATAACATGTGCCCTCTATCTAATTCCCCATCACTGCCCGTGGATATTGACACCATATCGCGGGTCAATCGGTCATTGACACGCTATCCGTTCTCAGACTCAAAGCCAAATTAAAAAAAAATTAGCGTCCCCGCCTGCTTACTTTTTGGAGGCCGCCTCCTTTTTTTTTAGTAACAGAAAAAAAATGATAAATTGTAAACAGTGACGTAATTTTGGCCTGTTGCATAGCCCACATAAAGCTGCTATGTCATTTCCTGAGTCCAATTGCGGCCATTTAAAAAAAAAAAATGGCGGCCTCTCTTGAAAAAATAGCCCGGCCGGGCGGCCATTTTTGGAGGACAAAAAAAGAGCGGCTCCTGCTCCTTTTTTCAAAAAGGCAGGACGCTAAACATATTTTATTTTTTATTTGGCCTAAAACCGCCGTGGGGGACTTCTAGACTGTGTTCAGACTAGCAGACTGGCCTATTGAAATGAGTAGACGTCACGTCATCATAATTATTTTCTTTCACAAAATCTTTTTCACGGGAAGTAAGTGATCCATGCAGTCGATCTATTGTGCTAAGTTGTAAAAAAGTAGAGCAGCCAGGATACGCGTGCACTGGGGTGGCCATATTGGTTAGCGGCTCTTCTGCAGATTTTCTGGGCGGTTGACGCGAGGTTATAAACGTGGAAAGTCGGCAGTGAGTGACTTGGCTCTCTGTGCACATACTAATCATGGTGTCGAAGCTTACTGCAGTTGTGGCCGTGTTCGTTCTCTGTCTCATGGTGGTTGCTGGTAAGTAAACTCTATGGTGTAAATTGATTTGGTCTTTCTCGTGAACACATGCTGGTGGGTTTTGCTTTAAAGGGAAAATACAACATTTGCAAACATCGAAAAATAAAACTACCAAGTTGTTACGAAATACCTAATTACTAGGATGTTGGTAAATGACAGTCTAAAGCATCCTGTAAAATTATGGCACCTGGTGTGAAGTAATTTTGAAGAAAAATGGTACTTTTGTGTACATTTACAACGGTGGTCGGCCGACCACCGTTGGAAAACCTAACTAACGGTACTGCTCCAAATTTACCTTTTTTTTCATTCCAAATTTTGTTTGCTATTGGTCCCATGTTCATGAACGGGTGCAGGCCAGCTAGACTGGTTCCCTTACCTTACAATTTTCCGGCATTTTTTATCCATTTCATCTTTAGTGGAGTCAGAAGGAACCAGACAACATGAACAATTTTTGTTTTTCTAGGTTTTTCCAGCATTTTCGAACACAAAACTTCAAACATGTCAGTGTACCAATATTTGACCTATTATACTTTCCCCCATAATAATTCATTTCTGCAAATAACAGCAAAAGCCAATGATGTACATGCCCTTTAAAGTTCAGGATACTATTGACAGTGGCTTCAAGTTTACTTGCTTGCTTGCTTCGGGTCAAACAGACTTTGTCGTAGGCCTATACAGTAATTGCAAAGCTATCCTATAGACCCTATGCGTTAAGGCGGAGTCAAAGGGCAGCGGTTTTGAATCGCTATGGAGTAAACCTTTTGACCATTCACTGTGAATAGATTATAATAAAAAAAAATCCCCTTGGACGCCCGAGACGCATATGGTCAATTCGAATTAAAAATCATACTAAATCAACCCAAAATAATTTTCTAAAAATGTCTCATACAATAAGCCCATTCGACATGTCGCATGTGCATACTCTGATGAACATATGCAGTGTAGATAAACAAAATACGTCATGCTGTCCTTGACTTATAGATAGCAAGCTTACACATCAAGTGGGTTTATCCCAAAATTGCATTGTTGCACACGTGATATTGAATTGGCTCATTGCCGTTGGGAATTCTTTTAGGCGTCAGGGTAGCCCCATAAATGTGGCCAATTTACTTCGGTAAATAAAGGCCACACTTACACCATGTACAAAAACATGTCGAACTTTGTCAAATTTTGATTTTCACATTTAGGCTTAGTTTTTAATTTATTTTTGCTTTAGAAGCAAGCTCACCCTCTTTAGAGGCTAATCAGAAAGTGCTGCCTTTTTCAGATGTCTATTCTTCGTGAAATTTCCAGATTCGTTTGCACACATTTGCATATCAAAATTTCAACATGAAATTTCACGAAAATTAGAAAAAGGCAGTACTTTCTGATTAGCCTCTGAAGAGGGTGAGTATGCTTCTAAAGCAAAAATAAAATACAACCTAAGCCTAAATGTGAAAATCAAAATTTGACAAAGTTCGACATGTTTTTGTACAAGGTGGAAGTGTGGCCTTTATTTACGGAGGTAGTCCAGTAAATTGGCCACATTTATTGGGCTAGCGTCAGGGAAACACAAAGAACTTTTTATTCAACAGGACAAGTGCAATTTTTCATTGTATTCAATCTTTTTCAACGGATCGAAAATATTTGAAGAACATGTCTACCTGTTTACACAATGGTACTTTTGATTCGTGTGTGTCGACAAAGCTTTCTCTTCAACCCCCCCCCCCCACCCCACTTTCATTATGGATCCGCCCCTCCCGGATCTACAATGCTTTCATGGAATCACGAAAACAGATCTGACAACTGAAATCAGGTGCGATAGAGTTTAGCTCCCTGACCCAGGAACCTAGCAACAGTGAACATGATATCCCGGAGAACAGAAACGAAAGCAATTGTATATGCACGTAGCCGGGAACAAAATAATGAGATATCAGACCTGTATGTGAACCCTCGTGCGTAATAATGTTTGATCCATCTACTATGACAGGCTAAGTAGATATTTACTGTTAAAACAGTTTATAAAAACTCATTTCGTAATACACATATATGTAGGGACGTCTTTATTTTTATCAGTTTAGCGGTTTACTTTTAAGCAATCTTATAGCTTGAGGTGATAGAATGCAAAAAAAAAATCGAATTTAAAGTTTTCAGTTTGAGGAAATGCGTCCTGCAGATTTAGTCAGTTTATTTTTAAATGCTAATATGACATCCATTGCAGCACGGTAGTTTATTATGTCGAATTGAAGATAGTTATGCAGATCTTAAAATCGATTTTTCAACTTGCAGCCCAGATACGACTACCGGCTCCGACACTGGATTTAGTGGGAACCAAGAGAACCAAAACAAATTGACCCTTAAGGCGAAAATAAGTCTTTGCCATGTTAAAGCGCTACTCAGTACTAATAATAAAGACGTCACCTAACATGAAAAAAAAGAGTATAGGAGTTCATACACAGGTTTTCGATCCGTATTGTGCATTCCATTTTTGTCATTCAGCTGAGCATCCTGGTCATGATGCCCTTTGCCCCTCAACGGAAATGACGTCAGGTCCGCCCATAGCTGACACGCTGGTGACCTCACACCTAACGGTCGACGGCTCTGGGATTGAACTGTGCAGCATGGAGTACAGGGTACCAGCCAAAGCCACGATGTACCAGGGAATGCTGGCTGCCAGCCAGCAACACGGCAACAGTTTCAAGTAAGATTTCACACAGAGGGCGGGCTTCTTAGCGGTTATAACCATAGACATAATTATAAACACATAGACCGCCAGGTCCTATTAAAAACTACACGCGCATTTCGTGATCTGCTAAACTAGAAGGTCTCTGGTCAGCGCGCGCGTCGATTTTTGATCATGCGCGTCAAGTGTTTTTTTTTTCAAATTAGCTTTTTGCAAATTGCTTTTTATGGGCTACACAAATGCAGCATACTCACATTTAAAAAAATATAGCAATGTCTAAAAGCTGGCTCGGACCATTGGCAGTCAATCTGTTTAAAAACAGGTTCTGGTGTCCTGAATGTGTAGCACGGCTTGTTTTTATAACATTTTGGAGGCAAATTCCAAGTCATAAAAGTTGCCTTGGCTGTATGGAGAATGCGAAGGAAAGCATTTAGGGTACCTAGGCAAACGAGAAGGGAACCTATATGTAGGCAAATGAGGGGGCATCAAGCAGATGTGGAAGACACCACGGCATGGGGAGAGCATCCAGGCAAATGAGGGGCACCAAGGAACGGTGAAGGGCACCAAGGTAAATGATGGAGAGTATATAAGGACACAAAAAAGCAAAATAGTACCCACCTTGTCTGTACAATCCATGCTTGAAAAATTAAAGGGGAAAAAACCGCATCGCCACATCAATTCCGGAACTTTGATCTGACCAGAGACCGACTTTTTCCCTTCTAACAGAGAAGGGGCTTCATAACTCATTTAAAATGAAGCGATTAATTGTGGCATTTTGAAATACGTTGTTTCCTGTCTTTGACGTCCTGCAGGTTTGAATCCGAAGCTCATCCAATGTGGGGACACTTCGTTAGTTCCATCAACGACGTCGGTTCAGAGGGAGGTTTCTATTGGTTTATATTCGACAAGGATACGCTAAAGACTACGCCCGTCGGTGAGATGACTCTAGACTGGCTCATCCTCCCTACATTCGGAGTCAGAACCAACGATGGGGGGGGGGGGGGGTGACTGGGAACCAGTCTAAAATGACTCCTCGTACAGTGCCCTCTATTGTACAGTATAGAGGGCGCTTCATCCATGACTTTGAGATTTGAATTCAAAAAGTAAAACTGAGACCTCTTTACATAGCAGAGTGATAAATACATTTCACTAATAATCCATTTTAAATAATTGCTTTTTATCCTGTTAAATTCTGTTTAAATTCTTAAAATGTTTACCAACTTTTTTTAAAAAATTTCTTCAGGTGTTGATTTCATCGACATTGCTGATAATAGTTCATATATTTGGCACTATTCCAACAGTTCTCAACCTAATACAACTTATTCTGGTAAGTAGCATCATTAAGACCTGTTGAAATAATTATATAATAACCAGAACAACACAAATGTGATAATTTTTTATTCTTCGATTATTCTTTAATCTTTAAAAAATACTTATAGATCTCTATAGTAAAACTGTGTGAACCATAAGAAGGAAAAGTTTCCACGGGAAAATGGAATATTTGTTCACTTTTAATGTACGTTTAATTATTTGATTCAGGACCATGTGTTGGTTCGTCTGTCATTCCTCCACCCATGCCTCTGACCTTCAAGGTCGGGTACCTGAGCGTCTCCAGCGCCAACACTGACCTCTTCGCTGTGTGTAAACAGCCCGTCCTGCTTCCGACCACTCCGACGACAGTCTACGCACTGGTCGATTTGGCCAATGACCAAATACCCTTATTCGTGCAGTGAGTCCTTCCCCTTGGGACACAATTATGTTTCAGCCATTCAAAATTTAACCTAATGTAAAACCGTTGTACATTCGAACTATCAATACAAATGGTTTGATAAATTTGTTTTATCTTGATTGGTTGGCATACTTGTTTTCTGCGCTTGATCTTTTTTTTTTTTGCAACACTGTCCAGATTCCATTATTGTCCCGTTCGTATAAAATTTGTGATAGTGTTGTTTTCCCCTATTTTAAAGTTCTGTCCAAGCACACTGTAACTTTGTTTTTATGGGTACAGATTCGTTTTGATGAATTGAACTGTTTATTCTAGGGCCGTGTTGCATGCCCCCCAAAAGACTGTGACGTCACTGGATGGATTAGCCAATGACGATCGCTACGCGTGGACTGGTTACCGAGCAGGCAGCAATGAAAAGATTCCGTATGGTAACACATACATTTGACCTTATCTGTCAGATACAAAGATCCATTACTGCGTGCATGTATAATACTCGCGTTGATTCATTTCTGTAATCATTCAACCCACATTCTGAATGACCAAATTTAATAGGCAAATCCGCCAATAGCCTCTTCGCTTCTTGAGCAACAAACACAATCGAAATGCAACCGGTTGTACAATTATTTTAAAATCGTGATGCAAACTGACTTTTTATTGTTCTTTTTTTTCTTCAATTAACAGATCTTTCACTAACAGCTATATCCGACGGTGATCACATCGAGTTCAGATACGATGAACGCTCTGAACCCATGATTCCTGCAGGTAAACCCGATTTAAACGTTTACCCTTCAACTTTAACCTCTGACCCACTCTCCAAACCATACATTTTAATCGTTTACTTTCGACATCACAACTGACACTATAAATCTGTACGATTTTGTCTTCCTTTGTCTGCGATTTTTTTCCTGGTTATACATGTGAGCATAGAGCATTACTAGTTGTGACATCGGCAAACTTGATTTTGGACACAATATGGCTACGTTATCGTGTCTTCAAATACAAAATGCATGCACAGCGTGCGTCATTGAAGCAGAATCCATTATATTTGGCCTATGCATCCGGATTTTCTTCACTTATTTTACTGTGTACAATTCATCAAAATACTACTTTGTTCAATGACTTCTTTTGGATGTCAAATGAGATTACGGAATATCAAAAGAGATTTCTGTCTCAATTTACAGATAACGGAGACCTTTGCCCCGGGGAAGAGTTGACTTCCGGTCCGACCATAACCGACACGCTGGTGACCTCATACCTGTCGGTAGACGGCGGTGGGACTGTCCAGTGCAGCATGAAGTACAGGGTACCAGCCAAATCCACGGTGTACCAGGGAATGCTGGCTGCCAGTCAGCAACACGGCAACGGTTTTGAGTAAGTAGTGGTCTAAGGATCAATTCTAGAAAAACAAATCGGACTTGTGGCACCAGCCTACTTCATAACGTTTCTAGTGGAGACCCTGAACAAGACGCTTGATGGAGTATTTTTTCACCCCGTCTCTTTAAAAATTCACTTTCGAAAGCCCACCTTGCATATGCAAAAAAAAAGAGTTGATAGAGCTGTCAGATATGAACTGACTTTGATTTGTAGCAGTCTCATAATTTTCGTATGCCATTTTGGAAGGGCTTCTGAGTTTAAAGTCTCAACCCTTGAGGGCGCACTGTCGCTGCACTACTAGAGGCCCGCATCTTCCTAAATCACATCCAATTCGCTTTGACAACATGATCTGCCAAGTTCTCTTCTTAACACAATTTGAACTTTTTCTCCTAGATTTGAATCCACCTTGTACGCAAAGTTTGGACACTTCATCACCTCGATCAACAGCGTGGCACCGATGGGTGGTTCCTATTGGCTCATTTTCGACGACGTCACTAAGATGCTTACCCCAGTAGGTAAGATGGTTATTTGCTATCAAAAAAAGGAGCTATATTACATATATAGACACACAGCTTGAGGGCGCCATTGCAGTTCCTCCATGGCTGTCTTTATGGATTAACTAGATTCATTAGGAATGCAGGGGCTGGATATCTCTCCCTTTAGACCAATGGAATAATTATGGGACAAGCCTTTCTAATCAGACTTTCTGTATTACCAATAGCACATTTTAAGTTTTGAACATTATGAAAAAGTAAATATAGGAAAGCGGCTTCAAATTACCCACGGACTGAATTTGACAAAACAATTTTGTCTCGTTGGCAGGGGTCGACTCCATCCACGTCAAGAATGGTAGTTCCTACATCTGGCACTACACTAACGATACCGGCCACAATGTGACCTACAGAGGTTAGTAATTGTGTACAAATGGACTGTGGCAATTAACACACTTTTCATTTCTGTAAATAGATTTCCAGTACGAACAAGCAGGCCTATTTCCTAAAGCAAACTCGCACTGTTATTAGAAAGAAAAACGGTATAACCTGTCCAATTATCAAGGGGAATTAAGATTTCTAGTCGTCGCTATCGGATAACTTGCAAGGAACAATGTCATCTTCCGTCAAAGGCAAAAGCTATAATATACATGTATTTTGAATATATCGTTTCAATTTGCACTCAATGCCATACAGCTAATTTCAAGAGTTTTGCGGACTGCCTTTATGGGATTAACATTTATTATGGGTTTTCCGACAGGACCATGTGTTGGTTCGTCCTTCATTCCTCCAACCATTCCACTCACCTACAAGGTCGTGTACCTGACCATCTCAGGCGCAAATGTACACCAAACCACCAACGACACCTTCAAGCGTGTCTGCAAGCAGACGGTGTTGATTCCGTCTAAGGAAACTAGCGTGTTCAGACTCCTGGAAATAGCCAATAGTCAGATACCCATAACTGTAAAGTAAGTAGTTTGATGCAAATATCGCAAACAAAAATATATGACCCTTAAAGGTCAACCTTGTTGAGAACTACGCATGTGCACAATATTTGTTTTTGTTAAATGCCTAGTTGCTTTAATCAATGTTTTTTGACATCATGTTCATTGTTCAATGTGTTGATTTAAAGAGCTGAACTGGATTTGCAAGGCAGTTCTGTGAGGTCATTTAACGGTGTGTCCATGCGCAGGAGCTACCGATGGATTGGCTTCAAAGCAGGGATGGACGGGCCGATCCCTTACGGTAATCTCGATTTATTTGTATAAGTTGCTACTTAGTCTTCGTTTATCATTCTCCATCTTGTTCTTGCTCTGATGCCCAGGTCTACTCTTGCTCGATCTTTGAAATGTGCTTGCACATTTTTCGTACTGAAGTTTATCCTGAAACCATCATTTTCATGTCTTGCTTCGTTTATTTTCTCGACTACGACTTTGCCTCTTATTCTTGTTTGCTGTGACCTTTTTGTGTCCAGTTTCTACCCATGTTGTTCCCAGTTGGACCTTGTATTTTCTCAAATGCCCTGCCTCCTTGATTGACCTCTTGCAAAGAGTGCCCTCATTGAGGACCGGTGGTGTTGTGGTAAGTGGGAATGAAAGTACAAACTGTCTACTCTTGCGTGTCACAGAAGAAGACAGACCTGTCATCGTTGAGTGCGTTCTATTCAATGGGTCTATCGGTCGTTCGTTTGTTTGCTTCGTTTTCCTCCACTCATCAGACAACTTTGTTTGATTTATAACTTGCTTCACCAATTGCAGATCTGTCTATGTCGACTGTTACCGACGGGGATCACATCGAATTCAGATACGAGGAGGTCGAGATCGTGACTGGGCCGCGCGGTGGGGCGTCCTCTGCTGGCCAGTCCGTTGCCCTCGTAACTCTGGCAGTGCTGCTGGTTAATGTAGTGACGTCATTGTAAATATCCATGATACGCAAATAACAATAGTCTCCGAGTCGATGAATTTAAGGAAATGGAAGAGTGTGTCTATGTATAATGGTTTGCCATTTTTTGGTGAGAGGTTGATGTGAATAGTTTTACTTATTTAGCTGAAATTATGTCTGACAATTTGAACCAGAAGTAACTTAAACTATCATAATCGGTATATTGTTTTGCTGAAATGAGAACAGATGGGCGCAAGAATAAGCCCGTGACAAAGTAACATTTGATGAAGTTATTTTCCGCATTTAAAGAATAAAACTTCACCGACTTACTTGAGTAGAATAACTCTAGTCATCGATATCTTTTTACGAACTTTATTCTGACCCAATTTTCATCACAACTATAATTTGATTATTCTTATTTGATTATTATTATTGATTATTGATGTTTTTATGCGAATTAAAATAAACCGGTGTGGGGGGTACTTTCTGTTTATTTCTTTTAGAATTTTTTTCGAATTACGTATAAAAAAGTGAGAATTTACATTCATAATTAAAGAGGTCACTGTAATATTGGTCTTGCGAAAATAACTTAAAGCTGTTTCGTCTTCGAACTCATTTTATATTGATGTTGACCAAATTCGTTGGGTACAAAATAAAAGAAATCAATTCTCAATTTACATTATACCAAGCATTTTATAAAGGTTTGCAAAACCAATTGAAAGATACATTTTCTATTCATAAAAAGTGGACTAGTGTACGACAGTCATCTGTGCTTGCCGTGTTCATGCTTACGAGACTGCATTCCTCGGACTAAAGTTCTTAAGGCCAAGAAAAGGCTCCGGTTTCTGGTCTGCGCGCGCGTCGCCGTAGGCATGCGCGTCGGCAAAATTGAAAACTTTTTTTTTCAATGTAAGATGATTTCTCAAAACCGCCAAACTCACTGGTTTGACTGGAATCCTGCTGCTGCACAATTTTAACGTGTTTTAGATGGGGTTACGATCGAGTATAAGCTTTAAGTGGCCTCTCTCGGCTTTCATACATTTTGCACTAAATTTAGTCGGGCACCATTTGCAGTTATCAGCCGATATTTGGAGGGAAAAAAAGTAACAAAAAAAAAAAAGCCGCGTTGCCGCACCACTTTTAGGGCGAGCTCCATACCAGAAACCGAAGACTTTTTTTGGCCTAAAGTAGGCTGTGGTAAAATTTAATCAGCCATTTGGGGAGTAAGGAATGTAAACAAAGATGGCTGCCGTTACGAGAAAATTAGCAGTCTCAATTCCAGCCCCTTAAAAATAATAATCATCAACATAATGGAAGTCTTGAATGAGGAGCCATAGCCGTAGCCGTGTGGAGTCAGGAGACTAGGCGAAGATGGCCACCGCGGAAACGGAATTAGTCTCAAGCCCACACGCATGTATGATACATAAAAAGTGCATATATAGAGTCACTCAAAACTTCGGCCGTATCATCATGATTGACGTCTTGAGCGAGTAGCCATAGCCGTGGAAGGTGAACCAGACTACGCCCTTGGCGTTCTGCCCGGCGCCCACAATGCCGCGCAGGTACTGGCCGTTCAGGTTGGAGTTGTGGCAGGTCGAGTACCACCAAGCTCCCGTGTACTCCACGGCGCAGTTGCCGGCCCAGCGGTCGTTGTCGCGGTCGTAGGTCGAGAACTGGGCGCCGTTGTGGGCGGACAGAGCGTCACCTGTAAGTCATCAAACAAAATATTGTTTATCAGAATTTCGTTGCTTGGACCTTTTTTGTCTGGAGTCTCTTCATTGTAAAGGTAAAGAGCGCCCTCATTTGGCCATTGAGGACCTGGTTGTCACTGATATCGATAAATAGCATTCGTCGAAACGAGTGTTCTACTTGCAGACCTAACAAACTCAAGCTAACTCGTAAAATGCATTTTGGAGAGTGTTAAAAAAACCCAGGTAAGTGGTTGTTTTAGTATCAGTCTCCAAGCGTTTCTTATTGATCAGTATTCTTGTTACTCTTCTGGCTCCTTTATTTTACAAGGCCACACTTTATGCTGCTCTATCTGTTAAGAACCAGACAGAAGTATGCTAAGACAATATTGAACACTGGCTTTGTAACTTTAGAACTATACTTACATTATTCAACCGGTAAAAAAAACAGGACGTGGAAGAGAATAAAATCTGTCTGGGGGTTTTCCCAACACGCCACCTCAATTTGTTTTGTTCTTTGGGCTTATTGCATAAAATATGGAGAATGTTCTGTCGTGCGGGTGTCGAATATCCCATAATGCACTGCAAAAATGGCCTCTGCTGTAACCTCTTGGTGGCGCCCTTTCAATTAAACTCTGCTAAATAAGGGTACACACCTGTAAATCGATCCGCCAAGCTCATGAATAAAAGTTATACCCTCAAAATATTCTATATTAGAGAGTTCTGAGCGCCGTAAAATTGGGGAATTGAAGAGATATGGTAGTGAACCTCTAGCCCGGACTTGGGGCTTCCAATTCTGAGCATTTTGGATGCTATTGGGCTCGAAAGTGGCGCTATTTTGCCATGTTGTGGAGGGATCGTTTTTCAAGATGGCTACTTTTCCGCTTTGGGGAAAATAGGTGTCGTCTTCTTTGCGTGAAAATATCTCGAAAAGTCAATGGTCAACCCACCATAAATTGAAAAGAAAATGAAAGATGACACATTGATCATCATTTTTCTGTGCAGCTTGAATACCTGTGAGAGTTTTGAGTATTTTTAAAAGAATTTTGAAGTACGGGCATTTAGCACTAGTGTCTATGGGAGTTTATTTGCAGGTATGCACCCTATAAAGAATCACAAAGATGGCCGTTTCGCGCATGCGCTGTGCCGCGGCAGTGGTCTTTTCAGTGGGCGGAACCCACGGGGAGGGGGAAAAAGTGTTTTAAAGGTATCAACAAGGGTTTTTTGCCGTAACGGATGCTTCCAAATCATTAGGGAGCAGTAGGCTATCACCCGATTACAACAATTGATACTTAAAAAGGGGGGGGGGGGGCATTTTGAGCTTAAAAGTAGCTGGAACTCAATTTATTGTCGCTGAGGGCGCTCTACAGCTTAGCAGGGGCAAAACAATCACTATTTTCGGGCTTAATATCTACCTCAGATAATATTTTTCTTTCACTTTTTTTTTCAAAATATTGACTTTGGAGATATTCTGCTTGTCCTGAATGTGATTTTGTGTTAAAATTTAAAAGTTGCCTGCTATTATAGGGTACACACCTGTAAATCGATCCGCCAAGCTCATGAATAAAAGTTATACCCTCAAAATATTCTATATTAGAGAGTTCTGAGCGCCGTAAAATTGGGGAATTGAAGAGATATGGTAGTGAACCTCTAGCCCGGACTTGGGGCTTCCAATTCTGAGCATTTTGGATGCTATTGGGCTCGAAAGTGGCGCTATTTTGCCATGTTGTGGAGGGATCGTTTTTCAAGATGGCTACTTTTCCGCTTTGGGGAAAATAGGTGTCGTCTTCTTTGCGTGAAAATATCTCGAAAAGTCAATGGTCAACCCACCATAAATTGAAAAGAAAATGAAAGATGACACATTGATCATCATTTTTCTGTGCAGCTTGAATACCTGTGAGAGTTTTGAGTATTTTTAAAAGAATTTTGAAGTACGGGCATTTAGCACTAGTGTCTATGGGAGTTTATTTGCAGGTATGCACCCATAAAACAAAACACTGGTCTCCATGTAAAAAAAAAAATTAACGGTAACAGACTTGCCTCCTGGTCCCCCAGTGAAGCCGGCCACCCGCAGTGTGTAGTTGGTAGCCTCGCTGCCCAAGTAGAAGTTGCGGTAGTGCGACTCGACGAGGGTGAACTGCCAGTCCTCTAGGATCACCAGCAGCTCGTAGGCGGCCTGGGCCGAGATGGCGTGAATGACCTCGTTGCCCAGCCACAGCTCACCGGAGTTGTAACCGAAGCCGTCCCGGTACGACGCCCAGTCACGGTTGAAGTCCAGACGGCCGTCCAGGCGCCGCTGAATAACCTGGACGCACCGTCAAACCAAAGCAGTCATTCAGTGAATGAAAGAAGACAAAATGGTAAGGATGCCACTCGTAGTACCTCATAGTATTTCCTTAATTAAGTGACCACACTTATAATTGTCAGTATACAGTGCTGTATGCGCCCACATCCTTTTTTGTTATGGATGAGGCACATTCTGCGACTCCTCTGCAGTGGATATACATTCGAGCAATCAGTGTCACCTTCAGCTGAGATTTATACCTGTTACGATTCATACCTTTTCATGTGTTGTTCTAGACATTGTAATAAGTGCTACATATTTTGGTATTTCATTTTTGGCTGCTTATCTCTGATTATTATTACGTTTTGTAACAGTCTATTACGTTTTATAACAGTCTTGCCTTCAAATGAAAGGAATAGTTCAAGCATGTTTTCACTATTTTTCCTCAGTGAAAAAATGTGACCTATAGAAGATGTACGTTTATTTTTCTTCTGAATTCGAGTTTGGTAGTCTTACCGTCCAGCCGCCACCTTGGTTGGACTGGTCGCAGTAGACTCTGACTGGCCTACACGTGTCAGAGAATGCTGGGAAGATGGTGTATATACCGTCACGCCCACCGCCGAGTTCCCGGATGTCTTGGCAGTTGGTTGGCATGTGAACAGGGGCTACATGGGTGGGGCGGGGGGGGGGGGGTAGATGCCACAAAAATAGGAAAAGTGGAAATAAACATGTTCTTTAAGAGCCACTTTTGCCATATGCCGCTTAGGATTCACCTAAAGGTTAAAGGTCATACTTCTGACGTCATGGTATGCTTTATAGGCAAACAGATATGACGTCATATCACAGTTCAGAGTTCTTAATCATGAGCCAATTTGAGATATGGCGGACATATAAGGACTTGGGGGCGCTATTTGGTTTGGGTAAATAACAAAACTTTACCTAAATCAAACAGCGCCCTCCTTTTGTGTCTGCCATATCTCAAGGGGGCTAATGGCTGCAAGAGGGCGCTTAAAATATGCAAATTGTGGGCAAAACGTTTGCAATAATAAAATATACCATAAAACCCAACGGCCAACTAATACGCACTCAACGCACGCCGCTTTGTTTAAGAAAAAGACTGATTTTGTTATTGGACAGATTTTTCAAATCGAGATCATAAAATGTATCAAACTTAATAGGCCAAGTTAAAAAGCAAAGAAGGGATGTACCGAAGGCACGTAATATTAAAGATGATATCTCGTGCTCTTAAAAAAATACATGTTTTTTTCTCGTAACGATTTTTCAATAGTAATCGTATGTTCTATTAAAAAAAGGGAATTTCGTTTTGCGTCCAATTTAACCTGCCATGTAAGATCCAAATTAACGTTTGTCAGCCAATATTTCGATTTTCGTGAAGAAAAAATTTAATAACTGTACTTTGGGTTTATTTTTTTCGTTCGATTTCTCATGCAAAAATGACTAACTTTCATATTTCTAGGAAAAAGCAATTGATGGAAACGCATCTTCAAGTCAAACGATAAATGAAGTATTTCCCCGATTTTGTTTTGATAGTAGCCAGTTAAAAACGATTGATTACGGCATGGATGGAATAACATGTGATTTCCAACTTTCTGCTAAATATTCGGCATTGGTTTTCTACAGTGGACATGTTGAACAAGACAGATTAAAATTTAAAAACTTACACCCGCCGGCTGCTCCGTTGTAGATCCCACCACAGCACGTTTTATCGGGAGCTGGCGGGGACCGCGGTGGGGCCTGAGCTATTTGCCCGCCGGTCTCCAACGCACACAATATCACCAGGACAACTCCGAGAAATTTCAGCATTTTGACTCCTCTGTAATTCCCTTTTCAACAGAAAGAAGTGATACCAAAAAACTTCTAGAGAAATCGTGGTTTAAATAGTGTGGAGTGAGAAAACGGAGGATCGAAGCGAGATGGATAGAGGACGTTTATGCGTTTGAGGAACGATAGAGCGGCCCGAGCTGGCAGGATAGACCGGAGTACAGCGAGAAGATTGGCCGTCATCAGTGCCGTAGTGCCGGCCTCAGTTCACCCACGTCACGGCGGGTGAGTCACGCGTGGAACAGGGCCGACTCATTTACAGTCAAGGGTGGACACAAAAACATTAACCGCCAAACCTGAACTCAATGTCAATCTGGATTTTAACTTCTACACAAAATGTCCTGTTGATTTTGCCAGAACTTTAGCTTCAGTCGTGCAGTGTGAACATCTGGACTTCCAGTTGCTGATCAACCGGCACAAGATAGATGGGCGTTGGCACTTTTGAGGAGTCCCTTTAAGTTTATTTGTGTGTCTGCCAAGATTTTGAGCTAAGGGTCACCGGTAATTGATTGTAACTTGGGAGGAAGCCGATCTAATGACGCACTGTATCATGTGATGTCTATTTATAATATGCCGGCCGGCTTCTATACAACGTGGCCCAAGGACGGGCATCTCACAATCTGAAGTTTCGGAGTGCAAAATTGATGTCAAATTTCAATTTACTTTCTGCTCAACGGTTCTCATCTCTTTCTCGAATATATAAATGTTTTAAATTTTGAAGTTGGAGCTTTGGTACACAGTGCAAACAGCTGATTTAATCAACAGTACATTTTCAATTCATAACCCTTTTGAACAGAATTAGTAAAAGATAATAGATTTACCACCAACGATGCGAGTTTTAAAGAACGCTTAAAATCGAATTCACTACGGGCAGTTTTAAGTTGTTTAAATGGGCGGAGCAAGCAAAACGTAATTTGGAAAATGACTTTGATATATATCTGAACTTTAAGAGTCTATTAATAGGTATCGTGCGGGCTATTTTTGCGGCATTTAGCCGTACAGGAAAGAACGGATGAGTCAGAATTCCTGTCTATAATCTCATTCGCCCTGATACTGCATGACACTTTCGTGACCAAAATGTAGTCATTTCATCTATATGATGTCAATATCTATGTGACACTTTCCCAACCAAAGTACAGCAGTTTGATCCGTATATTATTTTTTCCTTTATTGTTTAGTTATGTGTTATCCGTTGAAAGCTATGGTAACAAGCTGAGGTTCAGTTCAATTTGTTTTTGTGATAATTATCAGAGCATATAGTATCTTTCTGCTGAGTTATTTTATGTCTGTACTTTAAGAAAGCTTGGGTTACATTTCATGTTTTTGTATTTATCATCATGTTCTATATAATATCTTAAATTGTAAAGTTCATACCAATTTGACCTCACTTTTGTTTTGCTCACCGATGACGTCATCGTCAACAAGGGTCAGATAATAAGGTCGCATTAAACCTACTTCCAGCTAATTATCTCCACATTGTTCTGAAAAGCCCCAGGTCCAACCCAGCCCAACTTCCCAATCACTAGGTTCCGTCCCCTCTGATTAAGACATCCTTCGCTTTACTCGAGGAATAACAACCCTGATTTTCCAGGCGAGGGAAACAATGGGCGAAATCAAGCCTCGTGAGTTGTTTTACTAGTGAGTTTGAGTTGGAGGACTCAATTAATCTTTACTCAGTTCATTCGATACTTTTCATCTCTGTGACCTGATCTGAGGGAATGAGTCACTCAACTCATAGGTTTTGAGAAGACATTCCGCTCATTTACCTGAACACTAATACGATGAAAGAGAATCGATACCTTATACAGGGTGAGTCCACACAAAAAAGGAAACCCAAATGTCAAGGCCATTTTTGAAATGAAGTTCTACTTGTAGCACTTTTGAAATCTAGGATATGAAAGCCCAATTAGTAAGCTTTCTGTTAGTACAAGAATCATTCAAATCACTTATGTACTTTTTAAGTTACGAAATTTTATACGCAACCACCGTTTTAAAGTTCTGCTCACGGATCACACAAAAGGTAAGTGTTCTTTTAGCAAAACGAAAACAATTCACACACATCCCTTAGGTTTTCGTTTTGCTGAAAGAACACTTATTTTTTGTGATCCGTGGACAGAACTTTAAAATGGTGTTTGTGTTCAAAATTCTGTAACTTGAAAAGTACATGAGTGATTTGAATGATCCTTGTACTAAAAGAAAGCTTATTAATTGAGCGGAATCCGCCCCCCCCCCCTCAACTTTTTCCGCGATAGCTTAAAAAAAAAAAAAATTCGCAACCCGACCTATTATGACTTTTTAGCCTCGAGCCTTGCGCATCTTTTGATACCAAAAACATATAAATCGGACCACGGGTTGCCGCGTAGCGAAAATTTTCCGGCGCTACGCGCCGTGAAAACTGATTTTCCCATATACGTCATGTACACAGAGCACAATAACCATTCGTACATATGAATAATTAATTACCCATAATTCCAAAACCCTTTGACCTATAGTCATGAAATTTCTTGGGTATGTTCATGATGAGTTGCTCTATGCATGTACCGAATTTCAAAAATGTTCGTAACTCGATGTCCGAGATCTTGGGGGGGGGGGGGTGGCGGATTCCCCCCCCCCCCGGCTGAGAGATGGTCAAAATAACCCGGCCTGATTAGGGTTAAATACTTGGTACTGACATTTGGGTTTCTTTTTTTTACCCACCCTGTACTGCTTCCTTATTTGCCAACAATTTGCTTATCGCTCGGACAATATTTTGGGGTTCATACTTTAAGTTCAGCTTCTTCAAACATTATTCAAAATGAATGTACCACTGATAGGACAAATGTCGGTTCGAAATCATAAAGGGATTGTTATCGAGATGCCAATACTGCATCTGTGACGTGGCTTTCGCAAGTACATATTTCCAAATTGTATATGTAGTGACACAAAATTACATTAGTTGTTAGTTCTTTAATTCATTTTATTTCATTGCACGAGCATTTTTTGTCCAATTTTTCAAACAATATTATATTGAAATTTACAGTTACAAGAACATTATACACTGCAAACGTACTAAATAAAAACATGTGAATTGTGGCTACTCTAAAATAAAAAAAGGTAGGTCTGTCATTCCATATGTAAAACCTTTGTAGACATCATTGTTTGTTTTTTTTATCTCAAAACAGAATTCACGAACACAGTGTCTTTAGGAGTTGATGAGTAGTCAAATGATCGCCTAAAGTGGACTGAAGTTCGACAATGAAAATACATCATTCTTGTCGGTGTGATTCGTCAATTGCTCGTCGTGTGATATAGGGAAGACGTTGGGTCAAAATAACTTCAGTATTTTTGTTATTCCTTGGACAAATTTATAACAATTCCTGATACAAGTTTCAGGCATCTATACATTAAGTGGCTAGCTTTGTTTTGTATTTTACAAACTTGTTTTACCCTAAAAAAAATTTCAATAAAATAAGAATAATCTGTGATCTCAGGCAAATCGATTCTGGCAATGAACTCAAGCAAAGTGCGCATGAGCAGAGAGGATTTCCAAACAACCCAAGTTTTTACGTGGAATCCAAAAATAAAATCCTGGTTTTTACTGCACGGGCCGGACCATCATGACTACAGTTTTCAGCGAGTAGGTGTAGCCAGTCCAGGGTGTCCAGACGACGCCTTGCCCGTAGGCGGCCGGGTTGTTTCCCCGCAGGTACTGGCCGTTCAGGTTGGATTCCAGGCAGGCGTTGTACCACCAGGCCCCCGTGTAGTCCACGGCGCAGTTGCCGAGAAAACGGTCGTTGTCGCGGTCGAAAGTGGAGAACTTCATGCCATGATGGACTCTCAAACCGTCGGCTGGTAAAAAAAAATTAAAATAGTACGGTGGCATGAAATGGAGGACTACAGTTGAAGTTCAGTCAATCACATGTCAGTAGCAGGTAAATCACAAGTCAAATCATGTCAATCACAAGTCAAATAAAATGTCAATCACAGGCCAATGTCAAGTCAATCACAAGCCAAATTATATGTCAATCACAGGCCAATCTCAAGTCAATCACAAGCCAAAATATATGTCAATTAAAGGTCAATCTCAAGTCAATCACAAGCCAACTACTTGTCAATCCAGGTTCAAATTAAAATCAATCACAAGTCAATCATACTTCAACTACGGATCAATTACAAGTCAATCACAAGTAAACCACAAGTCAATCACATGTCAAATCACAAGTAAACTACAAGTCAATCACATGTCAAATCACAAGTGAACTCCAAATCAATCACATGTCAAATCACAACTCCAATCTCAAATCAAATCGCCAGAAAGGTCACAAGGCAACAGGGAATGAACAATGACGTCAGGATGCCTTTGTTACAGTTCATTTGAATAACTTGCAAGTTGAAGACTCGATGTGATCAACTTGTTACATCATGTGAGGAGTTCCCTACGACATACTGCGATAAGAGGGGTAGCTGTGGCATACCTCTTTGGGCAAAATTTTGCAACCTTTTGTAACATTTTATCTATTCTGAGACAACAAGTCGAGCAAATCTGGTTTACAGCTGAATTTGGCTATACTCACGGACATCACTGCCGATATCGAAGTTCTTGACGCTGAGCGTGTAGTTCGAAGCCTCGTCTCCCACCCAGAAGTTCCAGTACTGAACCCTGGCGATAGTGTTGAGCCAATCCTCCATATAGATGACCATTTCCGACGTGGACTGTGTGGTGATGTGGTGGATGATGTCCAGCCCCAGCCAGAACTCCCCCGTCAGGTAACCGAAGCCGTCACGGTACTCGTCCCACCCTCGGTTGAAGTCCACCCAGCCGTTCATGCGGCGCTGGATCACCTACAAAAAAAACACCACACACATTAAACATCTGAGAGAGAAGTACACGAGTTTCTAAAACTAGTTGACTGTGTCATTGATTCAGTCCAGCTCGGTCCTCGTAGGTAAAACGATAAAGAAACAATGGTATTAAAGTGTCTCCTTGATTAAGGACAAAAGCGACTGTCGATTCTTACTTGTTGCTGTGTCGAAATCTTGGTATTGAATTATCGCTTACCATCCATTTTGTCAAGCTCAATGACACAAGCGAGTGTGCAAAAATTAACTAAATCGATTCTTATATTTTCCAAGGTCGACGTTTGGGTATCGATTTATTACTCACCGTCAATAGGTTAAATCAAAGTATTCTTAAATGAAAGTGAAATTGTGATTAAGTACCTCGCTCAAGTAATTTCAAAGATGTCGATTCTTTTATACATTTTTCATTGTTGCTCTTTGGGTATCGATTTTGTCGCTTACCGTCCAGCCGCCACCGTCTGTCGACTGGTCGCAGTATACCCTGACTCCATCACAGCTTTCGATATTGGTAGGATAAATGGTGTACAGACCATTTTTGCCGCCGCCGATTTCCCGGATGTCCTGGCAGTTCTTAGGCAAAAACTCGGGAGCTATTGAAATAAAATGCCGGGGAAACCTTTGTGTCTGTTTTAACTAAACATATTTTAGTAGAGCCAAGACTTTAGTTGTTTTATGCAATATTTCGAAATACTTTCATTTGAATTTTCCTCTATGGAATCTTCTAAAGGTAATACCTTGAAAGGTAACGATTCCTCTTCATAAAAAAATATCAAGGAAACCCCGACCTGTATACATTTCACAATGTGCATTTGTTTATTGGATAATACTTACAGGATGTTGATGTGTTTTTCCTTTCAAAATCTTACAAACATTGTAAACCACTTTAAATCACAGTTTGTTATCGTTCTTATCTTTTCTAACAGAATGGGGTCGAACGTAGACTTTTATGGAGCACAAAACTGGACAACAGGTTAGTGCCATAATTGCTTGTTTGTTGGTAATAATTTCACTATTGTTTCTCCTGAAAAGTTTGCATGAAAACTGAAAAGTTTGACTCCTACAATGTCAAAATGTGGTTATTCATATGGAGCTGAGTTTGTACATTGTTTGTTAACTAGCCTTGTTTCGAGAATCTTCAAATTTTCTTAGTTCAGTTTGAGTCCTAAATTCTTAACATGGCTAGTTTTATGGCTCTTCCGCTAGCAGCCGAAGATTCATGAATGTATAAATAATCGGACAATTAAAAAAAATGCTAATTCTCAACAACGATACCACATTGACAGTGAGATGTGGGTTTTTTTTCAATGGCTACTCACCGCTGATTATTCCCACTGTATGTAGGAGAGCAAACTTAAACTACAAACGGTCAAGTTTTTGATGTCCCAAACTCACCATTTCCCGTCAGACCACCGAACATGATTCCATTGCAGCAAGCGTCCGGGCAGCAACGGTCAGTTTGGTTTCTGGTGAACACGGCTCGTCCTGAGCCCGCCAAACACAGAAGTAGGACCAATGTCCGAGGGAAGATATCCATCTTTTTTTCGGTCTAAAAAGTCTCCAAAACAATCTCCGACACCAAAAGATGCCTGGGCTATTTCCATTCACAAATATAACAAACAATTTTAGTCGTAAACATGTACTTTTTGGCTTTTTTGAGTGCCGGTTTTGGTATAATGGAAAGCCCTGAGGTGGATCGAGGCTTGCGAGCACGCAGATCATTCGGTGCGGGTGGCCAAGGCGACTCGACCCCGCCTACAAAGCAGTATTTGACCGATGAATCACCTCCTACGCTGACGTCTTAAGGCCAGATCTATTTTTAAGGCCAGATCTATTTTTAAGGCCAGATCTATTTTTTGTAATGGGATGTAGAAGTCGGGTGAAGTGTTGAATCATATCCTTTCTCACGCAAAGTACGTTTTAAATGCAATGCAAATGAAAAACTGTGCAGGGTTTCAAAAATACTTGTAAACAAGTTCCCAAAATGAATTTCTTTGTGTTGAGGAATGAGAATTAATCTTACTAAAACTTCCTATTTTCATGTGTAATTTCTTATGTTTAGGTTGTTAAACAAATGTTGTATTGGAACCCTAAAACCTTTGATACATCTACGAAAATTATGCTGGAATTATTGAAAAACATTGCAAACCAAAAAGAAAAAAATGGTGGCAGCGGTGGGATTCGAACCCACGCCATCGAAATGACTGGTGCCTAAAACCAGCGCCTTAGACCGCTCGGCCACGCTACCTGTACGAGTAAATTTGTTGTTCATGAATTACGAAGGAGCAGTGAGTTTTGTTTACATCAAACATGGTTTTAGTTTTAGGCCAAAATAAAAAATGTCTTCGGTTTCTGGTATGGAGCTTGCCTCAAAAGTGGCGCGGCGACGCGGCTTTTTTATCCTTTTTTTCCTTCAAATGTCGGCTGATGACTGCAAATGGTGCCCGACTAAATTTAGTGCAAAATATATGGGAGCCCAGAGAGGCCACATAAAGCTTATACTCGATCGTAACCCCATCTAAAAACACGTTAAAATTGTGCAGCAGCAGGATTCCAGTCAAACCAGTGAGTTTGGCGGTTTTGAGACATCATCTTTCATTGAAAAAAAGGTTTAATTTTGCCGACGCACATGCCTACGGTGACGCGCGCATATTAGAAACCGGAGCCCTTTTTTGGCCTCATAACATTGTTGAAGAACTTAAAAAGAACGTCTGGCAAGAGAAAGAGTTGTTAAAAAAAATTATTAACGTTTTTCTTCTGGTATAATATAACTAATGATATGTTCCCTAAAAAAAAATATGGCAGCGGTGGGATTCGAACCCACGCCATCGAAATGACTGGTGCCTTAAACCAGCGCCTTAGACCGCTCGGCCACGCTACCGTGTCATACCCTGTCGAACAAGATCCGCACTCTATCCGCACTGTGTAATTATATTAGTTTGTAATTATATTGCACTACCCATGCGATATATTTTCCCAATGACGTAATTTATTTGAAAACCATTGTTCGAAAAATCTTTCGAATAATATAGTAAAAACTTCATTCACTGACTTTTACCCCCTCTCAAAAAAATGTGTCTCGATGGCAACCAATTTGCACTTTGACCTTTATCAATCATGCCTCTTTTATGATGCATCACGGATTTAACGTTTGTCATGATCAGTCAATCATCTAAATAGCGCCCTCTGTTGCCGCGTTGTATGAGTTGAATAAAAAAAAGTCACGGGGCGAATACCGGTGAATAGGTCTTGTTGTTCGAAGTAAGTGATAATAAAATATATTTAAAAAAATAATAGTTATAAAACCTCATATTCTAGGAAAATGTTAAGCGTTAAATGATTGTATTTCAAATCAAAATCACATTACACATTGAGGCTCATAAACACGTTCTGGGCCTTTCTTAGTTACACAGAGACTATAACACAAATTAAAAATAACTTAAACAAAATATATCGAAAACAATACAAAATTTAATGTGATGTGGCTAAAGAATTATATCTGCCTCTTTCTATTTTCCAGGCCGCTTCAGGCCTCTCACATAAAATCTCTATACCCATGATCTTCATTGGGCATAGCACAAAACAACCAATTTAACACTCTGTTTTTGCGGAGAATTCAAAAATTGACTTGGTTTTACAAATTCAATATCTAAATTTCTAACTATCCGACCTTTCCCATAATATTTTGTCAATTTGTTTGAACAGAAAATTCGACCAATTTTTTCTACCATTTTGTTTTGAATAATGACATCAATAAGTCGTATTATCTAAGCGCTACACTGTAAAAAAAAGTTGGGCAAAATGGGTTGATAATTCGACCAGTGCTGGTCCCAATAATTTGATAGTTTTTACCCAATTCAACCCAATATGAGGTAATATCATACCAATATCGGGTAAATTACATTGCCCAACAGTATTTTACCCAACGTTTTTACAGTGTACACAATAACGATATGCAGTCTAACTGTCGCTTTATAAAATCTTTTCTTATATAAATTTTTTAAAAAGGACTGCTGGACATTTAATTATTGTATTGACAACAAGTCTTAGGACACAAAAAAAAATAAGCTGCTATTTTAATCGACGCTACTTTTGGTTATTTGGTACTCTTTTGTCTTATGCGAATGCAAATCTCATATTGTTACTTTCTTGAACAGGTGTCTTCAACGGGTTTTCAACCAGATGTTTTCTCGAAGAAATAAAAGCATAAAACAGGATTGATGATTGCTGGGAGAAACTACCGGTATGTTTGGTGAGTCATCTTTCGCTTTTAATCTAATTAACATGTATTTTTAGTGGCAACATACTTCATTATTTGTACATGAAGTCCCAGATTGAGGAATAAATGACGAAATTGGTCAGGGTCACGTCAATTTTGTTTTATTAATTGCTAAAAAAATTATCATGACGTATACAAGTTTTTGAATTCATATAACATAATAATAATACAATCGGTATATGATCTACAGAAAGTGGCTTTTCCAACCAAAGACTCTCAAATCTGTCAGATGGATTTGTACAGAAAACTGCCGCAGTACCACAGTTTAATGTTTATACATAATGAATAACATTGAATTGAAAGATAGTCCTGACCGTTTGAGTCCTGACTAGCTTCTCACAACAGCCGTTGCCATGCACTCTAAAAAAGTCCCCGGGCAGATTCGACCCGGGAATTCGAGACATATTGGGCCTGACACTTTTCCGGGTCAAAATGATAAAAGAAAAAAAATTCTACTGATTTTTCGGGTCATTTGACCCAGTGGTTCATTTTCCGGGTCATTTGACCCGGAATGAAACCCGTCATTTGGACCTGGAAAAGTGTCGGTTTGACCTGGAAAAGTGTCGATTTTCCGGGTCATTTGACCCGGAATGAAACCCGTCATTTGGACCTGGAAAAGTGTCGGTTTGACCTGGAAAAGTGTCGTTTTGACCCGAAAAATGTCGTTTTGACCCGGAAAAGTGGCACTTTGACCCGGAAAAGTGGCATTTTGACACGGAAAGGTGGCAGGCCAAATAGAAACCGGATTTCGGGTCAAATCATACCGTGACTTTTCAGAGTGCAAGGACCACAAACCAAGCCATGTTAAACCACGTGGCGCATCATCATGACTACAGTCTTGAGCGAGTACGTGGTGCCGGTCCAGGGTGTCCAGACAACCCCCTGACCCGACTGCGCTGGGTTGTTGCCCCGCAGGTACCGGCCGTTCAGGTTGGACTGCATACAGTTGTTGTACCACCAGGCCCCCGTGTGCGTCTCGGCGCAGTTCTCAAGGCTGCGGTCGTTGTCCCTGTCAAACGTGCTGAACTTCATGCCGTTGTGGAGGGAGAGCCCGTCACCTGTCGAAATGTAGAACGATTGACGGGGATTTTAAGTGATATTTTTTTAACATGAGGATCGAAACACCCATGAAGACGAAAACTATAAGAGAAGAATTTCAGGAGTGGTTGAGAGGATATGACGTAGGCCTATGTATGACATGTGTGACTGAACGACAATTTACATAAGTCATGTTTGAGCGAAGCCATTTACTTTGTAAAAATATTTGAACATGTCATGTTAATTTAAGCAATGCAAATAGCTGTACCTCATGAACATAAAAGATTGCAAAAAAAAGTATGTTTTTTTTATTATAGCACCCTTAAAATTATCCCAAGTGAGATTCATGCCGTGTACCCCAAAACAATTGGCCTTACAATGGTAACTGACCAAGGACAGAAGCCCACAACCTCGTTCCCTGGGTGTCGAGCAGTACGCGCTTACTACTACCTTCTCTCTCACCCTGGTATTTGATCATTTGCATGTATGCAAGATTTTTGAACACGTGTGCAAATGAGGAATAGTCTGGTGCCTGCATATGCGTTACATTAGCGTTTGTTTTTGTATGCGGTGTCTGGTGTAAAAACAGCATCAATTCGTCACGGCGTGAGCATGGCTGGCGTGAGTTACGAAAACACAATTTTTTTTTCAAAATTAAAATGTAACAATCTTATCCAGACAATATGCAGTATCACATTTCATTGAACACATTGGAAAAGAAATGATTATTTTTAAGGAGGCGTGGGTGTAACAATTACAAAGAACGTGAAAACACGTAATGCACGTTGGAAATAACAACACCAAGTACACGATATAAATCCATTACAGTATCGAATCAGAATACAGGAAGAAAGTTTGCTATCCAGGGCTTACTATTGGAAACGAGGTTGGAAATAAAGTAAGCACTGGGGACGAGGTTGAGAAGCCCATAGCCCGAAAGCACCTTATATCAAACGGCGTCAGGATACCATGCACACATGAGAGAACCGGACTACACTAATTGCCAGTGGCCTTACTCGATCCTGATGAGACAATTCCGCACACGTGATGTGGTCCTCAGATTGCGCATGCTCCATGCCAAATCTCGTGAATGATCATGGGAGATTCTTCTTGATGGCAGCTAGTGCAGTGCACCATGGGTAATTGTATTTTTTTTTCATCAACACTAATTGTCTCCGAAGTCTCAACTTTTCAAGCTTTTTTGGTTTACACTGGCAAAAGAGATTTTAGTTTTTGTGGCCTACTCACCGACGTCACTTCCGATGTCATAGTTCTTGAGGCTCAGCATGTAGCCTAGCGACTCGTCTAACACATAGAAGTTCCAGTAGTGGACCCGTGCAATGGTGTTGAGCCAATCCTCCATGTAGATGACCAGCTCTGTAGGTGCCTGGATGCTCATGTGGTGGATGATTTCCAGCCCCAGCCAGAACTCCCCCGTCAGGAAACCGAAGCCGTCACGGTACTCGTCCCACCCTCGTTGAAAGTCCACCCAGCCGTTCATTCGGCGCTGGATCACCTGGTATGCAACACCAAAAAAATTTATCGATTTGTGACACAAGATTTTTAGGAGATATCAAACATAAAATTATTACAGGGGAATATAAGACTCCATTTCGGAACTTCATTTCGTCGACTTCAGTGTGTTCCATTTAGTCTACCATTGGTGTTTTCCGGACACCGGTTTAGGCTGTTAGTCTGTTACCATACCAATTTGTAGCAGGGGCGCTTAATCGCCAACGGACCCCAACAACAATCCCGGCCAAAATGGTTGGGACACTTGGAAATAACCTTAGCTTCCAACGGTCACCAACTCCCCCGCTCCCCCGGTCAATGTTGTTCTCTTCAGGGGATGGAGCACACACTGCGCAATGAGAGACAACATTGACCGGGGGCTGGGGGGTTGGGGGGCCCAGCGAGATTTGGCCAGGATTGTAGCTTCGGTAACCGTGGATGTAATCTTAAACGAGCCTGTTCAAGGTGGACGAGACTGCGGACAACGGCTAACACTATGGCGCTGTTCTCTTTTTGGCCAATAAGAAAACACATTCAAGTTGGAGGAGTATGTGTTTTAGGACCCCAAAAAAGGTTTTGGGAAGTTCGAAGTTCCCAAAACTCGATACCAAATAGTGTCCTTTCTCTATCGATTCCCCTGAATATGAAAAAACATCGCTGAACAGCGCTAGCATGGCAAAGATGAAGAGAATAGGTAAACGAGACAACAGGCACGGAATCCGGAATTTGATGATTGCTTTTTCGTAAAATTGTATGTGCACACACAAAAATCCGGCATTGAGGACAGGCACGCAACAAAAATCGTCACCGACACCACGAAGTAACACTCCACGTGTTAAACCATATTTGTTTCGGTTTTCAGTTTTTTACATTTTTAAACATTATTCATCAAGGCCTACCATTGCACGAAGTTTCAAATCTTCAAGAGCTTTACTTTAATAATTACGCTAATTACCATGGCAACTTTTGCGCGAAAGTGACAATTTTCGTTTTCACGAAGTAACACTCAAGTTCCATTTACCATTGTAATGCATGGCGCGCACTCTTCTCAAATGCAAGGAAAAACGTTTTCACGAAGTAATTAACACTCTTCTTGTTTGAGCGCGCGCGCGCTGACCTCCGTTTCCACGAAGTACCACTCTTCTAGTGTTGTAATACATTGAAGCGTGCCACTTCGTGAAAACGAAAATTTACAGTTTCGCAGCTTTTTTGGTTTCACGAACTAGCACTCATCTTTTTTCTCTTATTTCTTGTTGTTTTAATACACAAACTGGTCAAAAACAGCAAATTTAATGACATCAATACATCAAGTGTCAACCCAACTAAAAATACTCTGCAGTTTTGACGCAAAGTGTTGTTTTAGAAGGCGTTCAACTTCAGATGCCGTTTTCTCCGATTGCTAGTTTTTACTGGTATGTACATGAGTGTTACTTCGTGGTGTCGGTGACGAAATAATACCAAAAATGTGTCAAACCTTCGTTGGGATGTGTTAAGGCAGTGTATGTAGTTTAAGCAGTTTTTTCCCTCCCAATTTGTGTTTTGTCTGTAGAGTTTCAACCGTTGGTCTCAAGAAATCTGAAACTAACGTACCGTCCATCCGCCACCGTCTGTTTGTTGGTCACAGTACACCCTGATGCCGTCACAGTTATCGACATAGGAGGGGTAGATGGTGTACAGACCATCTTTGCCCCCACCCAGCTCTCTGATGTCATTGCAGTTCGTGGGTAAAATCTCCGGAGCTGTTAAAAAAAAGGGGGGGAGAATATTTTTATTTTCTTTGCAATAGAGAGTTATTGAAATCGTAAATGACAGAATATCAGTAAGATAGAGCCGTCCTTTTACAGTTAATGCATACACACTGTATCAAATTTGATGCTCATGTTAATTTATTGAACTTGCTGTTACAGTTCTGTGACTAGTGTGTTCATTCAGTAATTTTTAGAGTTTCGATTGAGTGACATGGGGAAAGTAAATGTCAGAATCAAATCATACTGATCTGAGCAACTGCCGAAATAGCTCAGTTGGGAGAGCGTTAGCTTGAAGATCGATCTAAAGGTCCCTGGTTCGATACCGGGTTTCGCCAAAATAAATTTCCCCCGCAGGATATTCTGATTCCAAAACTCACCATTTCCCGTCAGACCACCGAACATGATCCCATTGCAACAATTGTCTGGGCAGCAACGGTCAGTCACGTTCGTGAACTTGCCCAGACTTGACCCCACCAGAGACAAAAACATGATCACCACGGAGAAAAACCCTTCCATCTTTCCCGTCAAAATAGTCTTTGACACTAACGGATTATAAGACGATCACCGGTCCGAATCACTCAGTGGCTGGGACTTGAAGCTGATGTGCTGGTAGTGTCGGACAGCCTGGTGAAAATGGCTGGATACTCCGGACCGAGGCAGCGGAGAACGCGTGGTCGGGTATACGGGGCGCGACGGCGAGATGTTCCCGTGATGCGCGCTGCGTCGGCCGGCAAACCACGCAAGCATTCACGTGACTCACCCACTGACGTCGCAACTAGATTAATCGATTTTGAAAACCGGGGGTTTACTAAATGTTCCCGAAAAAAATATCTCCCTCCTTATTCCTCAAATTTTGTTTGTGCTCTTAACAACCACGCCATAGTCCAAAATCGCTTCAACTTTAAAACTGTCTTCAATCATCTCAAAGTCAAGCTGGGCGTGCTTTCAATCCGTTTACTTATTTTCTTCACAAAAACGAGAAGCATTTTGGCTGAAGACAGTAGTTCCCTTTAAAGGTGAGAAGTTAAATTGAAGGCACCTCCTGACACGACTTGTAAACCCGGACGTAAAGCATTAAGATTAGGCCTACACAGCGCCGGAAGGTATGACACACGTACGCGCGACCACCGCAGAAATCGTTTAAGGCCTCCAAAACATCATAAATACTCATTGTGTAATGTTGCCGTTATTTAATCTTACAGCCATGTTTTTAAGGAGGTGTCAGTTTAAGGTGCAGAACCTGTTCAGGTGTTCAAGTTCACGCTCTGTGGAGGAAGTGGCTATTTACCTTAGGAAATCCTGCGATTATATTGTAATACTTTCACTAATAAGAGAAAATGATTCAAGATTGTTCATATAAATGAAGATGCGTAGACAATTATAGTCAAGAATTCACCCTCCCTGAAAAATGTCTGTCTTCGCATTCTATTCGCAGTTTTCCTTTGGCTGGCTAGTAAAGTCTGTTTTTAAGGAATATTTGTCTATCGGAAAATTCTAGGATGCCATTTGCTGTACATGCATGGGAGTTTAAAATGTTCATGTTGTCCGCTCATTTTGTAAGAGCGAAAAACGAACAAGCAGCCAATGTCGGTAAGCTGTGAATATGACGGAGATCAGTGATTTTGATTGTCGTTGGGAAGCGCCACCAATTGTTCAATGTTGTATCGACTACCGACTGATATTTTCCCAGTAGCTCTTATACTTGCTGGGAGAATTGTCCCGTTCACGAACGACGATTTTGCGCGGCGTAAACTCAGTCTTCCACGTACGATGAAACGTAACATGTATAACTTTACTGAATATTGCCGGTCAGTAGCTGTATAAGGGGTCGTCTCTGCAGTTGAATTTGAATGAAAAATCAGAAAGGTCTGTGCCTCCATCACCTCTTGCTGGTCTTACTTATCATTATCACATTGTAATGTGTTGTTACTCATCCAGGAAACTATCGCACGTGCCCCTTTATTTTTGGTGTCGTGACGCGCTTCCTCTACGCGCGTTGCCAAACCACAGCGCCCCCAACTTGCATTGACGCAGTTACTTGTCAGCTGGGAAATCATCCCACACACCACATTACTGTGGCTCGGTGAATGTAACAGAAAAGACAGGGTGTAGGAGGACCGCCCATCGGGCCAATTATTGACCTTTCGCTCGCCACGGCGAAGTGACTGGAACCCCCTCGTATCCCGCCATCTCATGACGCAAAAAAGTTATTCCCACTTAGCTGAACGTGAAAGACTTGTAGCTGAGCGGGAAATGAAAACAATTAAAATGTTTTAATGCTATGTAATGAGACTAAGGTTGCTTCCTGCAACTTGCAAGCGAACTCTTGTAACCCGGTGTAGTTTGCCGACATACGCTATGCCGACGCTGCTAGTTGTATGTAGCGCCCTCAACTGGCAGAAGACGATTTTGTTCTCGTCCCTATGCCTGTACTGTGCGTTGGCATGTTGTATTGCGAACAGGTGCAAGCTTCGATCTTTCTCGTCATTACAAGAAATGTTATCCGTAAAAAATAACATCAATTTTGACTCATAATTTCGTTTAAAACAATAGTCTAAGTTTGAAACATTTTATGCAGTGATCGGGGTTCGATTTTATCTAGAAAAAAGAAATGCCATATTTATTTTAATAACCGCGAAAGACACTTGATTCAGTCAACACCTTCTACTCCAAGCTATATAAGGGAGACCCCAACCTTTCACAAAAATTAAAATGACGCCACATGCTGAAATGTCATTATGTGAAATCTGAGAATGCCTTCGGCTACCAAGCATCAAGCGACCTTCAGTCGTGACCCGGGCCGTCTATTCGGGGTTCAGGGTCGGGCCGAATTCGGCACGCTGGCTGGTAGTGGGTGGCCCGTGTCTGCGTTCAAGATGGAAGCCTCGCTGACAACGGGAAATTTTCCTTCAAAAATTCACCTGTTTCTTGGGATATTTTGGCTGTTACGGTGCGCCTTGGTGTCTCGGGCGCAGTGTGAGGGGCCATGCGAGGGGGCAGGCGGCTACGGTCTTGGAAAAGGTGAGAAACAAAATCGAAAAATTTAGATTATCGTAAGATAATAAGAAGGGAAACAGCTCTATGTGCGGGGAGCTAATTCCATTGTCTGTAGTGTAGTAGTTCATAATAGCATGTGCACAGATAATGCTTGATCATTGCTTTGCTTCGTAAACCCACGTACACGTGCATTTTGCGGTTTTAGAACAAGAAATATTTGGGAGATTAACGAAGTAAAAGGCTTAATTGAAGGTTTACTAACCAATGAAAAATATGCTTCAAAAGACTACCCAATATCTGCCGTAATGTGGGGTAGCGTGGCCGAGCGGTCTAAGGCGCTGGTTTAAGGCACCAGTCATTTCGATGGCGTGGGTTCGAATCCCACCGCTGCCAAGAAATTTCTTTTCTTTTTTTGAAAAACACTTTCCGTCAGTAAGGTAAATATTTTTTTCATGGGTTACTTCTTCTCTTGTGCAGAGTTATCTTTGAGGTTCTTTAACAATGTCGGGAAAAAATGAAGCTTTACAATTTTTACATTTTTGTTTAGGCAATTTTGTTTTAATAAAGGATGATTAGTAATGAACAGTAAGATGCACGTATACAGGTAGCGTGGCCAAGAATCTGTTTCTGTTTTTTTTATTAACACTCTGTCCGTCAACTCTTCCGTCAATAACATTAATATTGTTTATGGGTTACCCCTTCTCATGTGCAAAATTCTCTCTTTTGGGTTCTTTATCAATGTGATAGAAATGGCGGTTTAGAATTTTACCTTTTTTTCTGTAGGCAATCATATTTTTTGATAATGGCTGTTTAGTAATAATTGAACATAAAAATCTAAGCGTATACAGGTAGCGTGGCCGAGCGGTCTAAGGCGCTGGTTTTAGGCACCAGTCATTTCGATGACGTGGGTTCGAATCCCACCGCTGCCATTTCTTCTTCTTTTTGTCTTTTTTTTGCTCGGCCACGCTACCTATGCCCTTTGAAAATGTTAACAATCGTATTTTAACCTAGATTTAATCAAGTTCAATGTTCAAAGGGAACAAAGTAAATTCCGGCTCAGTAGATACTGTAGTGTAATGCAGTTTCCATTTTGCCAATTTGTGGACAGATCAGTTTGAAATTGTCCCTTGGGTAACATTTGTTTCTTAACTTTCATAAAAAAATATATGTATTGATTTTTCAACAGGTAGCGTGGCCGAGCGGTCTAAGGCGCTGGTTTTAGGCACCAGTCATTTCGATGGCGTGGGTTCGAATCCCACCGCTGCCACCATTTTTCTTATTTTGGGGTTTGCGACGTTTGAGACTTTTTTTCTAATATTTGTTTTCATGCTGTCGACCGTCATGAATTTGCAAATCAAATGTCCTTTTTCCATATAAGATATTATATTTTATCAAGACAAAATTAAATGTTGTAATCTTTCTGGGCACTATTTCTTTTCCGTGTAGAACCCTTACCCAAAGACTGTAAGGATATCCAGGACAGAGGCATGACGAAGAGCGGCGTGTACACCATCTTCCCACAGGACGTGTACCTGTGTATATCGCTACGCGTGTACTGCGACATGGAGACAGACGGCGGAGGGTGGACGGTAAATATAACCTTTCACCTTTTGCTTTTATGACCTTTGAACTGTAAGACATCATTTGTTTGTTTGTTTCTTTTTTAATGTGGTTCGGGAGAATGTATTGGCTAATGAAACGTATAGAGGGCCAATGCATGTTCTTATTCACCAATCACCATGTGTTTTAAAATGGTAAAAAGCCTGTCTTCTAAAAGGCATATTAGGATCATTTGCATTCGTCCCAAAAGTAACCTGAATTACTATTAAAAAGTTTACTTGTTTTAAAGATCTTTCTCGTATACCTACCCCATGAAATTATTCCGTCCAGTGGGAATTGACTGGGTTTTTTTTTAATAAAGAGTGCTATTGACGAAGTGTTCAGAATGTTGTGCATGTTTGTTTGTATGTTTGTTTGGTTGGGTTTTTTTTTTCAATGTTTTCTTGACAAGTGTAATACCTACTGAGCTGAAATAATACCCCCTGAGCTGAAATTTCAACAGGTTAGGTTTTGAATATTCTTCCTTGGATTTTGAGTGGTGTTATTAATGGAAACGAACAAAATGCACGAAAAGCAAATGATTCTATAGGTCTATACCTTTAAATTGACGTATTAATATCACAACCGGTATTAAACTAAGCGTTGTTAAACTTTATACCATATGTTTGTTTGTTGTGATATGTTTGAGGGCTCTAAAAAAAAAAAAAAAAAAAAGAAGCTAAAATTACGAAATTAACAGGTGTTCCAGCGCCGATACGACAACAGGCAGGACTTCCACCTGCGCTGGATGGACTACCGCCTGGGCTTCGGCAGCCTAGGGGCCGAGTTCTGGCTAGGCAACGAGCACCTATACCACATCACCCCTCAAGACGACTACCTGCTCCGGGTTGACCTGGAGGACTTCGAGGGAGGGAAGAGCTCAGCATCGTACGCCGGGTTCCGAGTCGGGAGCGAGACGGATAACTACCGGTTGTACCTTGGGAACTTCACCGGGGGCGATGCTGGTAAGGAGGGTCATGTAATAGGGTGACCAGGGGGTGCAGAGTGGCAGAATGCAACGGGCTAGCGATTTTAACAGGAAAATCAGGAAGCTGATAGAAGCAAAATCGGGACGGTGAAAATTGATGAACGGCACGAAATTTCGATTTTTGCAACGGGCAAACAAAACCCTGGTTACGTGCCTGCGGTCAGGGACCTCACTACGACACCTCCATCTGGTTTTTTTTTTCTTTAGAAATTATCGTTCTTGACGGCAAAATTAGAATGCAAAGAAGTGTTCGAATTTGAAATGGTCGTGTAGAGCTCAGTCTACGTGTAATGTAAGTATGTGCCCCTCGCAGTTGTCTAAAACTGAACAGTAGTTCTAGAAAAGCGATTCTGACGCGTCCTATCAATCGATAAAAGAGGTTACCGTAAACGGCGCCATCTAGTGTTAGATGGTGTCCAGGCCCGTCCGCCATTGCATTAACAGCGCCCCCTGGCAACGCTCGTCTATTCGACCCCGTGCTGTTTCATGGTGGTCTGAAAAGTCTAGAAAGAAAGTTTTGAGAGCCAAACTGAAAAATAAAAGAATGGACGACAAAACTGATTTTAAAAAATGGAAATTGGGAGGGTTTCTACCGGTAATAAACACTTGGTGGCGCTTGTGTGTCTCATCTTAACACCTACAAAAAAACTGTTTCCATTTAAGGTGACTCCCTAAGCACGCACGGCGGCAGTTCCTTCTCCACCAGCGACAGCGATCTCTCCGGGGGCGCCTGCCCTTCCTTCCGGGGCGGGGCCTGGTGGTACCCCCGGCTGTGCGGCGACAGCAACCTGAACGGCCGGTACCTGGCCGGCGTACACACGGAGTTCGGCGAGGGGGTCATGTGGCGCGCCTGGCGGGGGCTAACGTACTCCCTGCGCCGGACGGAGCTCAAGTTCCGCCCCATGACGGAGAGCGACCGGCAGCTGCCTACCACGCCCCCGAAGAAGAGCGGAGGGAAGACCGCTGGTGATGAGGGGGATGAAGAGGACACTGACGAGGGAGAAGACGAAGAAACATCGTCATCGTCGTCTTCCTCGTCAGTCGAAGAAGAACCTGATGAGTTGATGGGAGTTGGACCGACCGAGATGTCACCAGAGGTGCCCTTCAAGGGTCGGGTCAAGGGAAGCATCCAGCCCAGAAAGAGTAAGAAATCTAAGAAGGGTGATAGAGGAAGACTTTAAGGTTGAAAATCGCGAAATAATATCCCATTTTGCACAAAATGCTTTAAAAGAGGTGCTGAACATTAAAGTTATACCTATGTGGTATGAAATTTTCCCTTTTTAACGTAAACCATTTTTAAATAAGCCTTTGATAAACAAATGATTTGCTTGTATTGATTTCATCATCATCATCATGTCGGGATCGCCTGGGTTGTGACGACATCACGAGCCAGTCCCTGAGTCCTCTTCCTCCAGCTGTCTCGATCTACCATGCAGGTGCGCAGCTCCTCTGCAGATGTGAGATCGGTGTCCCTCTTGAGCTGGTCCACAAAGGTCAGACTTCTTCTCCCTCTTGAGGCAGTGCCCTGGGTGGGCTCCCACAGTATGAACCAACAATGATCTATTTCTATACTCTACAGTCGACAAAAGGGTTTTTAACTGTATAAAAAAAGTTGCTGATGATTCACAGCAATAACACAAAGGGCTAGGGACATGCTGTCTGCTGCCACCTAGCGACTCGAAAGATCCCATGGGAATGCGTGCGCAGGATATGACGTCACGAAACTCCTGACCAAAAAAAGTTTTAAAAAGTGGGTTGTGTTTTTTCTTGGAGCTTATAATTATTGCTTTAAAGTTTTCCCTGTAAAAGCTTATAGTAAGTTGGAAGGATATTATCGGATCAAGATTGCATAACATGCTGCAATAATGCAAGTATGACGGGGTGAATAAACGCTTAAGTTTACACTATTCGCTGTTCAGATGTCCCTCATTCTTCATAGTGTTACTTCCTCTTCGTGGTTTGAATTTCATTTAGAAAGCATCCATATCTTTGTAATGTCCACGAGCTTCCCATCTCAAAGGTCCGAACTTGCTGATCTTGTTTAACATTTTCCGGTATCGTTCCGGTTCCAGCCACTACATGGCACACACTCCCTTTTTATGTTCCAATCTTCGCTCGATCGTCCTGAAAGCGCGTGTCCATTTTCTGTGCCAAATCGCGCGTCTGTCAACACGGTAGTTTATAGACACCTAACTTACACGCTCGTGAACAAGTAACAATCACAAAATCAACTCGTCTGCAAACACACGAAGAGACCGTTTGTGTACATCAGTATCGATGGCGTTTTGATGTACCTGACGAAAAGTGTATTTGCAGGACGTGTCAAACGTATCTGCCACTGAGACTTGAAGTGGAGCTGGAGGCTTTGAATCAGATCTCTGCCCTGGTCGTGCGTCGTCAGGGTATCATTTTTAAGTTGGTTCCGCGTATCCGGGGTTCTGGGTTATTTGACGTTGCTAGGCATCGAGTGTCCAATTTTAGGCGCCAGCTTTTTGAGAGGGAAAACAGGTTATTATCAGATGCTGGTCGTGCATGTCTATGCGTGTAGTGGTTTGGGGAGATTGGTCTCTGGTGTGAGGTTATTGTAAGGCAATGTGATATGTTTGAAGACAATGGTGTTTGAAAATCGATACTTTTGGTCCAATTACATCTTCTTTTGTTTTATTTGAGAACTCTTATTGTTATTGTAATGAATCGATGTAATAAGATAGCGCAGCTCGTAGTGACCAATATAACTGATGGTCGAACTCGGCAAACAGCAGCGTATCCAGCTTTTGATGTCAGGGGGGCAACCGCACATCCGCGCCGAAATGATGTTGACATGTTGTTTTTCTCCGGACACTTGCCCTCCGTAAAATCAAAAAGCTGGGGGGGGGGGGGGGGGGGGGGGAGGGGGGGCTGGTACCCATCTTCCAAATGGGGGCGCTCTTCAAAACTTACCATTATTATGTATACTATATTATTATATGGACAATTTCACGGCGCATTGTAATGGTTGTTGGGCGGGTTTTCTTTGGTGGGATTGATGTCAGAAGAACTCTATAAACACTTCAAATCATTGCTGACAAAAAGAAATGTCTAAACAATCTTGTCTAAAATATACGCCACTGGGCAACTCTCTTGCTGTATTTCATTATCTTAAGAAGTTTTTATCACACGGTCATAGCAAAATTTGAGACCCGGATTTTTTTTAATGCAATCACCAGTGGCCATTTTTATTTAACTGCTACGCAAACAAATTTTTCAAGCACAGAAAACACTTGCTCGATACAAAAATAATACCAGCCAATATGCCATGCAATGCACACTGATTTTTGACCAGTTCTCGGCCTACTACTTTAGCTAAGCTGCTCTGTGCATTCTGGCATTCCTAGCTGCCGCCAGATAATTCAATTCTATCAAAATGACTGTTTTCTTTGGGGCCACGCAACTTTATCTAAATCGTTCAATGTATGTTTAGGACGTGGGATTGGTGCTGAATCCGCTTTGGAATGTTAGGAATTGGCTTTGCGGCTCATTGAGCGAGTAGAAGTGTCAGTAAATAGGGAATTTCAGTGTGTGACATTGGCATGAACGTGCATGGGAGGTGATGTGTTTGCCAAGAAAGTAAGATCTTGTTTAAGGTGAGGATTTGTACATTCTACTGAGATGAAACAAGTATGACTGCAACACTGGAAGTACGTCATCTTCCTTCAGTTGCCAGCTATCGGAGGTTGCCGAGTAAGTAACAAGGAGAAAATGTCTGTTGAGATCTGGACTGTGTCGGCAAACAGAGAGAAGTCCTCAACTAACTCATATGGTAAGTTGAACATTGTACATTGTGGATCTCAGCTTTCAAATGATTGTTGTTATCATGAACGTTCCTGAAGGGAATGGTGTGTGAGAAACCATTTATCACCGGCAAAATAACGCAACTGTCGGCAAAATATGCCACCGTGAGTAGCGCCGCCTTGTGTCAGATAGCGTTCAGTCATATCCTCAATTTTTTTTTCGCTGGTACCCATCGATGTATCACATTAGACACTTGTTCCCGCTATTCTTCTTTCACATTTTCTGCAAAGGAGACGCAGGCTTCGCAAAACAACGTCATATCTTTCCGTATGGGTCATGTCCACGCGAAAGTGCTGGCTCTTGTCATGGTCATGCACAATACATCATATGAGAACACGAAGAAATTAGGGTTCAACGGCGCAGGCACGAGCCACAGACCTCTATACAAACTGGACTGGTTAAAACCTGAATTCTATTTTTGCCCTTTCTTTTTATTTGGTTCATCTCATACAACCACTTTTCTACCATAAGTAAATATGAAGTAACACTCTGATAATAAAAAAAAAGGAATAATGAATACAAAATCCTCAGTTTTGAATAGGCGTTCGAAATGCCTAGTCCAAAAAAAAGTTGGTGACCGATACAAATGAGCAGAAAGTAACGTTTGGCCGTAAAACACGAATCGAAGCGATCCCCGGCTCCACTGAGTTTTTTTTTTAACAAGCTACACGTCCTGTTGTGCCTTTCATTAGACGTCATGACTGTCCATAGAGCGCTGTGTCAACAGTCGCTGTCTGGCAAATTCAATTACACGAACTAATAATTACTGTCGGTGTACAGAGTTTATGGTGTGTGTGTTTCTTGGCGATTGTTTGATTTCTAATTTCTGCTCACCGAGTCAGAACCGTTAACACGGAGTGGTGTCGAAAATTCATTAGTGGAAAGACAGAGTTGTAGCATACGTGTATTTCGTTAATCCAACTGCCGATAAATACCGTAACATGATACAGTTTTGATAGGAGTCTCATGATGTTGAGTCACGGATCCTACACACAAGGATTAACGACTCGGCCCAACTCCTGGTTAGACGCGTGATAACGGCCCGTACTGGTGGCAAATACCATGAATACTTTTCAACAAAGACCACTGCGCGCGGTGGCTTTCAGATTTGCAAGGCTCTGCGCCCGATCTGGCCTCGAAGTCTGTCAAGCCAGCGAATTATATTTTTGAAAATTCATGAGTCTACTTTTTGGTCTTTATTATTGAATTCTGATAAGTGATAACTACATAACCATGGTAATGCCGAGCACAATAACTTTAGCTTTAGGATGAACAATGAAATGTCGCTTTTGTTTCATCGGTTCGGCATCTTATCTCTCTAAAACTGTTTAATAAAAGCCTAATTAAAAACGAAATTTGGGTAAATGGTGTTCTCCTCGAAATTTGACGTTTATTTCCCGGGTAAATACTTCATCTATGACGACAAAAACTGCACAATACCATCTGTTATATCCTGAAGTATTTATTTTTAAACAATTTCGGAACAATTAAGTCTTAAATAAGGAGTAGTTTTGCTTACCCAACACAATAGGACACCTGCGATTACGCACCAACGGGTATTAATGCCCGTTATCACGCGTCTAACCAATTAAGGCAAGTCCGCTCAGTGCATTTTGTACTAGAGCTCAGAACAGTCGTTTAGTGGTGTCTAGGATCCGTGGTTGAGTTGACCTAAAGCATGTAAGAAGAATACTACCTTTAAATTTAAAACACAGATTGTTCTCATTACATGTACTGGTATGAAAACGTAAACACGCATGCACAAAGTTGGCAATGGATTTGGAGTCCGCCATTTTCTCGAGCATTCCTCGTTCTCATTCGCATTCAGTGCCTGCATGCATGGTTGGATGAGAAAGGTGCGTTCTCTTGGGATCAATCATTTCATGATATTCCCGAAGTGACGTCATACTGCTTTTCCCCCTTGTTCAACTTTAGTTTACGTAGGCCTACTTTCATGCTACAAATTATTGTTTGTGTACGTGACCATAGCTTATTATAACCCCGCTCGATGACGCATACACCCATTTCTTGAACTTTAGTTAATAATAACAAATATAGCCGTCATAATCAGACCTTTTCACGGATCATTTACTGCAGATGATCTGTACAGCTCAATATATTACTATCATCATTGTCCTCGGGTCATCAGTTTTCAATGATATAATCACCAACGTAGTCACGTACGTTTAGTGTTTACACGAGTGTTTGTATATGAGTCGTACGTGCTAGATAATGGGGAGTGTACGCGAGTATATGCGATAATTAGATTCATTCTTCAAGTTGTCGTTACATGCACTAATTACCAAGCTAAATGTTGACAGTCGTGGTAGATTTTGGAGCAGCTAAAAAGCACACAAACAAATATTTTTTTTAAAACGATATTCAATTGGAAATAAGACATTCAAGTAAACATGGGTTAGAGCGAAAATGTACGTCTTTATAGTTGTTGTTTTAGGCTAACAGTTTTTTTATTGGATTAAATTCCAAAGATAAAAAGGAACTCTTTAAATCCTGCTGGGTAAAACTGACCTTATACTTTCAACGTTTTAACATCAGCACTCTCTTGATGTCCAATCACAGCATACAGTTCTGACCGTGTCCGGAGGTCAGTTAATCCCAACGTGTCGCTTGGGGCGCTTTAACCCAACCTGTACAGCGCCCTCATTTGGAACGAAGATATAGTTCAGGCAACGTGTTCACCGATTTTCGAATGAACTTTAAGAGTTTGCTTGTGGAATTGACACTTTTCGAGTACGAGGAATTCTTATTTAGAATAAATGATCGGGTTTGTAATAGGATTTATCATCCCTGTGATGACCCAAAAATCCCTAGTGAGGGCGCTTTAAACTCACCAGAGCAGCGCCCTCTGTCCTAGCAGAGATTTTAAGGCACCGCGTTCACCGATTTTTGAATGAACTTTGACAGTTCCCGTAGAAATTGACACTTGCATAGTGTGAGAAACTCTTATTTCGAAAACAGTAGCGGTTTTTTCTGTTTACCGTTTCTCAACCGTTTGATGACAGGCTGACGTTTAAGTAGAGAAACGAATGACAACACTTGTGTACTCTTGAGAGAGGC